ATTCGATACGATTCGAAGTCAGAAATGAAATATGTATGAATTTAATTAGCAACATTTTATCTTAGGTTATACGGACGTTCATTAATTAAGATTAATGAACGTCCATGTAATCCAGAAAATGAACTCATTAATAATTTACTTAAGAATAATGATTTCCAAAAGTTTTAAAAAAATTCTAAAAGGAAAATCAGGTTTGTATAAACTTGAACAGAAATTTCTTTTTTTATATAAATAAAGATACGATTCGTGATATAATTTTAAGAATTTTATCAAAATGTTTGCAATTTAGGTGATAACTTTACGGTGTGTTTGCCAATTGTAAATTTCCCATTCGTAGAGGATAGCCTATAAGTAGGTAATCTTGCAAGTCAACTCGGAGGTAAATCTAAAAAAAGGGTTTCCAAAGGTGTGCAAAATTTCAAAAAGAAAACCATAACCTTTCAAAAATTATGAAATATGAAATTTTAAAGTTTTCAGAAAATATTTGCTAATCCCAAATTTTCCATATTGCGTATCTGCAAAGTGCAAACCTGTAAGTAAACTTGGTAATAACTTGAGAAAAAAAAAATCCCGTACGAGTTTGCAAAATTTCAGAAGGAAGATCAGCTTATAAATTGTAAACTTACAAATATCTCTTTTTTTGATAAGATAAATATGTGCCCAGTTTGTCAATTTGAACAAAATAGCTGCTAATGATTTTGTTTCGTGCGAATAAAATAAGTCAAAATTTGGTACGATTCGAAGTCGAAGATGTAATTTGTATAAATTTTATCATTAAATTTAAAACTTAAGGTGAGAGTTATCCATTCGTTAATATCCCTAATTTCGTAACTGTAACGTATCTTTGCAATCTTGCAAACTGGGTAATAACTTAAAAATAGATTTCTAAAAGTTTGTAAAATTTCAAAAAGAAAATCATATTATTGTTCGTAAACTCATAAAGAAAGCTCTCCTTTTTATAATGAACATGTGCCCACTTTGTAACTTTGATGAAGCTATTAATCATTTTATACGCAAATATGTAATGATGGGGAATTTTTGCATAAAAAGTTATTAAATCCATCCATAGACTTGGATAAATAATTCAAACTTTAGTACGATTTGAAGTCGAAAATGTAATTTTTATGAATGTCATGATTACGTTTATAATTTAGGTCACCTTAAAGTACTTCCTACTTTCAGTATAAATTGTTTAATCGCAATGGACCTTTGTAATCCTGCAAGTAAACTAGGTAATACATACAAATAAATTGAGAAAAACGGTTCCGCCGGAGTTTGTGAAATTCAAAAAACGAAAATTCAGGTTTACGTAAACTTACATTTATGTATTTGTTAAAATTATAACTAATTACTCGATTTCTACTGAATTATATTATGAAATTATGTGACGAAAATACTATGAACTATAAAGCATGTTGTAGAAATGTATAAGGTCAAGTATTTCCCACTTGATGGGGTTTTGATCTTATTTTGCTAAAATTGTAATGGACTGATTTTGCGTGAAGAAATAAATCCTCATTATTATTATTATTATTATTTGATCAAAATATATGTTAATGATATTAAAAGTAAATAACAATGCCTTATTTTTGCATAAAAAAAGGTATTTAAAGCGCCCATAGATTTGGATGAGAAAAAAATTTTATTTGATACGAGTCGAAGTCGAAAATGTAATTTTTACGAATTTTACCATATTACATATTTGTCACGAAGGTAAGTTTTGTTCCGAGTCCAAATGTTTGTAAAATTTCAAAATTAAGTCATAAATCGTAAACTTGAAAAAATCTCTTTTTTTATAAATATGTACACAATTTACAAATTTGATAAAAATAGCTGTTAATGATTTTATTCGTAAATAATAGACATGCGAACTATTAAAAGATTTGCGTGGAATAAAAGTAAATTAAAATTTGATACATTTCGAAGTCAAATCAGAAATACAATTTTTTGCAAACTTCAAACACATAAAAGTCCCTGAATGTTCTCAACAATATGAAATGCTTATGATTATGCGATCATTTTTTCATGGAAATGATGATGATGCCATGAAATTGAAGAAAAAATGCATCCAAAAAGGGGACGAGATTAGAATTTTCTACAAAAATGTTGGATTGAATTGAATTTAAAATATGATAAGAATCGAAATTGAAAACGCAATTTTATGAAGTTTATCATGAATTATTGTAAATTAGATTGATTATTGTTACTCATTTATAACTTGGGATAAAGTTCCTATCACTTAATTTCCTGCAAGTAAACTGGGTAATAAATAAATTGAAAAAAAAACAAATTTCAAAAAGGAAAATTAGACTATCATAGACTTCGACTATCATAAAGATAGACTATCATTAGACTATCATAAAAAAATCGCTTTAAAAAAATATTGTAAATTTGATCAAGCTGTTAATGATTTTATTCGTGGATAATCGTTGAAATAAAATAATTTAAATTTGATACGATTCAAATCGGAAACGTAATTTATGCGGATTTTCTCATGTTTTTTATGATAAAGATATGTACCACTTGAATTTTATAATGAATCTTTGCAATCTTGTAAGTAAACTGGTGAGAAAATGAAGAAAATAGGTTTCCCTTCCTGATTTTATTCCGAAATTTTACAACCTAAATTTTAACCAAAATTTTACCGAAATTACAACCGAAATTTTACCGAAATTACAACCAAAATTGTTCAATTTTTCAACAATTTATGACTCATAAATCGTAAACTTATACAAATCTCTTGTTACATGAACATATACGCCCAATTTCGAATTTGATCAAAATAGCTGTTAATCATTTTATTCGTAAATAATTTGCGTAAATAAAGTATTACAAGACTTGGATGGATTATGTAAAAATAATAATTAAGATTTGATACGGTTCAAAGCCGAAAATATAATTTGTGTAAATTTTATCATTTTATTAACAATTTAGATTCGCTGCTTTCAATTGTGGGCGTTGGGGATGGGGTGATGAGGGCGTCCACCAAGTCTTTGGGCGTTGGTTGGACGAAGGGCCAGGTACGCCACGTCGGTGGCGTTGTGCGTCGGTATCCCACGAGTCGCCACACAGGAGGAGTCCGTAGCTGTGAGGTAGAGGAAATGGGGCTCGCTTGTGGGGATGAATATCCCAATGACGCACAATAGTTCATATGTGTAAATGGGCACCAAGATTCGGAGGAGGATGTATAACACAGTTTATCAGATCGGTCGCCAAATAACTCACACGGCACACACAATAGTTATCATTTATGCACAATTATAGGAACATTTATTTATCGGAGCGCAATAAATATACAAGTAGACTGTGTAAATTGGTAAGTGTGTAATTTAAGGGGAAATGAAATTATGACTGGGACTGATAGGTAAGTATGTATAATATTTGTAATTGTGATATTTAGGACGAATGGCGGAGAAGGAGAGAAGATGTTCTCCTGTTGAGTCCCAGCCTGCCACTGTCTGAAGGACAGTAGCGTCGGCTGTATTTCTGAAGGTGGATTCAAGGAGGAGACGTGTCCTTGAATCTTGAATATATAATGTTGAGTGAATGTCCGGTCACGTTGGATAACGTGGTTTGGGCAGAGAGAAGAGGAGAATGTGGAGACGGAGAAGGGAGATAAAGGAGGGATGGTGCATGTTGCATGTGACATCCCTTCACAATTCAAAATTTCCTTAATTTCGTACACTCTAAATAAAGTTGTGCACAACCAGTTGTGCAAAAGAAAATTGGTAATTTTTGCAAGAAATTTGGCCAATAAATAGTTGTAACGGAGTCAAAATTTACACAACGGGATTGTGTAATTTTAGTTTGCACTTATGTTGGTCTAAATTTGTCTTCGTGTTGGCTAAAATTATTTTTGGTGATTATTGGGTAAAGATTACTAATACGTTGGCCAATTTTTAAGCAAAAGTTGTGTAAATTTCCGTTTACACAATTGTTGGGTAAAATTTAACCAACAGTTTGGGGTAATATTGGACAACAAGTGGTTAAAAAAAGTTTGCTCAGTATGCCACCACCAAACGCCACCGCGAGGTGGAAGACTTGAAAATAACGACCGAGTTGAAGAGATTATAATTTATTCACCACTTAAAATTTTATAATTAATTATAAAACTAATCAAACATGACAGAACTATTAGAAAGTGCTCTGCATAATTGTGCTCTCACGCATTATCTTGAGAAGTTTAAGGGTAAGGACATCACAAATAATTATTATACCAAGGTTTTACATAATAAAAATTTTGCAAATTCTCAATAGATAATGACGTCGACGACAACGTCTTGAAGACTTTGACGGATTGTGCCGCTGGGTCCATGGAGGAGCGTCTCTTAGCTGAAATTGTACCATCGGTTGGTCACCGACTAAAGTTAATTGCAGCTGTTAGAGAGGTTAGTCAGTTGAGGTCAAGCAAATTAAATTTACAACGTTTTTCTTGTAGTATTTGCGGAAGTTATTTTGCATCTTTTAAAGATTATTGGATTCATGTTAGAGATGTACACGAGATTACTGGAAACAATGGGAGGGTTAGATTAAATTGTCCATTATGTTCAATGGTTTTTACTTGCTCTTTTAATCTTAAGAAACATGTTGAAAGACAGGTTTGTCCAGTGATTAGATCATTTTTCTCAAATTATACGCACACAGAAAATATTGATGATGTAAATACAATGTCAAACATAAATCAGGAAATATTTTCACCCCAGCAAATTCAGGAAGTAAATGCCGACTATAAACTTATTTTTGTTAAGTCATTACAAATGTCAGGAGGAATTTCTTTATCAAAGTGCAATGACATTCTTTGCGCTGCTAACTCTTTAGTTAATAGTATTATTGAAATTGCAAAACAGTTGTCTATCAAAATCACAAGCCCAGAACTAGTTGTGCACAAAATTAAATACATTGAAAGACCCATTTCCAAGTAATAATTCTTCTCAGTATCAAATTGAAAAAACTTTTAAGAGAAGGGTCGCTTTTAGTTGACCCGAAAGAAATAAGGTTAGGGTCACACTTTAAATACAATAGAAGTTCTGGTTTGATGATGGAAAAGTTTGACAATTCCTACCAATTTCCATTGTCCGAAACGCTCCCCCTTATTCTTTCTAAAAAATTTGATAACACAAATTATCAAGGGCAAAATTCAAATACAGAAATTTTTGAAAATTTTATGTCAGGAAAATTATTTCGAAGTTTCGAAAATAATCCTTTGTGTTTGCAAATTTATTATGATGATGTAGAAATATGTAACCCGTTAGGATCCAAAGCCAAAATTCATAAACTTGCAATGTTTTATTTTACTATTTCCAATTTTCTTCCACATTTAAAAGTTCAGTTATATAACATTTTTCCACTTTTAATTGTAAAGTCTAAATATTTAAAGGAGTATGGAATGAATTTAATTCTCAAACCAATTGTAATTGAATTAAACTCCTTACACATAAATTCCACCAGATTAAGTTTTTTATCCAAGACTCCATTTACACATGTACAAGTACTTCAATTTTGTGGCGATAATCTTGGTTTGCATACACTATTTGGGTTCACAGAAAGTTTTAACGCAAATTTTAGATGTAGATTTTGTAAGATGGGTAAGCAGCAGACTTTCACTGCCATTGAGGAAGTAATCGCACAAAGACGAAGCCTAGAAGACTATGAAAATGATTTACAAATTAATAATGTTAGCTTGACAGGTATTAGGGAAGGGACTATTTTAAATGATATTAAAGGTTTTCACATTACATCCAACTTTGCTCCAGATATTATGCATGATGTACTGGAGGGCATTTGTATAACTGAATTAAAACTGTTTTTAAAGCATGTGTGCCAAAACGGCTTTTTCTCTCTTACAGAAATTAACCACAGGATATCATCGTCCATTAAAAGTTATTCTCATTCCATTTCCAAATTACCAGAAATTGACATCGGTTTTGTTGAAGGAGACAAAAAAACCTGCTTTTCTGCATCGGAAATGAGCCACTTTTTCTTAATTTTCCCCGCCATATTTGGTGATAAATTGTCTAACGACGATAAGCATTGGATTTTAGTTTTACGGTTACGTAGGATTATTAGAATCTTAATGGCACCACAAATAAGTAGGCCAGGGATCAAGTTGCTAAATTATTTAATTTCTGAGCATCATGAAACATTCATTAACTTGGCTCATAGTAACTTGACCCCAAAATTCCATCACTTGTTACACTACGCCAACGCTGTAGAGCACTTGGGACCTCTTAAACAATATTGGTGCATGCGGTTTGAAGCAAAGCATCGATTGGCAAAAACTATTGGCAAAAACTCGTACAATTTCAAAAATATTTCCAAGACTATTGCAAGGCGCATATCACTTAACATTGCATTTTCACTATGTGAAGAAGTAGGCAGTGGAATAAATTACAAGTCCGGGTCAAGGACAATGTTTAACGATTTGAAGGTTGTGTTCGATTTTTCTAAACTCTCCATCAATCCAAACGACGATGTACTTATTGTTGACTCGCTCACGATTAATTGATGACCCGCATGGTGATGGTTTAATTTGTTGCCCAATTGAATTAGTTTAAAAGAATTTTTTGTACATATGTATATATAGTTAGGGAAATCAAGCTCAGAGACTGAACAGCGAGCAGAGCGAGCACAAGTGGAGGAAACAATGAAAATAATAGTTGTAAGAACCATAAATTTTATTGCATTCAAATTTTGTTTTAATTCACAGCTATGTAATTGGTTGTTAAACCATCTTTTTTATTACAGATTGACAACAATATTAGCGTCAATTCTCAAAATTCTGAGAGTGTTGGAGATTTGACAGTGGATCAAGCGGAAGCAGTTGTTATTTTGCAACCATTATTTGTATGAAACATTTTTTTATTAATTTCTGTTAGCGTTTTTTTCATAATATTTTTTTGTGATTTTAGGATATCAAGTCGATTATTTTAAAGTCTGACGAGGAGAAAGGTACAACAAAAGGCAAGCAATTGTTAGAAGAAATTGGAGAAACTAATGTCATCAATTACCGCATTAAGACCGTAATTAAACGCCGCATTGTTAATTATCTTGTCAAGCAGTACAGCTATTAGTAAGTAATCTCGACTATATTGTCCATATAAGTAAGTATGGTGGTAAAGTTAATGAAATCATGTTTGAATGTAAATAGTCCATCCAATCACGAGAAACAAAACCTCGCAGAATGTGTGGCATCTCAGTTATTTCAAAATTTATCAAATCAGCAACAAAAAGATATTATGGTTAGTAAACATTGAAATTAACTCATTTCTCATCAAATTAATAAGATTTTTTTTCAGAATTTATTTTATAGTCCGTCGACAGTCATCATATCAAATTCGACAGGATCAAGTGTCCGAAAAAGAATTCCAGCATCAGGACTAATTGAAGAAAGGTTAAGGCATTTACGGAAGAAGTACAGCGTTGGATTGTCAATAAATGTCGTCAGCAGTAGCTCTGAATCATACGGTAATTTTGCATTTTATCGACAGTTTCTTCAAAATTCAAATGGGATGGAATTTTTGACAATTTGTTTAGCTCCGTCAGAAGACGACGAAGGGAAAAAATCTTGGCTGGCTTACTCATCTAGTCCCCAGAGTCAGGTTTTAGAATATATGGCGCAAACCTACCCTATGAGGACGGCAGAGATTCGGAATACAAAGGATATTTCGGTAACCCTTTCGCAGTGGCCTCGTTTACTAGAAACTGTTGGAATGGTATAATTAATTAATTAAATGTAAAAGTTTTAGCATCTATAATTTTATTATTAAGTACAAGATCTGTCGCATTTTAAATTGATCAAGATTTCTCCTTTCGCCACCCAGAGAAAAATGAGCTGATGCTTCGAAACTGGACTCAAATAGGTCAACAAATTTGGCAAGCCGCTAAAAATACAAAATTAGACGTTACAAACGAGCTTGGCATTTTTTTGGTTCGTAAGTTGATCTTCGTAAGTTTACGTCGTTACGAAGTTACAAAGGCTAACGTGAATTACCCTCAGTATTTATATCTCGCGTAATATTTGTGACACTCGTAAATTTCGCCATGAATCTTTTTAATTCTGTCAGTCAACTCGGTAAATTGAAAAAAACGGTTTCTGAACTTACAATTCCAAAACGAAAATCAGATTATCGTAAATTTATTAGATTTATTTTTCCTAAACATGTGTCCAATTTGTGAATTTGAGCAAATAGGTGTCAATAATTTTATGCGTACACAATTTGCGTATAGGAAAGCATAAAACACTTCGCTGGAAAAATGGTGTCCAAGAATTTGTAAAATTTCACAACTGAAATAAGATTTACGTAAACTGACAATCTCGTTTTTATAAAATATGTGCCAAATTTGTTGGTCGAAATGCATGCTAATGATTTTATTCGTAAGTAATTTACATAAAATAGCGTTAAAAGACTTGGACTATGTAAAGATAAATTATAGGTTGATAAGTTCAAAGTCGAAAATGTAATTTGGATGGATTTTATTAATTATTAAAATTATACAATTTAGGTACAATAATTTAATTACTATGCCATTCTGTCATTTTTCTGAGGTGAGAAAAGTAACCAAGGGCTACCCTCACGACAGAAAAGCGCATGGTTACGGCGAAGCCAAGGTATGCTTTCAAGACAGGGTCCTAAAACTTCCGCCACGGCCACAGCTCGAACGGTTGCATTTATCGAAAAATTGTTGAAACAAAAAAATCAGACAATTATGAAATCTAGTGTCTTTTCATCTTTCTCGTTACGAAAGTCTAATATTGCAAGAATTTTAGGACCTTTGAAACTTTAAAATGAACCGGAAATTCAATTTTGCCATACAATGATCATGCCCGACATTGATTTTATTGTCCGGGCGCTGACCACGCATCATTTGAGATACGTTCGAGAAAAATCGGTTGGAAAATGAGAAACTTTTGATGGTGGTATCTGCAGCCATTTACGCTGCTTAAAAGACTATTCATAACTGCACCTATCTGGTTGCTATTGGTGACCAACGAAAAAGTTCCCACGCAAAAACCAGAAAATAAAACTACATTTAAAAAACAGCATTCTTCGGTGAGGGTGCGACTAAAACCTTTAAAACAAGAGTATTGAGCTAATTTTAAAATTTAATATTTGCCAACTTTTGCCTCACCGTGGGCATTATTTAAATACAAAATCAATTTGGGCCCACGGTGAGGCAAAATTTGGCAAATATTAAATTTTAAAATTAGCTCAATACTCTTGTTTTAAAGTTTTTAGTCGCACCCTCACCGAAGAATGTTGTTTTTTAAATGTAGTTTTATTATTAATTGCTCAATGCACCTTGTAATTCTGTAAGTTTGCAAACTTGGAAATACATATATTGAGAAACTAGGTTCCCAAAAGTTTGTAAAATTTTAGAAGCAAAATTAGACTATCGTAAACTTAACCTTCTTTTACAAAATGTGCCGAATTTGTTATTTTTATCATAACTTAATTCGTAAACAATGGGGCCGAATTTTTGCGTGAAAACGTATTAAGTACATCCAGGTGGCATAAAAGCAGAAAAAATTGATCGGGTTTGAAGTCCAAATGTAATTTTTATGAATTTTTTCACATTATAAAAATAACTTAGGTAAAGTTTTCACACCTGTATATTTCCCTAATTCGCGATCAATATTTGAAGATTTTTAAGTAAAAAAAACTCAGCAATAAATTGAGGAAAAAGGTTTGCAAAAGTTTGTAAAATCTCAAAAGGAAAATAAAATCATCGTAAAACTGTAAAGATCATTTTTTTTATAAAACATGCGCAGTTTGTGAATTTGATCAGGATTTTATTCGTATTCGTAAATAATGGTGCCTTATTTTTATATCAAAATACTAAAACATTCGAATTGAATAGTTAATACAATTTCAAAAGGATAATCATGCAGACTATAAGCGTAAACTTGAGTGAGTGAGTCACGAAATGTATTCACCATGAAATATTGATACACTTTAATTTCTCATTTTTTTCGGGGTGAGCCGTGCATAAGGACCTCCGTTTTTTTGACCCTGAAAAAGAGTCGGGTAACAGTTTCGTTAATTTTGTAAAAATCCGTCCCATCCTTCCTGCCCTATCCCGGGTAACAACTTTCCCCTCGCCCTTCTTCCTTTCAACCCTTCACAACACATGGATGTCATCACAAATCAAATGTCAAACTTGTTAAAAATTGAAGTTTTCAGGGGAAAATACTTAATAAGATCGGATTTTTCCCCCACACGTCACATTATTCGGACAGGAACCATTTCAAGGTTTCATTTATGACTTTGAATTCACTCGGGTGTTTGTACAGAGATGAGTTGTGTAATAAAATTTTTGGAAAAAATTATGGTGCAAAATTGTGGAATTTTAAAAATAAGTTTTTACCTTTTTGCTTAGAGGTTCGGAATTTATAAGGTTTCAAGTGACAAGGATCGCTTTTTAGTAAAACGTTTGATCAAAATGTGAATTGTACATGAATATTTAAAATTTCGAATTTGTCCAAAATTTATTGGTATATTAGAGAAGCACATAAAACCTAAATTTCGTAGTTAATAAAATTTGCAAGAAATGTATTTTTGGCCAACAATCGTGCTATTTTAATATAATTAGTTTACTTATAAGGTTTAACGTATCCTTGCTAATTGTAACTATAAATGAATTTTCGAAAAAATGGTTTCCAAAAGTTTCAGTTAAGGAAAATCAGATTATCGTAAACTGACAAAAATCTCTTTTTAGTAAAATATTTGTGAATTTGATCAAGCTGTGAATTGTAAATACGTAAATTTTGAGTTCGTTCAAAATTTGTTTCCGAGAACCGAGAAGGACATAAAATCTGAATAAAACAATTGCGTAATAATAAAATTTCCGAAAAAATGCATTTCTGGTTTTAACTCGTATCAAATTTTAATTTATTTTTATTCCAGTGGATTCATTCAGTATTTTTAGTGAAAAAATACGCACTGTAAGATACTTGCAAATATATGCATTACCAGCTTGATCTTCACAAATATTGTATAAAATATAAATTTTTCTAAGCTTGCGATTTATAACCTGATTTTTCTTTTGAAATTTTACATTTATTCTTTTCAATTCATTTACATGAATACAAAAATTCATTCCGAAATTATGGATTCAAGATTTCACGCGTATGGAAACTCAACCTAAATTAAAATATTGTGATAAAGTTCATAAAAATTACACTTTTGACTTCAAATCGTATCAAATTTGGATTTATTTTTATTCCAGTGGATGCATCTAATATTTTTATGTACAAATAAGGAATTATTTTTGGCATTGTACGATAAACGATTAAATATAATCATTAACAGCTTGATTAAATTCACAAATATTTTTCTAAATTTACGATATTCTGAATTTCCTTTTGAATTTTTTTTTGTTCTCAATTTATTACCTAGTTTTTGCTTACAAGTTAATAAAGAGTTATTGCTAAATCATGGAAATGCAAAACCGTGAAAACCTGACGTTAATTTTGATGATAAAATTCATAAAAAATATATTTTTGACTTCGATTGGTATCAAATTTTAATTTATTTTTATTTTCCAGTAGTGGTTACCCACCGCCTTCTATCTATATGTTATAGTATTTTGATGCGATTACTGGTATTGTGAAGACCTAAGTTATAAATAAATATGGTGACAAAATTAATAAAAATTAAATTTTCGACTTTAAACCATATTAAAGTGGTACGTATCCTAAATTTTATGAATCGTACCAAATTGTAATTTATTTTTAATCCAGTAGTTTCCATTTAATATTTTTGTATGCAAAAATAAGGCACGATGAGATATTAACCAATAAAAGTAACTAATAAAATTATGAATAGGTTGATTAAATTCACAAATGTTTTTATAAAACAGAAATCTTTGTAAAATAGTCTGATTTTCAATTTTACATTTATTAATTTTTTCTCAATTAATTACAAAGATTCATTCCGAAATTAGGGAAACTCAGGACTTTGCAAATTGTGTAGACTTTAGTACATATATTTACCAAATTCATAAAAATTATATTTTCAGCTTCAAATTGTATCAAATTTTACTTTTATGCAAACAATAAGTAACTATTGACGGTTAACCGCGGTTATAAACTAACGGTTTTGAACAGTTTAACGGATCAAATTCACAAATATTTTATAAAAATTAAATTTTTATAAGCTTACGATTTACAACTTGATTTTGGTTTTGAAATTATATTTTTCTTAATTTATAGCCCAACAATAGATTCATATAGAAGGTGCAACAAGGATGAAATATGTGGACGAAATTTATAAAAATTAAATTTTAGATCAATTTAAATCAATTTATAATGAATTGATCTCTGTTGACACTTGAATAAAGGCTTAACAACAACAACAACAACAACAATAGACTTCGAATGGTACCAAATTTTTATTTATTTTTATTCCATCCAACTCTCTGTACGTTTTCATGCAACATTTCCGCACTTCTTATTTGCGAATAAAATCATGATCAAAATAACAAATTGAGCACACAGTTTTTCTCAATTTATTGCCAAGTTTTTTACGTGTAAAATTACAAAGGTTCATTTCATTTTTAGGGAAATTCAAGAATGAGTTACAAATTACCTAAGTGATAAATACGAAGATAAAATTTATTAAATTACATTTTCGACTTCAAAGCGCATCGAATTTTATTTTTTCGTTATTCTATCCAACTCTGTGGAGACACTTAATATGTTTTCATGTAAAATTAGGTTCCGTTATTTCAAATAAAGATTAAATTAATAAAATGGTCACATATTTTTATATAAAAAAGATTATAAGTTTTTGATAATCTGATTTTCATTCTGAAAGTTTACAAACTTTTGGGAACTTTTATTTCAACTTATTACGCAGTTTTTTGTTTACAGAATTGCAAAGGTTCATTAAGGAAAAGCTTACAAGATTATCTTGGTAATAAAAAGTATGATAAACTTCGCAAAAATTACATTCTCGACTTCAACTCCTATCAAATTTTAGATTATTTTTATTCCATTCCAGGGGATGCGCCTTATGTTTTTTATGCAAAAAAAATTAAAGTAACAAATCTGAAATATATTTTTATAAAAAAGAGATCTTTGCAGGTTTACGATAATCTTGTTGGCCTTCTGAAATCTTGGGTTAAGTAATTTTTTCCAATGTATTCCCATTTTACTTACAGGATTACCAACAAAGATTATTCCGAAATTGGGGATATTCGGGACTGTGACCTGGATAATCAATATAATGCAAAAATACATAAAACTTACATTTTCGACTTCAAATCGTACCAAATCTGAATTTATTTTTATTCCATTCCAGGGGATGCGCCTAATGTTTTTTATGCAAAAATAAGGCTATTATTAGATGCTTATAAATATTATTTCCAACAGCTTGATCAAATTCTAAAAAAACGAAATTATTAAAAAAATGTTTACGATTTATAACTTGATTTTGCTTTTGAAATTTGACAAATATTATTTTATTTTTCACAATTTATTACCCAGTTTATTTACATGTTATAAAGATCTATTGCGAAATTAATTAAATTTAGGACTGAATTTCAAACTGCGACGAATTAACCTAAATTATAAGTATGATATAAAATTTACAAAAAAAGTATTTCTGACTTTAAACGAATCTCGAATATCGAGAGTATCGAATAATACCGAATTTTAATTTAATCCCAGTGGGTGAATTTAATATTTTTAATGCAAAAATAAGGCAGTATTATGTAAATGTTTACAGATCTAATGATGAATAACTTGATTAAATTTACAAATATTTTATAAAAAAGGATTTTTCCAAGTTTACAATAGTTTCAATTTCTTTTTGAAATTTCTTTTTTATTTTTCTCAATGTATTCCCCATTTTGCTTACAGGATTACAAAGATTACACATTCCGAAATTAAGGAAATTTGCGATTGTGACTAGCTAACCTATATTACAATTATAATGCAAAATTCAAAAAAAAGTTCTATTTTCGACTTCAAATCGTATCAAATTAAAAAAAAACTTATTCCATCCAAGACTTTGCAGACACTCAATACGTTAATTATGTAAAAATTCGACCCTATGTTTTACGAATAAGCCATAATCAAAATAACAAATCTGGAATATATTTTTATAAAAAAAGAAATGTTTGCAAATTTACGATAATTTTGTTGTCCTTTGGAAATCTTTAATTTATTTATTTTTGTCAATGTATTCCCCATTTTACTTAAAGGATTACACATTCCGAAATTAAGGAAATTCACGACTGTGACTAGCTGACCTATATTATAAATATAATGCAACAATTCATAAAAGTTACATTTTTGACTTCAAATCTTACAAAATTTTAATTTATTTTTATACAAATATTTACTAATAAAATCATGAACAGCTTGATCAAATTTACAGATGTTTTTGCAAGTTTACGATAACCCAATTGGCTTTCTGAAATTTTGTGTCAATTTATTTTTTCTCATTGTATTCCTCATTTTGCTCACAGAATTACAATTCAATTCAATTTACCTTTATTCAAGTGTTAGTCACATTCAGTCTGGTTTACAAGCTATAACACAACATGTGCATAAACATCTGTCTATACTAATCAACTAAACCTATATTTCTCAAAAATAAATAAATTCATTATCTCTACTCTTCACCAAAAAAACCTTGCATTTTTCAACAAACTCATTATACTTAAGGTCATTTATGGTCCATTCCCTTGGAAGGGAGTTCCATAATTTTATGCTGCGACAATTTATATTATTATTAGCGAAAGTTGTATTACATGCAGACACTGGAAGGAGAGGCCAACTTCGTTCCTGTCTACGAGTCTCATCATGCTTGTACAAATGAACAAAGGCATATTTCAATAAAAATAAATCTCTCCTCTCTTCCAACGTTAATAAATTACATTTCATTCTTAGTTTATCAATATTAATCTTAAATCGACATTTTTTCTTGCTATTTCTGGCCTTCTTACATATAACCGGTAAGTAATATTGTGTTAAAAAAGTGTCAACCTTTGCTTGAAGTGGTGCTAATTGCACACGCGTCTGAACCGCCCAAATATCACTACAATAGTCAATTATCGCATGTACATTACAATTAACCAGAATTGAAACCACATTTTCCGTTAAATACCTCTTAATGCCATACAAGTATTTCAAAGCACCAGCTACTCTACTCGTTACACTACTCAAATGATCTTTAAAGTTTAGCGTAGAATCAATGTTAATACCTAAATATTTAAACGTAGACCCTTGTTCGATCTCATTGCCATTTATATTAAGTTTATAATTAACAAATTCTATGGGAATCTTATCTTGTGGCTTATGAAATATTTGATATTTAGTCTTACTATAATTTATAATCATGTTATTCTCACTATACCAATTCTCAATCAGTCCAGCTTGCACATTAATAGTTGCAACATGTCTTTTAAATTTGTGCCATATATGTATATAACTAGATCATCACAGTACAACAAAAACGGTATAGTGATGATCTTACAAATGTCATCCTGGAATGCCGCATAAAGAAGTGGACAAATCGCGGCACCCTGTGATAAGCCTGTAGGGTTATCATAATATTTTGAATCACCCTTCATTAATATACAACGATTATTCAAGTAGTTATTCAATAGCTTAATGTAAACAGGGTGTAATTTAAACTGTAACATCAATTTCTTTAAAAGCAATGATCTGTCCACACTATTAAATGCAGATCTAGCATCGTAATACACCGCTATGACCTTTCCATTCGGTTTGTCAAGAGAGTTGTACAAATAATCGGTAAATTCAATCAATGCTGTTTTACATGACATATTTTTTCTAAAACCGTGCTGTTGTTTACATAGATTAGCGTCTATTCTTTGTTGTATTCTATTAAACAATAATCTTTCGAATAGTTTACAATATACAGTAAGACAACTAATAAGACGGTAATTATTTGGATCTGTCTTCTTACCTTTACCTTTATACAACGGGGTAATTATAGCCGATCTAAAGCTTTGAGGAGTGAATGACGATTTAGATATAAGCGAAAACAGTAAAGCTAACTGAGCAGCAACAATTACTTGACACGACTTCAAGATCTTCAGTGGTACATACAAATCACTTCTCGTGTCTTTTTTCGATTCAAACATCACTTTCTATACTTCCTCAGTACTCACTTCACAAATCTGAGCTTCAGTCTGAAGGACTGAGTCATCATTGTTGTAATTTCGACAATAGTTGTTAATTTCTAAATCTAAATCATTTGCCGGTAATTTTGAAACCTGACTCACAATAAATTGCTCGGCCAATTTTTCATTAATCCTCTCTGGGCTATCAATAACCACATTATTCGGCAGCACAAGTTTCGGTATGGATATACATTGTTTTTTTCTAAATCCTGTTAAATTATTTACATTATTCCATAAACTAACAGTACATTTAGCACTCTCTTTAAATTTAACATTATAATAATATTTCTTAGTTTGCGTAAGTTTAGTATTGTAACGATTTCTGATCCATCGAAATTTCTTGAAATCACCATCAGATTTAGAAGTGTGCGCTAGTTTATGAAGTTTATCTCTTTGTTTTCTTAACTTTGATAACTCAGAAGTATACCAGTTATTCATTTTTGGCTTAACATAACGTTTCTTAACTGGGGCATATTTATCCAACTGAGTTAGTACATAATTATTAAAATCTAACATTTGTTCAGAAATGGAAGCACTAATGTCAAATCTATATTTTGCAATATCTGTAGAAAGGAGAATTGGGTCAACATTTTGGTAATTCCGATAAGAAATAAGCATTGGTTTCATTTTTTGTCTAGAAACCTTCCTGACTACAAATGTTAAGTCATGGTCAGTCCCACCCCACGGGTGGTGACCATTTTGAATAATATTAACTTTTCTGTTAGTATACATATGATCTAACAAACTCTGACCTTTAAAAGTTAAACCGTCAATTAATTGCCAAAGACCAAACTCTTTACAAGCAAAAAATAACTGAAAGGACTCTGGACATTTCTTAAGTAAGTCAAGATTCAAATCACCAATTATAAAATATTCTAAGTTTTGAGAACAGAGAAAGGCGTTGACATTCCTAAAGAACACTACAACATTATTCTTTGCAATATTTGGGTGTATGTACATACAGCAAATTAACATTGGCTTAGCATTAGCAAATTGCAACTTCAATATGTTACATTCTGAATGTTCCGGAATTGCAAAATGTGTGTCCAAAAACTCAACATTGTAGTGCGACTTGATATAAAATAGAGTTCCTACACCTGAATTATAAGTACGGTCAAATCTATATAAACTATAACCATCAATTAAGTACATATTACTTTTATCTCGTAAAGGGTCTAGTTTACTTTCGGTAAGTGCTAAAACATCAATCGCACTTTCATTCAGTAATAAAACATAATCATCAAACTTATTTCTAATACTGTTGGCATTTTGATGACAAATTAATAAACCTTTATTTATATTTATCTTACAAATTCCTTGGCGAACTATCGTATTATCTTTACAACTATTAACTCGTTTATTTAAAACTATTGACTGTAGTTTTGCGTCGATACTTTTGCAGGAAGTGGAAGTTAAACTTGGAGAGTGAGGAGGAGAATTTTCTTGCAGAACAGATGATGAGTTGAGGAAGTTGACTCCGACGAGAGCCGAGTTGCATAATTTTGTTTCGTTAATAGACGATGTGCAGTTTGGACATTTCCATGTGGGCACGACGTTACGTTTTTCATACCCTTTTTGAGGCTTCGTTACCGATGGATGACACTTGAAATGATGTAGTTTCAGACAAATTGAACATACAAGTACGAATTGATTAACAATTTCTAAATGACAATAATCACATTCATCCATGGTGCGAGTTGGTTACTACTTGTAGTGTATAGAGATGGAAGTTGAAATCATATCAGCCAGGGTAGACATCATATCCTTCGAGGTTTTTTTTGCTGATGTTGCTGAACAAATTTCAAAAATTAATATATGACTCAAGAATTTTGAAAACTGGAACAATGGACCTGAATGAGATCGAAATTTGTATAGCGCCATCGGTCAGAGCGCTTTTGTACAAGGGCAAATTAATCCGCTTTGCCCACAGCGTAGTTGTTAGAATCCAGTCCAAAATGGGATGTGGGAGGAGACCGGAAACACAGAGTAAACCACTCAAAACTTGTGAGTGCCCCGAAAATACCGAAGAGTGGAGTGGGCACTATTCAGGAAGTAGAGTCCACTTTGACAAATCAGGGGAGGTCGGTTGACATCAAAATAAGAAGTCGCACAGAAAGGTCATTTAAGGTCTAGGTGTTAAAAATCATCTACCACTGACTTGAGGGTCCGGAATGACGCCAATATCACAAACTCGAAAACTGAGTATTAAGTAATTTACACAAAATTTTAAAAAAACAAAAAATAATCGTGAGAGAGAAAAAAGAGGACGTGTACTCTCCTCTCCTGTTGTTGAGGACTACAAATATTCATTCCAAATTAGGGAAATTCAAGAGTGCGAAGGACGATATGGATACTTAACCATTTAACTATTTACGTTGATCAAATTTACAAAAATTATATTTTAGACTTTGAATGTACCAAATGCATGCACTGTTTTACACAAAAATGTTTAAGAAGGCGCTGTTATTTACGAAGAAAATCATTAACACCTTGATCAAATTCACAAACTGGGCATACATTTTTTTCACTCCTTTTACTTTTTTAAACTTTTTTAAACTCATAAACAAACTCACAAACAAACTTCAAACTCATAAAAAAGAGTTTATTTAGTCTGATTCTGATTTGCCTTATGAAATTTTATAAACGAACTATTTTCCCAATTTATTATGGAGTTTACTTAAGAAATAAATTACGAAATTAGAGAAACTTATCACTGCCATTAGTATTACCTAGGTTGTAAATATTATAATAAACTTCATAATAACTTGCATTTTCGACTTCGGGCCGAAATCAAATTTTAACTTATCCCATCAAAGTCTGTGTATGGATTTAATTGTAAAAACTTTTGATGCAAAAATTTGGCATTATTTGCGAGTAAAATCATTGTATGTATTTAATATCCTTTATTCCTTTATACAAAATCGACAAATTATTTTATTATTAACAGGTATGCCAATTATTTCCCAATGATCGGCCCATTATACAAAGGGACCACACCTGTCGGGTTAACCTGCAAATGAGTCTTACTCGTGCTACTGTAGTAGAACTTTTTAATATGGTCCATGTTCACCGTGTCCTTAATTTCGCCATGGTCGTAAACCCGTTTCAGCCACAGGGACAAGTTCGGAAGGTCCTTCACGGCCGTCAGGTTGCACTTGAAGTGGAAATAGTAGACCGGATCGTGGCGGATGAGGGTCGTAAAAAGGCGGATGTCCGTCTCGGTCAAGGCCTCTCCGAAAAGGAAGGGTCCCGGCACCTTGGCCACGAAGTCCTCGACTTTAAGCATGGTTTCGTACACCAACTTTGCACTTGGTTCGTAGGCGTCTTGGGTAAAAAAAGGCAAGGTTTTTGTACATGGGGGATTGCTTTATAGATAAATTCGATGTTACTAGAGGTTATTTCAGTTGGTTCGGTTTTAAATTTTTTTTGGACTTGAAGAATTTCCTAAATTCACGCTCTATTTTTTTGGTTTGTAAATAGTTAAATTAAAAATAGAGCGTAAATTTTCCGAATTTTTGAAGAAGTCCGGATTAAAAAATAATAATCGAATAGACTGACACGACCTAGTTTATTCGATTTTTTAATTTAAAAAATCCGGACTTGGAGAAGTTCCAAAATTTATGCTCTATTTTTTAAGCTTTCAAGATTATGTACATACAAATTAAAAATAGAGCTTAAATTTTGGAAATTTTCCAAGTCCGGATTAATTTTTTTTAATCAACCAAACTGACACAGCCATCGAATCCATTCCCAAAGCAACCCCCGAAGTGCAAAAACCTTGCGTCAAGGCCAGCCCAGCCTTGTATACTCCATTACTTATCCCGTTATTAATGACCTCATTCCACTCGTCGATTTGAGACCGCAACGCTTCAGGATAAAGATCTAACTCGGGCGAGGTTGAGAACTCGTTAAATTCCGAGTTAAACATCCGCACAATTTCGGAACTTTCATTGTTGACGATTTTCTTGGTTTTTGTGTCGTAAAGAACGGGGACGCTGAACGGGCCTGAGTAGTTTGGGTCGCTTTGATGGTACAGCTCCCGAATGAACTTGAAGTTGTTGACGGTGTCGGGAATGCAGCCGGGCGCATCGGAAAATTCCCAGCCATCATCCGACATCAGGTAGTGGACGATCGAGAGGCCGACGACGTCTTCGAGGCCCTTCAAGTTCCGGACAATTAGAGTTCTGTAGGGTACAAAGTTCATAATTATAAATTTTGATATGACAAGTGTATTAATCAACCCATTCTTCATATTTAAGAATATAAACTGTTACAACGCACGTAACCAAGAGGTGAAAGCAGTGTGTTATACAGTACATACGTCAAAATGAATGTCATGTTGCTTTTGTCCGTCGAAAATGTGTTAAAATTGACACGTGTTTTCGACAGGTGTGACATCTATATCAAATATGAATTTGGTGACCTTCGAGGTCAAAATGGAGGTCACCATTGAATTCGGGGTTAAATTTCAGTTCATAAATATAATATTTGGAAATCGTTTTTAACCGTTTTGACCTTGAAGGGTGTGACCTAGGTCCATTTTTGAACTCATCCTGTCCCTTGACGTTAAGAGTTCAGAGTCAAAATATCAAGTCTTTATGTCTCGAAAAGTTATCGGAGGTACGGACAGACAGACGACATAACGATCTTATAAAAGATATTTAAATAAACTTATATACTGTGCGCCCAGGGACACGCGAGGCTGATGTACAAGTGGTAGCGGTTCTTCTCCGGGGGAAATTCTGCATCTCCCTTCTTTACAAAGTTGCGAAATTGTGAATCCTTCAAGATAACCTCGCCCTTCTTGGTCACGTCATCGGCACCTCCCATTGTCCTGGGGTTGATAAATAGTCTATAATATGGGGTAAAATGGTGTAAAAAATGATCATTCTAAAATCAATATATATATTAAAATTGATGCATTTCTTACAAAATAAAGATGAAAATTCCAGTTTTGAGCTGGGTTCTTCTTTCAACAGAATGAAACGTCTGGGATGGTGGACAAATGACAAATGTAGTATTTTCCATTTAGTTACATAATATCAGCACAATATTTACCTACATAGTGTGTCCTTGACGAGAATGATTTGTGGGCCGATCCTCCCTGGCTGGCATCATTATAATCTGAAGATTAGCATATTGTGCATGGTTAGTGGAATTGTGTAACCATTTACATTTATATTGACGTCATTTGATTGCATTCATTCAAGTGAATCACAGATATGCATACAGTAAATGGTAAAAAGTCGGCAATGTTTTTGAAGTGGAACTCTGTGTCTGCCAACCAACTAAGGTTTTTAAATGAGAAAACAATAACAGAAAGAATCTCAACAGATAAAATTAAATTGGTTATTTTAATTCATTAAGCTTCTGTAATAAGTTTTATTACAATACAGTTAAAAAATCTTACCTTGGCCATATTTATGATTAGAAGAGAGAAACTGGAACGAGTACATATAATTATTTTCCTAGTTTTTATAATGTTTAAGGAATAAATTTTAATCACTATTTATGCCTGCAACCATGCGTTATACACAAATTATGCCTAAATTGTCCTCCACGATGAGACGCTTTTTTTCAAGGGTTGGGGGATCTATATGCTTAAAATAAAGATCAAATTAATGAATTTGGCATATAATTTTATAACAAAGAGTTTATACGCTGACGATAATCTGATTTTCCTTCTAAAATTTTGACAAACTTTTGGAAACGTTTTTTCTCAATTTATTAATACCGATTTTTTTAACGTAGAGAATTACAAAGATTTTTTCCTAAATTAGGGAACTTCTCTTAAAATTGTACCTATTTATGTTGTACATGTGTGATAAAATTCACAAAAATGGCATTCTCGACTTCAAGGCGTATCAAATTTTATTTTTGTTTTACATATATATTTGTTCCATCCACTCTTTTTAACACTTTTTTACGCAAATTATTTAGAAATAAAATCATTATCGGCTAATATTTTGTTAAAAATTTCCAAATAGGTACATGGTTTTAACAGAAAATATGAAAACATGAAAACAGAGGTTTTATGACAAGAAATTTGTAAATATATGAATCATATAATATGATTCATAAAGTGATTTTCCTACTGCAATTTTATGAACTCGTTCGGGAACCTTTTTTTCGTTTTCTCAAGTTATCCAGTTTACCTTATAACATTTAAAGATTCGTTTGAAAATAAATGAAATTTCTGAACACCCAACCTATCACCTGCGTCACATTTGGCGTACTAAATTCATGCCAATTACATTTTCGGCTTCTAAACCGCATCAAATTTTAATTTATTTTTACATGTATATTCCATTCAAGTCTTTTAATTTTTTTTACCCAAATTATTTACGAATAAAATCATTAACATTTATTTTGATAAACTAATTTTTTGTTACCAATCTTGTCCTGATTGAATTAAGATTTTCATATTTTGATTAAAAAATCAAAAATGTTAGAGATTAACGCCATACAAATAATTCGAGTTAATTATTATGGTAATCTACAAGTACAACAGGTGTACTTGAACAAACTCTGAATAACCAGTTACACTTTTCGAATCTCGAGTCGAGATTTTCGACCACTGACATAAAACATACTTTTAAAATTTTACGAATAATATATTTTTTGTTTAGATCAATCAAACTGATAATTTTAAACCTTTCAGTTTTTTAAACAGTCGAGTTTAAAATCATTTAAAATAATTTAAGTTAGTAACGCATCAAAAAAGTTGTGATTTTAGGTTATCTGTTTTTTTTTCTTTGTAAGCAATTTCTTATAAAAATTAACCCTTGTAAAAACGGAATGTGGCGAACACCAAAATATTGTCACATGCTATATATTTTTTTATAATATATTTCGTTTAGATCAATCAAACTGATAATTTTAAACCTTTCAGTTTTTAGCCCGAGCCAGGGCTTATGTATCGTCACGTATTTGTCTGTCTGTCTGTCTGATAACTGTAGTAAAACTAATACGATCGACTTGAAATTTTTACCGTATTCATACTGGACAAAGTTAGAAAACGAGTTCGAAGATGGGCGAAATCAGTCAAGTGGTTAACCGGTGGGGTTCACCGGAATGGGTGGATAATATTAAGTTTCTATGGGTAAAATTGCAATCAATCATGGTTCGGGCTAAGCAAAGCTGTAATGATAGGTTTTATAAAAATAGAGATTTCAGTTTACGCCAATCTGATTTTCCTTCTGAAATTTAACAAACTTTTTCCCAAGTTATTACCCGGTTTACTCTAGGAATTTGCAAATATTAATTACGAAATTATGAAAAGTTCGCCATAAAACTATTGATAATTGAACCTAAGCTGCAAATATAATGACAATATTTACCCATATTGCATTCTCGACTTTGAACTTTATCAAATTTTAATTTATTTCTGCACAGTCCATCCATCCAAGTTTTTTAAGACTTTTTTATGCAAATTACTTACGAATAAAATCATTAACGCCTATTTTGATTAACAAATTTGGCACATATTTTATAAAAATGAGATTGTCAGTTTACTAGAATCTTATTTTAGTTCTGAAATTTTATACATTTTTGGAAATCGTTTTTCTCAATTTATTTCCCAGTTTACACAGGTTCATTGAGAAATTAGGAAAAATTACAAAATAGCAAAAATTAATCTACTTAAGTTGTAATTGTTATAAAATTTATTCAAATTATATTTTCGACGTCAAGTCGCATGAAATTTTATTTTATTTTTACATGCATAGTCCATCGAAGCCTTTTAACACTTTTTTTTCATTTGTTTACTCAGATATGAATTTCCTTCTGAAATTTTGAAAACTGTTGGAAACCTATTTCCCAAATTATTCCCGACCTTTTTACTTACCGAATTACTAACATTCACTTGCGAAATTAGTGATATTCTGTGATTCGTAAAATTTACATGTTGTAAATATCTTGATAAAACTCACAAAAATTACATTTTCGACTTCAAGGCATATCAAATTCTATTTTTTTTTTTTTACATATTTATTCCTTCCACTCCACTTTTTTTTGCAAATTATTTACGAAAAAAAATTATTAATAGGTTTTTCTATTTTGTGAAAATTCACAAAATCGGTACATGTTTAAAACATGATGTTTTTTATAAAACAAAATTTTGCAAGAATACGATTTATAATCTGATTTTCCTTCTGAAATTTTACAAACTCGTTCGGAAACCTTTTTTCTCAAGTTATCGAATTTATATTGTTAAATGATTACAAAGATCCATTACGAAATTAGGAACATTTAAAGCTAGCTACACTTATTAACCTAAATTAAAAATATTTTTTCGACATTAAATCATATCAATTTTTTTATTATTTTATTTTAGAACTGTTCCAAAATTACAGGAAATTTGTTTATCTGATCCCCGAATGTCACCTACGGTACATATTTCGTACGGAAGGGTGGGCTTAAAGTTTCTGAAAAGAGTGAAATCAGGTGAGCTCGCCTCATAAAAATCAATATTATTCGGAAACCAGCAGAGTCATGTAAACAAAGTTTTTTTCCCCTTGTAGTCCAACAATATGAGGAGTCGAGAAGAGAAAAGGGTGCAGATTCAAACTCTATTGAGCGAGGGATATGGTGCCTCCCAAATTTCGAGGAAACTAGGAGTTGCTTACAATACGGTCAAACTGTGGGAAGGTCGCCGTACCGTGGTGGACAAAAAAAGGTCAGGCCGACCCACAGCATTCTCCCCTACTTCAAAATCGCAAATAACAAGAAATTTGAAAGAGAAAATTGGTGGATCCGTGAGGAAAACACTAAAGAAGCTGAACGAGTCGGCGAGGTATCAAAAGAAGGGGAAGAAAATAAGTCGTGCTGCGGTTCGAAATTACGCAAAAAAGCAAAAATGGGGCAAAACGGCTTACAAAAGACCTAAGAAACAGATTCTGACTCAAAAAAATATTCAGGACCGATTAAAATTCGGCGAAACAGTCAAGAGAACGGGATACTTGGGTGACGACAGACGGGCGCAGCAGAAACGCTCTCACATTCTTTTCACTGATGAAACCTGGCTGGAGGTGTCACCAACTGGTAACAGACAAAATCAAAGATACTATACAGCTGATCCGAAAAAAATCCCGAAAATATTGACCCCAAAACTTGGTCTAAAAGTTATGGTAGCTGGTGGCTTCTGTGCTCAAGGAGTTACAAAGCTGCATATGGTAAGTGGAGGTACCGTAAACGCTGCATACTACAAAGACAAGATCCTCCCACTTTACATTAAATGCATGAAGGACCCAACTTTATTCCCCCAACAACAGAAGGTCACCTTTCAGCAAGATGGAGCACCAGCACACACTGCAAAAGTGACCACCAAAGTTTTGGAGGCGCTCCTTTTGACAGTGTGGGGGAAAGGGGTGTGGCCCGGAAATTCACCAGATTTGAATCCTCTGGAGAATTTATGAATCATTGTTAAGGATTCTGCGTACAAACCGCCATATCCAACCAAAACCGCTGAGCTATTCAGAAGATTTCAACATGAGTGGGAAAGCATTCCGGTTACCGTTTTGGAAAATTTGGCACAGTCATTCAATTCACGCATTGAACAAATGTTGGAAGCTGGTGGCGGACACTCTAAATATTAGTTAATAATCGTACAAAAAATTATAATATTCTATACACGCAATAAAAAGTTTTGACTACTTATGTTTTGAAGTTAATTTTTTTCAGAAACTTTAAGCCCACCCTTTACGATTCATCCGAATTACATTTTTGGCTTCAAACCATATCAAATTTTAGTTCATTTTTACATATTTCATCTAAGTCTTTTAATGTTTTTTAACGCAAATTATTATTTACAGCTAAAATAAGTAACAGATATCTTTATCAAATTCATAGAGTGGGCACATGTTCATGAAAAAAGAGATTTTAATAAGTTTACAATTTATAGCCTGATTTTCCTTCTGAAATTTTACAAACTAGGTGGAATTTTTTTTCTGAATTTATTACCAACTTGGTAATAAATTTGACCAATGGGTAATAATTTAATTTTACCAAGTTGGTAAAAATTAGTTGTTTACTAGCAAAGTTAGATGCATTTCAAATCAAAAAAATTGAGATGCAGAGACAATCCAATCTTGGTAATCAGTGATATTATAAAAGTTTTAAAAATTACGTTTTAGAATTTGAATAGTATCAAACGTTTATTTTTTTCTGTGGACGTAAATCTGTGGACGCTTCAAATACTTTTTTATGCAAAAACAAGGCACTACTTTCATAAATAAAGTCATTAAAAGCTATTTTGATCAAATTCAGGAGACATGTTTTTATATATAAAAAAGAGATCTCTGTAAGTTACGTACGATTTATAATCTGATTTTCCTTCTGAAATTTTGATAAACTTTTGGAAAACTTTTTTTCATTAGGAAAATTCATGAGTGGTATTTACAAATATAATATTGCCCGAGTTAAAAATATTATTATAAAATTGCTCAGAATTAAATTTTCGAATCGTATCAAATTTTAAATTATTTTTATCCCATCCAAATTTTGAAAGTTTTAAATACTTTTTTACGCAAAAAATAATTCACTATTATTTACTAATAAAATAATTAACAGCATTAACATTATCAAAAATTTGGGACACGTTTTATAAAAGACAGAGAGATCTTTGCCAGTTTACGAAAACCTGATTTTCATTTTTAAAAATCTACTAAATTTGTGTAAACCACTTTTCTAAATTTATTAAAGAGTGCGTTTACACGATTACAAATATCAGTTTCGAAATCAGTGAAATTATCAAGTGACTCACCTGAGCTACAAGTTTGATAATATAATTTATTCATTCATTTATTTTCGGCTTCGAATTGTATCAAATGTTGAATTATCTTATTCGCACGATTATTTATTATAAACTCGTATATGAATAAAATCATTAAAAGCCAGCTTTTAATTTTATCAAGCTTGATAAAATTTACAAACTGGGCGAATATTTTTTATAAAAAAGAGATGCTTGCAAGTTTACGATGTATACTCTGATTTTTCTTCTGAAATTGTACAAATTCTTGCGGAAACATTATTTCTCAATTTATTGCCGAGTTTATTTACACGATTACAAAGATCGGTTATTTTAAATTTGGGAAATTTAAGATTGACAAACATTTTCTGAAATCCAAAATTTACAGAGTTTAAGGTTCTAAGCAAACATTGACTGCGAAATTATGAAACCGTAACCGTAAGCATAATCCAGGAATCTAAGTTATAATAACTATGATAAAGTTCATAAAATTATGTTTCTGACTTCGAATTAACAATTTTTTTATTCCTTTCAAGCCTCTGGATGCATTTAATACCGTTTTATTCAAAAATTGCGTACATTAATTACGAATAAAATCATTAACAGATATTTAAGTAACCCTACGATTTATTATCTGATTTTCCGTCAGAAATCTGGTAAACTTTGGGAAACCGTTTATTTTTCTCAACTTATTGCCGAGTTTAATGATGGGATTAAATACATAGATCCATTGCGAAATTAGGGAAATTTAATACTGACAAAATTATAAAATCCTAAATTGTAAATATTATCTATCATAAAATTAATCCTAATTGCATTTTCTATCTCAAATATATCTTAATTTATTCTTATTCCATTCAAGTCCTTATAATATTGTTTATGCAAAAATAAGGCACCATTATTTACGAATAACTTCATGATGAAATTCATGGGCTGCATGGGCACATGTTTTATAAATAAGGAATCCTTGAAAGTTTACGATGATCTGATTTTTCTTCTTTATCATGCTAAAATTTAGTTATATTTTCAAATTAGAGTATAAAATTTTATTTATTTTTTACAAATTTATTCCATCCACACCTTTTTATACTTTTTTACGCAAATTATTTACTAATAAAATCATTAGCAACTATTTTTAGAATTTTCACAAATTGGGCACATATTTAAGAAAAAAATGATTTTTGTAAGTTTACGATTTAAAGTCGGATTTTCCTTCTAAAATTTTATAAACTAGGGTGGAATCATTTTTCTCAATTTATTACCAACTTTACTAAGTTGGTAATAATTTATTCAACATTGTAACAAGGTTACAATGATCCATGGCGAAACCGAAATTTGATCGTGGAACTCTTTTACTTTGTGACAATTAATATGATAAAATTATTAAAAATTACATTTTCGACTTCGAATCGTATCAAATTTTTTCACATCCAAATCTGTAGACGATTTAAATACTTTTGTATGCAAAAATATTGGCATTGTTATTTTACGAATAAAATCATTAACAGATATTTTGATCAAATTCACAGACTGTGTACAAGTTTTTATACATAAAAAAAGAAATCTTACGACTAATAATCTGATTTTTCTTCTGAAATTTTGGAAACTCGTGGGGAAAACTTTTCATCAATTCATTACTTACACGATTGCAAAGATCCATTGCGAAATTAGGAAAATTTAAGATTGCCAAACATTTTCTAAAGACCTTAAATTTAACCTAAGTTACAAACGTTATGATAAAATTCGTAAAAATTACATCTTCGGGTTTGAATTATGTCAAATTTTAATGTATTTTGCTCTGCTGAGCTTTTAGGATGCATTTTCCATACCTTTCTCCCCTTCCTTTTCACTACTTCATTATATCCATGAAAAAAATGAACCCACAACCGTTGAGCATTCCGAACTGAATAATCAGAGTTTAAAAGTTCATTAGGTTTAAAATATCCTCATAAGTTGTGAATATTTCGGGTTTGCAAAAATTTGCAAAAATCGCATTTCTTCAACTCGTATCAAATTTTAAATAATTTGTTCCTCCGACCAAATTTGTGGATGTTTTATTTACTTTTTTTTATTAAAAACGAGCCACTATTTATACTAAAAAATCATTAAAAGCAATTTTGATAAAATGTACAATACAAACTGGGCACATGTAATTATTTAAAAGCGTATGATTTTCCTACTGAAATTTTACAAACTTTTGGAAACATTTTTACTCAATTTATTGCCGAGCTTAAGTACTTACATGATTAAAAAGATCTGTTACGAAATTTTAGAATTAGGTTGACAAACATTTCCTCAAAATTAAAAAAATGTCATCTATGTTATAAATTTTATGATAAAATTCTTACAAATTACATCTTCGACTTCGAATTGTATCAAATTCTATATTATAGACCCTTCAAATATTTTTTATTAAAACATAAGGCACAATTTTAACGAATAAATCATTAACAACAATTTTGATGAAATTCACAAACTGAGCAATTTTTTTTTAGTTTTAAGGTTACAATCTGACTTTCCTCCTGAAATTTTACAAACTTTTGGAAACCTTTTTCTCAATTGATTTCTGAGTTTATACTTGCACGATTACTTACAGGTTATTATCTGGTACGAATAGAAAATTTAGGATTGGCGAACATTTTTTGAAAAATACCGTAAATTTTTGAAAGTATACAAATTATTTACGACCTAAATGTGTGGTAAATTCTTAAAAATTACATCTTCGACTTCGAATGTGTCAAATTTTAACTTATTTCGTTCTACTCAACTTTCCTGATACATTTTTCATACCTTTTTCCCCTTCCTTTTCATGGCTTCATCATTTCCATGAAAAAAATCAACCCTCAGAATAAAAAGGGTTCACGTTCACGTCATCATAAATATTCTTCAAATCCCTGGATCCAATCGGATCGAACCCATTTGATTTTAAGTCCCCGAAAAACAAATACATAAATAAACCCCGAATTTTTATTTTTATGGTTTTAAATTTATTTATGAGTTTAGAAATCCCCTCGTTTTCATTATTCTGAAATGGATTTTATGTATTTACAGTTTGGTCATTTAAATTAGAGACTCTTTTTGCATTTTGCAATTTTTCCCAGGATAGCAACAAATTAAAATTAAAATTCGCGAAGAGCCGTTCGTAGACTTATGCAATGAATTATTTGATAGCAATTGCATTTTTTAATTGGCATACAATTTGTGAACAGCTCTTTTTAAATTTTTTAAATATTTTTCTTAGTTACCAGAAAATTTGAAAATTTACCAAAAGAGTCTCTAATTCAAATGACCAAACTGTAGTAATGGTCATGCTTACTTATGTATAAAAAGAAACATTTGTCGATGAGAAAGAGGGATCAAAATTCATAACAAAATTTGAAATGTTTGTCATTTTATTTGTCTCTTGTGAGCAATAATTACACAGTTGAGTTATGGATTTGTTAAAAATTCTCCTCGTTTGGGATTTGAGGACTGAATTATTTATCCATGGAGCAGATTGGGTTTAGTTACACTTTAAATAAGTTGTTTTTTATCGGTTGATAAAAAATGTGCTAATTCGGTAACAATTTCGTACCGATTTTATAATACATTTAATGTGTTAATTTGTTTGAGTGAGGTGGAAAATAACCCTTTCCCCAATTTTCTTATAATCTTAATTATTTTAATTATGACGTATTCATTAAGACAATAATGTAATTTAACTTGAAATCTATTTGATCATATTTTTCTAAATAAATAAAAACCCAACCCAATTTTTCATGCATGAAATTAATTCTCCCAATTAAGTTGTCAAATCAAATTATGACAAATCCTGCATCAGAATTGGCAAAAATATGCATTTAAAATACACATATATTTAAAATTACACATGCATTTAAAATTACACATGCATTTTATGATTAAAAATTCGCATTTTATTGTGCTCACAATTTGTAAATTCGCATTTTATTTTGCTCACAATTGTAAAACTTATCCTCCAAAAATGATCCTCCAAAAATGAGGAAGTTATGTGATTTTGGTTTTCATTATTCCCAAAAATCTCAAAGTTCCAAAAGCGGTCTATTTGCACTCACTGCTCGAACAAGCAATCAGTTCTTCGAGTTTCTGTTTCTTCTAGACCGGCACAGCAGCAAACAAACAAACGAAAAGCTAACGTCGCAATTCCAAAATAATAGTTAAATCTGATCCTAATTAAGCTTAACTTTCATCCCACACGAGGACGACGATATATCCCCCATTTTGACAGAGAAATGGTTACTTGCTCTGGCGGAAGTTAATTAATTTTAGTCAATAAACTAAAAGGATTAGTCAAATAATTTTTCTCTTCTGTCGTGATTTTTCGACGACATGTCGACCCCACCCATGGAGGGAGTGCCTTCTCCCCCTGGTGATGAGGTGGACCCGTCGTGCTGGGCGAATTTGCCCCTGCGATACGGCATGATGAGGAAAATGTGGGTTATTTTCTCCCCTCAATTTAATTAAGGTTAATCTTAATTATTAATTATTATTTACTGCTGTAGTGAAAACGTGCTGGCGCTGGAGGGCGACTATTTGGCGACACAATCGTCCCCCGCGCTACGACCGGCGTGGTTGGAGCGGCCAATTTTACAGTTTACGGAAGAAGAAGAGGCGGCGCGCGGCGATGGGGAGTCGGAGAGGTCAGTTGACCTTAGATTGGACGCTTATCGTCGCAATGGGGATCGTTTTGTCGAGTTGATTAGGGTGAGTTTTCAGTTAATTGAGTAATTAATTAGTTAATGACCTTTCGACTTTAATAATTCATTGCGTTTCTTGATTTAGAACGGGGCTGACCTTGGAATTGTGTCAGATGTGCATTTAATCAGTGTCTTTATGAACCCTGGGGGACAAATGTGAGTTCAAAGTTTAAAATTTTAGGCTAAATTCAGTTTGGAAATATTTGTTTTATACAAATGTTTAAAAAATTTTGAAAAGTATTCCGCTTATTTTTTGCGTATATGTTCAAAATTTATATAAAGTTCCATCCAATTTTCTCCAGATTTCGTTGTTCACTTTCTCTCAACTTTTCTATATATAAAAATCCCCATTCAATTTTCCCTACGTTTTCGAAATTGGTAAAATTCTCTCCAATGTTGTCACTATTTTCCAAAATTATAAAAATTTTCATCCAATTTCGATCATATTTTCCTAATTTAATTTCTTAAAATTCTAAAATTTTCTATTTTCTCTTTCCAGGCCGCCCCCACCCGTAATGGTGGATCAAATAGTGCACATTCCTCCTCCACCCCGCACCCCTCAACCACTTGGGTCCCCACCCCCACCGAATTGGCGAGACGGTAAAGACATCACTCAAATGATGCTATTTTCCTTGGAGCATCCAAACGCTCAACCTCGAAAAAACGTCACCTTTTACATCGGACCGGACCAAGTTCCTATTTCCGCGCATAAAGATGTCCTCGCCTTTGTGTCGGTCGTGTTCGACTGGGCGCTGAATGAGAGCGCCGTCATCTGCAGGACTGGCTCAGAAGATGAAAGGCATATCCACATAGCGATTCGCGACGCAGATGTGGACGGATTTAAGACAATGCTTAAGGTAATACAAATATATATAAAAAACGAAATTTGGCCAAATTTTGTCAAAAAAATATGTAACTTCAAGTTAAAAAGTTAAAATTTAATAAAACGTGTCAAAATATGCATAAATTATGAAATTTTGATAAAAACGAGTCAACTTAAACTGTTGTTCCTAAACTTCAACATTTGATAAAATAACTAAACATTATTTCAAGCTAATCAATATTTTACAAAAAAATGAGTAAATCAAAGTTGTCGATAAAAAAATCAGCCACAATTATGTTCAAATTGTCCATGTTTGCTAACTATCAAGTAAATTTTTGGGGGCATTTCTCTAATAAATTCCCAAATTTTCCTGAAAATTATTGTACTAATTCCTTTTTTTCAGTACATCTACGTACGCAGGATTCCCTGGACCCCGGGGAAAGATCGTGTCGCCGAGGCGAAAACTTTGCTCAGTTTGGGATACATGTTCGAGCTGAAGGATCTCATCCGAGGCTGTACGGACATCATTAGGAAGACAATGAATTTTTCCAACGCCGCCGAAATCTTGGAATTCGCCACAACCAAGAAGGACCTTCTCTTGAAGACTGTCGCGCTCAATTACATCACAGCGTAATTTCTGACAAAAAATTTCATAAGTTGGACACACAATTTTCCAGTTTCCCATTTTTTACAATTTGCAAATAAATTTCCCCGATTTCCACATTTCCACGATTTCTTATAAAAACAATTTGAGTACATTAATTCCCCTATTTTGCACATAATTTGCACATACTTATTAATTTCCCATAATTTACACTCTTTAATTTCCATTGTTTGCACAATTTCCATAATTTATACAGTTTCCCTATTCTTTTCAAGATCTTTTTTTCTTCAGGAATGCAAAGAAGATAATCCCTACCGGTGATTTTGTCGAGAATTTGGGACTTCAGGCAATCTCTGCTGTCTTGGAAAGTGACGAATTGGACATTTCCGAAGAAATAATTTTCAACGCAACGATGCGGCACGTTTTAAAAATAAACATTTTCAATTTTTTTCTAAAAAATAGAAAATGTAGAAAAACTTCTCATTTTCAACGTCGTATTTCTTACAGTTGGGCGAGCGTTCAGTTCATACGGAAATTTGGTGCAGACGTAAAACCAGACCCCACCATGTTAAGAGCCGAACTGGGTGACGCGCTTTATCTCATCCGCTTCCCACTCTTCGATATCGATCAATTCGTTCGAGTCGTACCGGACCTTTTGAGAACGATTTTCACTGCGGAAGAGGAAGTCGCGCTCTTCCGATGGTTCACGACCCCAGCGTCACTAACCGGAGGGATCACAAAGGTGGGGCGATTCTCCACGCAAAATGTGAGGGCAGTTTTCATTAAATTACCATTTCACTAGAATGTTTGTAACTGTAAGTTATTTTTATTTACGATTTCAGCGCACCTATCGAAAGCCTTCGACTTCATCCTCTGACAGGAGGGAAGAGACGCCACCACGTCCCGGAAGTCATGCCGGCCCCGGGTAAATGAATTACATATTAAATTACTCAGCATGTAATATAAGGGTCAAAATTCCCCTCACGTGCCATCTTCACGCAAATTTTAAATTTCTAGTAATATTCTCTCCCCCTTTTTTAGCCGATCCTGCCAAGAACCTCCCATCAAACGAGTCAAGACTGAAAGCCAAGAAACCGTCCTCGATCCCCCCGATTCTGATATGAGTTACGAAAGTGATGTCCCAGCACCACCGTTTTCACCGCTACACGACGTGACCCCTGACCCGCCTCCGATTCCTCCGATCCCTGAATCCACGCCAGTCTCAGCCCCAACGGGACGACCCGTACGTGGCATCCGGCCACCAAAACGACTCTCCCCTTCGTTGTTGTCCGGCAAGCGTCATTCCTCATCATCAGCAGAGGTAGATACCACACCAAAAAATCGGGGCAAAAAATCAGCCACTACTCAACCACTCGAATCATCCCCACGTGACGACAAAGATTCCGAGTCAAACCACGATTCCGAGTCTGAGGATGATAGCAACGATTCATCTCTATTTACGCCAGTCATCCGAACAACGCCACCTTCCGTTCGCGCCATATCTCCCCCCAAATTTACTCCTCCTCTCGCCACAACACGTCCTCCAAGCACCCCCGGACCCAGCTCGCAACTCATTACTCCACGTGCCACGCCGTCATCAATTTCGTCTTCCTCGTCCACCCCGACTCGTCGTGGACGCTCGTCTCGTGAACCGTTCCTCACGGAAGAGCAGCTCGAATACATCGAAGCAAATCAGGATAATACAAATGGGAATAATCTAAAGAATTATCATCAAACTTTGATGGGTAAGTTCGCATTTGCCCTTTGACTTTTCACAATATACGCAATTTTGGTCAGATCATTAGACTTTTCAGTCAGGTACAATGGGCAAATTTAAGGTAAAAAATTTTGACCCAATTTTTCTTCATGAATTTTGACGTTCAAAACGATATTTTTAAAAATTCGAAAACCGCAGAAATGAGTGATCATGATATTTAAAAAAATTTTAATTCCCTGGTAAAAAAGCTGACTTTGATACCCACTCGGAAAAGTCTAACCTCTGACCCCAAAAATAAATGAATCTTTACTAATATCCAGTCGGCCTGGAAGACTTCCTCTCTCAGCAGACGATCGACATCTTGATGCCGAGTGACCTGCATGTCGTCAACGTGACCAAAGTCATGCCACTCTTTATGCCATCTTTGACCGCGTTTCGGATCAACTACCTCCATCCGGCCAAGGATCTCGGGACCTTTAAAACCTTTCTGACCAACGTCACTCTCCACAATTCGCTCCTCTTCGTCAAAAAGTCAGAGGAAGAAGGCGACAATTTGAGCGAATTGTGGATCAATAATTTCGAAGTTAAAATCGACGTTAATGGCGTCACTGTCTTGAGTATTGATCATGTCAGGCAGGAGTTGACCATTAGCAGGTGAGCGAGTTGCAACATAAAATCGTGTATAGCGCAAATTATAAATTTTGCGAAACAAGTTATCGTTCTTCTTTAGTCTAGCAAAAAATTATGATTTTTTTTGTGAGTCGTTTCTTCTTATGAAAAAATTATGAGAAAACTGAGATTTTGTTCTTAAAAATTGGGATTTGTGGAAATTTGGTTATGAAAAGTGACAAGTTTTTGTTGTTGAAAAAGAATTTGTTTTTAATGTGATTTTTGTCCTTCAAATCGTGGTTTTGGTCTTAAAAGCTCTTGTTCCTGAAACTCACAATTTAAAAAATGCATCCTCCACTTAAATCCCTCCACGACTTATTTACATATATTTGCTTACATATTTCTCCCTCGCAGAATTGACAAGGCCGCCGAATCAATCTTGACGGGATTGAAGTACGACGAGAACGTTCGTGGCGTCTATTTGGATGAGGTTCGCGTCAACCTGTTGGACTACGTGCCTACGCGCGCCCTAGAAAAACTCGTCCTCCGCGAAGTCGGCGGCCCCATCGCGAACCAGAAGAAATTAGTTTCCAGCTGCAAACTTCTTAAAGAACTCAGCATCGATAATATGCGACACTCGAACCAAGAAACCTACGACATTTCGAAAGACTTTGGCTTATTTGCGGAAGATTATGGTAATTTTTTATTGGAATTAATTTAATTCATAATTTATTAATCCCTCAATAATCCAGATTAACTTAACTATTCTAATTCTAATTATTAATTATTATTATTTCATCTTTAGGACACCGCTGCCTCCGCACGATCGCCATGTCCAACACGAAATTGCACTCGTCTGAAAGACTCACCGCTCGAATTCGACACTCTCCGGTGGAAGAACTCTACATGGACGGGTGCAGCTGGACGGTCGAATTCGTTACCGCCGTTCCATTTATTTTCCACAATTTGAAAATGTGCAAGCTACACAAAACAAGCAATTTGCGCCTCGTCCTCCAGCTCTTGGAAATTACTGGACTCAAACACCTCTGGGTTTGGGAATTAGAATTCAAGGCGAGCTGCCCCACACAGAAACTCCCAGTCGATTATTTGGAAGATAAGGTGGACTATTATATACAGCTCTCTGAGGTGGACATATATTGCGAAAAAATTCCAAAATTGCGGTCAAGTTTTAGTTAAAATTGTACAGATTTTATGAAAAAGGAACATTTTAGACGTTAAAAATACATAATATGTTGTACAAAATTATAAACATTTTCCAATTTTCTTGCAAAGGTATGCACGAAAAATTGTTTTCATTTTGAAGAAATCTACATAATTTGTGTCAAAATTCAGATTTTGCAGAAAATTTTTGTCAAAAGTGAATTCTTCTACAAAATTTGTACAAGTTTGATTAAATCTTGACCATGATTTCGTAATTTATCTCAATTTCTGAGAAAATATCTTTAAATTTGGATTTTAAAGCAATTTATTGTCTAAATTTTCTCAAAAAGTTCAATTCGAACTAACTTTTCTCTAATTTTTAGGCCCGGATGAAACGTATCTTAACTGACGCCGGTCTCGGAACGGACCCCGTTTGGCTGAACGACGAAAAGAAAACGTTCTATCTGGAGAAACACGAAATGGTACAAGGTCCCGACGGAAGTGCAAGTGACACCGGAGGTCTCAGGATGTATTGGACCGGGAAAAAATATGACGAGGCTGAAGCTGCAGCTGAATTTTCTAAATTGTCTTTCGACCAATTCAAGTGGAACACGTTCTATACAGATGTTCATCTTTTTGAAAAAATGAACGCGTAAAACTACGATTTTTTGTATGCGAAAAATTCACTCGGATCTTTGTAAGGTGGTAAACTGTGTAAATTTTAGAAAAATTGTGTTTACAAAATAGTCATAAACGTGAGGATAGATTTTTTTTAGATGTCGTGCTTTTTGCAAACTTAATTTGGTTAACTGAATTGCTAGTTCCTCTAAACTTAACTTTTCTCATAAAATTCCTGGAAACCCGGTTGAATTGTTTGTTTCGAATTTATGTTTTTTGTAATTTTTGTTTGAATGTCGGCTAAATCATTTTGCATTTTTTAGCTCTTGATTTTTTGTCCTTACCTATTCTGTGGACGTAATTTTACTAATTAGAACATTTACCATTTAGAAATGTAGCTAATGAATTACTGATCTCTAGAGTTGCTTTTAAATATTTGAAGAAAAAACGTAGTTAATTAATTCGTCAATTATTTAATTGGTTAATTATCTCTAGAGCTGATTTACCGTTTGATCTCTTAATTTTGATTTTGAAATCAATAGATTGATATTTAATACATTTAAAAAAATGTACTTTACATATAATTTAATTGCTAATTTCATCAGAAATGAGTTACCTAAAAATGTATGGTGCCTTTTTGACGCTAAGATTTCGACTGAATAGTTAATGTGATTAATTATAACTAATATAGATTAGCGATTATAATTACTAATCTACAATAAATCTGTTAGCAATCTCAAATTAAAAATTTATAAAAATGGGAATAAAATCTATATTTAAATATAATCTATATTTAATCTATATTTGGAAATTTTGCATAAAAAATAGTTGAAAACGCGATTAAGGCGGAATAGCATGCTGGCTGATGCGGGGTTTTTTGTTTGAATTGCTGTGTCTCAACTTTCCCTTCCTCCATGTATTCAAATGGCGATTTTGAAAAATGTTCACCGCCTTTCGTTTTTAACAATATGAAGATATTAATGCACCTAAAAATCGGTAATTTTTAGGCTAAATTTTGATTTTTTTCTTCAACAAGAAGATAAATATAAAATAGATGAAAAATAATCCATAAAATTTAAATATTTCCTCATTGAAGAAAAAACCTACAGTGCAGACTCCATATAGCCCGAGTCAGGGACATAGTCCCTGACTCAATAAGTCAGAGCCCGCTTCTAAATTCTTTTCCGAACTGACCGACATAATATCATCATCTTCCGTGTTGTGGATGGTTAAAAGTTTGTTAGATAGTTTCTATTATTTGGTACCAAATTTTTGAATTAGTTACAAATCATGTGCCTTGACCACCATGACCAGTAGCTTCTTTAACAACCTGAAGTTCTAAGCTGTATGTATGTGCTATTCAGCCTCCAAATCAAATTTCAGCTCGATATAACGATTTTTAAAAATCAGTATGGGTCACCCCATACTGATTGCACTCTGGTCACTTTGGTCTGGTTGCACTTTGTTCACTTTTAACTTCATATTCTTTAATTAGCAGTCATTAAGTATCATTGTGCCGGATTTCATCTTTTTAAAACAATTTCTAAAAATCGGTATGGGTCACCCCATAGGGGCGTTCCAGATAAAAATTTTACCAATATCATATCATATTCTTTTATTAAGACCCATAAGCAACCTCTCCACCAAATTTCAGTTCGATATGATGGTTTTGAAAAATCGGTATGGGTCACCCCATAGGGTCACTCATGATGAAAATTTTTCCAACCTGAAGTTATTTTTTTCTATTAGGAGCCATTAGCAACCTCTGTACCAAATTTCAGCTCTCTACAACAATTTTGAAATTTTGGTGCATAAGACCCCACCCACTCCGATGACCCCCACCGGTCAACCACTGGACCGATTTCGCCCATCTTCGAACTCGTTTCCTAACTTTGTCCAATATGCATATGGTAAAAATTTCAAGTCAATCGGTTCAGCCGTTTTGGCTCTATCGTGCCGGACAGACAGACAGACGGACGGACATGACGGTTCCATAAGCCCTGACTCGGGCTAAAAATCAAAATTTTTATCTCCTAACTATGTAAGCCTAAAAATTACCGATTTTTAGGTGCATTAATATCTTCATATTGTTAAAAACGAAAGGCGGTGAACATTTTTCAAAATCGCCATTTGAATACATGGAGGAAGGGAAAGTTGAGACACAACAATTCAAACAAAAAACCACGTGATACAATGCCACGTTAATACATGCGTAGGACGGCAAGTTCAAAATTTACATACAAGTTTTCGTTTCTTTTTGCTCCACAACGTTTTGCGCGAGTCGAGTGAATATGAAAAGTCGTACTCGAACTTTCTCAGTCCCACCGAAGATTCAACAAGAATTAGTAATTTTCGTGAAAATTAAATAATTAATTAAAATTTAATTATCCTAATGGTTCTCGGTAGCACAAAATCGTTACCTTGCAAGTTAATCAACAAGTGGATGTGGAAATATCAGCAGAAATTTGGATTCAATTGAGATTATTTTAGTAAACAAATAATCTTAAAATCTACGTTTGTTTATCTCCCACCTCCTGCCATGATAAGCAAGAAAGCTTATCAAGCCAGACATTGAATTAGTACTGTAAGTGATCGAAATGAGTTTTGAGGGGTGTACCGCCGACGAGACGAGGTCATGGCGAACGGCGGCGACAAAAACGATGTAAGTATTCAATTATAATTTTAAATAGGAATTATTCATTCGGGTAATATTTCAATATTTGTCATTTGATTCTGTAAATTACGTGAATTTACACTTCCAGAAACTTATAAATAGAAAAATTCCCTAATCTTACGATACACGGTTCACTAACATACGAGTGAATTTTACAATTTTTTTTACATAAATTCACTGCACTCAGATATCCGATAAATTTCGTAAAATTACCACATTTTTGCAAGTTTACAAACTTTCCGGAAAGCTAGATTATACAAATTTACTATAAATTACAGTTTACAAATGTCTGCATTACAAATCCACCAAACTTCGCCAAATCTCCACTTGTTCACTAAATAGTGTACAAAATTTTGATCGATGTTAGATTAATTTTAAAGAACAATTGCGACAAAGGAAAACCACATTATATAAGTTTACTAAAAAATATGTCAAAATTCTGAAAAATTCTCTAATTTTCAGCGAGGATGCCCTCCTAACGGGCGAGTCATCGCAAAGTGGCCTGACTCCGACCTCTGCAGAACAGCGCCTTGCTCGCGCCGCTCATCTTGAGAACCTCATCTTCACCAGGGCACATCCCTTCGGGCGACCCGTTTACATGAGATTTGTCGCCATGATGAATGTCTGGCTGCGGGAGGCTGAGGATGTCGCGCGCTATGGCGAAGCATTGGAGTACAAACAGAAGAATGCCAAATTGGTGGATGATTTAGTGATGCATTGGCAAGGCGGAGGGTCAAAGGGATCAGCAGACACAAATACAGCAGGTATTTTACGAGGGATGATAAACTTAACCATTAATTAATTAGCATGGGGCGGATATTTACTTACTAATTTCAAAACATTTTCAATATTAAATCCTTCTAAATTTCCACGCTTTTGGAAAAATGTCAGTATTTCAGCTATTTTTTGAAGAAATATTTAAATTTTGTCAGTATGTATTTCATGATATCGCTGTAAAAAATTTGAATAAACTAAACTAAACGAAACTAAATAATTTGGTAGCAAATGATTCACATTTTTCATCTATTTAGTACATATTTTGCCTTTTTTCGCAAATGTTAATTTTATTAGAATAATTTAATTCTAATTTAACTCAGATTTTTTTGTACTAAGGTCCTTCGCAGCCCCGAATTTCAGCAGAAAAGATCAGAACAGTGAGAAGATATCATAATCAGCCACGTGCCGTAGTATCGTCTTCTTATTCTCAAACGTCTCCTTCCTCTCCAAGAAACCCCAACGGGGTCGGATTCAACGTGGCGAGGAGACAGAGATCATTACCGTATCGGCCGCCGTCCCTTTTTCCTGTTGTAAAAAGAGAGCCTTCTTCACCCCCACCGCGAGGAAATGTTGCTCGAAGGGCGAGGCCGCATTTAACTTCCCACGGTCCTCTTCCACCAGCGACGACATCTGGACAAAGAAACGCCTTGGCATTGGCTCGCGTTGTCCAGATTTTTCCCGATCTAAACGTTGCTCCTCCTACTCCAGCGGTTGTTCGACATACCCGTGAAGCAAATTCTCCCCCACCAAAAGCAAGATGTAGTCATGAGGAGAATTCGCCACCGCCAAACTTTAATCAGTCTACACATAAAGCGAATTCTCCACCGCCAGCAGTTGTTCGACATACCCGTGAAGCAAATTCGCCCCCACCAAAAGGAAGACGTAGTTGTGAAGCAAATTCACCCCCACCAAAAGCAAGACGTAGTCGTAAGGCGAATTCGCCGCCGCCAAACTTGAATCAATCTACACATTCAGCAAATTCGCCACCGCCAGCTGTTCGACATACCCGTGAAGCAAATTCGCCCCCACCAAAAGGAAGACGTAGTTGTGAAGCAAATTCACCCCCACCAAAAGCAAGACGTAGTCGTAAGGCGAATTCGCCGCCGCCAAACTTGAATCAATCTACACATTCAGCAAATTCGCCACCGCCAGCTGTTCGACATACTCGTGAAGCAAATTCGCCCCCACCAAAAGGAAGACGTAGTTGTGAAGCAAATTCGCCACCGCCAGCTATCAGACATACTCATGAGGCGAATTCGCCACCGCCAAAATCTTCTCGTTCTCCATCTCCAACGAGACCAAGATCGCCGCCCATTCCTCGTCAGACCGGAGAAGGTACAACGTTGTTAAGCCCACCGAATATTAATGGACGTCAGCTCTTAAGTAGTGGGAAAGCCTCCACTGCGACGCGCACAAATTCGACGACAGGAGCCACAAATAGGGCGACGACAAGTTCAAACTGTAGTACTACCGATAGCAACAATGCTCCTTCATCCCCTGGGGCACCAGAGATTCAAAGGGCGATCACCAACAGGATAAATCTAGCTATAGCGAAATGGGGAAGTCTCGATCATCCGGAAAACTCTCGTTTGCGAAGACAATTAACAGAATCATTTACTGAGCAACAACTCGCGCAAGCACTAATTAGCAGGATGACGACCGTGCCCACCAATTCACAAGCCGCGCCGTCTGCTTCTTCTCCCGCTTCCGCAGCCACGATGAGTTCAAATCCTCCTCGTCTGACGATACGCGCTGAAACTGACCAAGCTGGCGTCGGCCGGAGTCGTCTTCACCAAATTATAAGGTTTCAACCCTTCCGACGAGTTGAATCTAGTCAACAAACAGCTCGAGGGGAAGGTCAAGGGTCAACGGAGCAACCACCACTTCCACCGCTACGTATATCGACCACATTTCCACATAGAATTATTACAACGGAAACGGAAACGGTGAAAAAATTGAATTTGAATGCGACAGAGACGAGTCCCATTATCGGGCAGATTTTTAGAATTTCAACAAGAGTACCATCACAAAGGCAGGGAGATCAAGCGGGGTCAAGTTCTCAACAGGAGGAATCGCCTCCAGCACCTCCAGTTGCATCACCGTCACGTGGTCAAAATCCAGTTTCATCACATGCACCGCCACGTGGTCAAAATTTGGACATGCGAATTTCAAATAATCGGAGTCCCTCCCCTGACCCACTAGAATCGCATCGTTCAGTCTCGCCGGAAGTCGTCACGATCGTGGATAACTCGCCAGTCCCGCCAAAACGTAAAATAGTCGTTATCACGCTTGACGACGATGATGACAACTCCCCACCGCCAACAATTTCTAGTCGTCCCCTTTCCGTCCCTCCCGTAAAAGTTGAACCGACAGGAAATAGAAAAGATCAGAAGCGACCTCCACCAAATCCTCACCACCTACCGACTGGAAATAGAGGGGATGGAGAGCGACCCCCTCCGAATCCTCCCCACCCACCCACCGGAAATAGAGATGAGGAGCGACTCGCTCCGATTCCTCCCAATCCACCGACCGGAAATGACGCCAATTTCAGTCACGAAGAGCAACCTTTATCAAATCGTCCCAGCACAATTTCCATTGTTACTTCCGAGTCTGCTACAGCGACACGGTCTCCCTTTGACTTTACATCGTCCTCCCCCAGCACTCCGGGGCAAGGTCAAGAACAATCGGTGACCTTGGACCAAGTCTCAACAAATCAAGATCAAGTCACTCCCAGTGCTGTTCAAGATATGGAAATCGACCATGGTCAGGTTCAAAGCTCCACAAATCCGATAGTAACCCCGCCGCCGGGCGAGAGTAATGACATGGAAATTGACGTGGCCATGCCGAGCGAAAATCCCAGCCCGGCAACAATTCCACAACAACTTCCAGTTCATCCTCCCCCTCGTCGTCTCAGTACAAATAGACCGATGGGAAATGGATTCTATGAAATGCTCCCTCGACGACCACCTCCTATTTTTTCTCGATCAGGCCATGACCCTGACGATGACCCTGATGATAATCCAGACGATGACCCTGACGATGACCCGTCTTCTTCAGAAGAAGAAGATGACGACAACAATTCCTCCTCTGAAGATGACGATGAGACTGCCACTCAACCGGCGCCAGGTAAGAGTCGAAAAAAAATCCATCCAAATTCATTAAAATTCCACCACAATTCATAAAACCTACAGTGCAGACTCCATATAGCCCGAGTCAGGGACATAGTCCCTGACTCAATAAGTCAGAGCCCGCTTCTAAATTCTTTTCCGAACTGACCGACATAATATCATCATCTTCCGTGTTGTGGATGGTTAAAAGTTTGTTAGATAGTTTCTATTATTTGGTACCAAATTTTTGAATTAGTTACAAATCATGTGCCTTGACCACCATGACCAGTAGCTTCTTTAACAACCTGAAGTTCTAAGCTGTATGTATGTGCTATTCAGCCTCCAAATCAAATTTCAGCTCGATATAACGATTTTTAAAAATCAGTATGGGTCACCCCATACTGATTGCACTCTGGTCACTTTGGTCTGGTTGCACTTTGTTCACTTTTAACTTCATATTCTTTAATTAGCAGTCATTAAGTATCATTGTGCCGGATTTCATCTTTTTAAAACAATTTCTAAAAATCGGTATGGGTCACCCCATAGGGGCGTTCCAGATAAAAATTTTACCAATATCATATCATATTCTTTTATTAAGACCCATAAGCAACCTCTCCACCAAATTTCAGTTCGATATGATGGTTTTGAAAAATCGGTATGGGTCACCCCATAGGGTCACTCATGATGAAAATTTTTCCAACCTGAAGTTATTTTTTTCTATTAGGAGCCATTAGCAACCTCTGTACCAAATTTCAGCTCTCTACAACAATTTTGAAATTTTGGTGCATAAGACCCCACCCACTCCGATGACCCCCACCGGTCAACCACTGGACCGATTTCGCCCATCTTCGAACTCGTTTCCTAACTTTGTCCAATATGCATATGGTAAAAATTTCAAGTCAATCGGTTCAGCCGTTTTGGCTCTATCGTGCCGGACAGACAGACAGACGGACGGACATGACGGTTCCATAAGCCCTGACTCGGGCTAAAAATTCAACCTGAAATTTTAATCTTTTCGAAGCTCTGTCTCTCTCTAGTTTATAATGTAAATCCCCAAAAAATTTTAACCATTTCCAAACTCTCTTCAATATATAATTCATCCATGAATCTATAGATTCATGAATTCATAGATTTGTTCATAGATTTGTTCGAAAATGAGCCCAATTTTGTTTACAAATATCTTAATTTTATTTAGGACATCCCCTCAACTGGAAATCCCTCCCGCTTGTCGATCTCATTAAACATGCGTTGGAACAAGATGGAGAAAGTTCGAGGAAGGACGTTACCTTTCTCGTGGGGTCGGAGGCCACCCCCATTTCGGCGCACACGTGCTTCCTCGCTCCCATCTCGGCCAAATTCGATGACCTCTTCGCCGCCACGGTCGCCGAGATACAGCCACCTCCGCTCACACGGAGAGGACTCCACTTGACCATCCCGTTGAGCGAGGTGGATCCAGAAGCGTTCGGGATTATATTGCGGGTAGGAAATTTCGAATTTTTGAACTATTTCTATCCTAATTTTGGCTTATTTCAAAATTTTGTCGATTATACAAAATTTATTCGACTTTTCTTAAATTGCATCAATTTTTAAACATTGCAACGTTTTTTGTTCATCATTTATCTTTTCCTCAAAAGTGGAATCCATTTCTGTTCAAAATTTATCTATGCAAATCTTATTCCATTTGAAATCCTGATTTTCCGTGTTAATTTTGAAATTTACATACCTTAAAACATTTCGCATAATTTAATTGGTAATTATCATTAAGTAATTATTATTATTGTTTAATTTCAGTACATTTACCACCGTGAATGGAAAGAAGATCGAAACTGGTCAATGGAGACGAGGATAAAACTCTTGGAAGCAGCCGTGAAATTCGACCTGATCGAAGTCGCGACCCGAACGAGGGCCTCGTTACGCAGGGATCTCAGCAACTTTACTGCCACCGTCATCCTTGACCACGCCATCGCTTTGGGCGATGACCGACTCAGGCAAAGTGCTCTCCGACATATCGAACTGTAATTGGCTTGTTTTTGAAATTTTACTACTAATGCTGGTAAATAACCCAGAACTTCCTACATTTTTATATATTTTTTTTAATTTCAGAAATGCGACCACAATTTTGAAATCGGATTCTATCAGGGCTTTAAGTTTGGATGGGTTATGTGTAATTTTTGCCAGTGATGATCTCATCGCAGAGGAGAATGTAGTTTACGAAGCGGCGAAATGGTATGTGGAGTTAGATTTGGTTTTATCAAAATCTGGTTTATCCTGTAATTTTTAAAATTACTGGATGATTCATCCAGTCATCCAGTTCATTAAAATCTTGGTTCATCCAGGATGAACCAAGATTTTACTGCATTTTTGTGAGAAAAATAGGCAATTTTGCGATAAATGTGGCAAAACCTACACGTATTTACATTAATTCTGACGCACGCGTTGCGCATAAAATCACAATTAGGCGATAATTAATTATAGTTCATTAATTTCAATTAATGTCTTTCATGTAGTTGGGCACGTCACCAAATAAGTCCTGTGGGCCCTCCGATAAAAAACGAGGGTGGTGACGGGGACGAAATCCGATCCAGGTTGGGCCGAGCTCTTCACCTCGTCCGATTTCCAATCATGAAGAGCGATTACTTTTTAAACGAGGTTTACATCGATCTAATCCTGCCACCCCAGGATGTCACCCGACTCGTGAGGTAAAGTTGATACTCACGCCAAGTTTTGTGAACTTGTAAAATTAGATAACATTTTAGCCTGAGTTAATAAATTGTCAAACTTTACAAACATTCGTGTTGTACCGAGGCAATTCACGCAGGCCTTGGTAACTTTGTAAGAGACACTCTTGATCTGAATAAAGTGTTAAAAAATGTGTACGCTAATTTTGCTCAGAAATATTTGTAAAATTTTGCAAGTCTACAGAATTTACCGAATTTAACAATGTAAAGAACTGAGTGAATTGTCTCAATAATTATTAATCGTGTAAAGTTATAAAGTTACAGAAATTTCTGACACAATGTTAAAAAAATTCTCCCATTTGTCTAGATATTTATGTCTCTCGGCGGAAATTCCGATCGACCAGCGACCCGACCCGACCCCGTATTCGACCATTTTGCGAGCCGGGAGCAGCACCCGGGACAACTTGTCTGCCGTCAGGGGCAATGATGACAGTGGTGGCGGCGGCGGCGGTGGGGGGCGCGGTTCTCGCAGTAGCCTGACAGAATCTAGCAGTTCGAGCAATGAAACGTTAACAGGGGAATTAAGTAATCGAAATCAAGAGGGGTTAGTCGAATTTTTTGCTTAATGTAAAAACAAAAAAAATATTTTTGGTCAAATTTTGGTTTTCACTTTTCAAAATGCATGAGACTTTTAAAAATTTGTCAATTTCTTGATTTGAGTTAGTCACATTTTGCATTACGAGAAATTCAATCAATGAACTTTTTCTAGTCTTGCAAAATTTGAAATAGGTAGGTACACAAATTTTAGTAAATTTCGTCTGAATTTGTCGTTACGAATGTTGTTTACCAAAATTTGCCTACAAGTTTTACTGAACTTATTTATCTTCGTTTTTTTAGTTTTGCAAAATCGTGTATTCAATTTTTCATAAATTTTGCAAATATTCAAGTTTTTGAAATTTTAAATTCAAACTGAACTCTCTCTCCTAAATTTTTAGATCGGAACGCCACCCTCCTTCGGAACCAGACTCTAAACGAATCAAGCTCGAAAGCAGTCCTAAACCTGCATCACCACGCCCAACAATCGCCGGCCATGTCGCGCCCGCTCCGCTGAATGTACTCCTCATCGATGACGAAGAACCCGGCCCTTCAACTCGCCCACATCCACCTCCGCCCGTCGTCAATTCCCCCACTCCACCCGTAGTCAATCCCTCCACTCCACCCGTAATTAGTCCCCCCACTCCGCCTGCCCTAAGTCCCCCTACTCCACCAGATCACGCAGCCATTCTTCAATCAAATGTCACACCAATCTCTAAGCCAAAATCTAAGCCGATCACTATACTCGCCACCACGCCGGACGAGGATGCTTACATTTCCAACCAACTCACCATCACCACATGCACCTACCCTGAGAAGAAGACGTTGCGCGCCCTGTACTCCGCGATTTCATCCGACGCTCCGTCCACCGAGGTCATCACCGCCTCTGAGATCGTTCTCGACACTAAATCACTCTTCTTGCTCGACATGCCGCGCCTGCAACGCGCCCAGATCGACTTTTTGTACGGCCCGAGGAAAACGGTGACCAATTTTAAGGAATACTTAACCCGGTTGCAGATCCAGAGCAGTATCCTCTTCTTCAAGAAGGGGCACAATTCTCTGGCATCATTGTGGGACTCGGGGGTCAATGTTAATCTATCGGTTAATGGAGTCAATGTCTTGGAGGTGGAGCATGACACGGGGACACTCAAGATAAGCAGGTCGGTAAAGAGGGATTTTTACTTTTCCAAAATTTCCGAAAGTTTTCTTCCCTAAAAAAATAATCCCTCTTTTCTATTCCAGAATCAACTCCGCCGACCAGATCCTGCAAGGTCTCAAAATTGGCGAAGATGTCGACTCTCTCCTAGAACTTAAACACCTCTACCTGGATGAGGTCAACATTGACACGCTCTCCCGCATTCCCATCACAGCGCTGACTTCGCTCACCCTCCGCAAAGTTAAAGGGATCAAAGATCGCGTCAACTTTATCCGGTCGTGCAATCAAACTTTGACATCTTTTTCCTGTGACGACATGGGACAGGAGACCCTTAATTTTGGCGAGGACGTCGGCCTCCTATCCGAAGGGGTACCGACACCCACATTGGCACGGATCGCGGTGGGGAAGGCGCGCTTAGATTGTTCCCGGACGGGCGACGTAGTGAGCACGAGTTCGCCAGTGGAGAAACTTTATCTGGACAAGTGCACGTGGACGTCGGATTTTATGACCGCAATTCCCTACATATTTCCGAATCTGAGAAAAGTCAAGATTTGCAGTTACGTGACATTCCCAATTGTCCAAGCTTTCCTGGACATTGCGACATTGGAGTGGTTGGGCGTGTGGGAGTTGGAATTTCCGTTGTTGGGGGGGAAGAAGAAAAGGGGGGCGAGCGGTGGTGGTGCAGAGAGTAATAAGAGGAAGAGGAGTGATGAGGCCGAGGGGGCAAGTGGGGATGGGTCAAGTGTTGACCCGGAAGTGGTGAGAAGTTATTGGATGTTTGTAGCTGTATAAAATTTCAAGTTTGGAATTGATTTTCCTTTCGTAGTAATCTTCAGTGGAAGTTTTTTTTTATTTTACAAACAACCGAGTGAACCCAATTTGTAAACCACATAAACTGTTCATAAATTGTTTATCTTAACCTTTGCAAAATTAGCAAAATTGTAATTTGTAAATTTAGGTTTTTAACTTATTTTCCCTCCTTAAATCTTTGCAAATTGGTGGATTTTACTGCGTTACACAAGCACTCAAATTTTTCAAGTTTTTTTTAAAGTATAACCTTTATTTATATTTGTATTTTGTTTTTTAGAACAAAATGATCTCTCTCTTATCCGATGCCGGACTGGGAAACGCATCCTGGTTGACAAAGGGCCAGAAGACCTTCATTTTAGAGAAAGTCGTCCTTCACGGACCTCACGAAGAAGGAGGAAGTGGAATCACGAAAGCTTGGAAAGGCACGAAATTAACTAGATTGCAAAAATACAAGCAATTTACGAAACTCGATTTCGAACAGTTCGGGTGGAACGTTTTCTACAAAGATTTCAAACTATTTCGTAAAATTAATGGATGAATTAACCAACAAATGCAAGCGATAAGACTCAAGAATGTGCCGAATTATTGGGTGCTGCTCGAATTTGCAATTGTTTTTGCAATATTTACATACTTCATTATTTATCTACCAGTTAGTTACTAATTAATTAGTTAGTTAATTAAGCTATTGATGATTATTTTTTTCTACAAATTGTCGACTTGTAGTCTAGTGTTTTGAACTTTTTGTTACGTTTTTCCTCTTTAAGCTAAGTATTCACCTCATGTTTTTCGCGTGAAAACACACTTTTCGGGTGAAAAGTGAAAAAATTTCGCCCCCATTTCGCCTCACGGTATTCACTTTGGAAAATATTTCGGGTGAAAACTTGGGAGGGTTTTTCCATCGACCGAAATTTATTTGATTTTTTCGGCTGAAGTGAGCCGAAAAAGTTTTCGTCTGAAAAACTTTTTCGGTCGAAATTTGGAGCGCCAATTCCAAATTTTGTTATCATTTCTCTCTTGGATATTCAGATTACGCATTTTGCAATTTCTATTTCTTCTACTAGTTTCGCAAAATTTTACACTTTAGTGAAGTTAGAATATAAAATCATTAAGAATGACAGGTAAGACAGCTACGCGTAAGAAAACTGCTGATCGACCGGAGTCTACAAGACTTACATTGGATGTAAAACGGGCATTGGCAGCTCTGGTGGAAAAGTTTCCAGAAGTTTGGGATTTGACCCACGTCAATTACAAAAATCGAGATGCTCGAGAAGCTTCTTGGACGAAGATTGCGGCAGAAATGAATCTATCAGGTAGAATCTTTGATCTCTATTTATGTGCTCAAAATGAATTTGTTTAATTGAACTGGTTTAAATAACTTTAACAGCTGAACGTTGCAAAGCCGCCTGGGGTTCCCTTCAGGACGCTCTGCGATATCAAAGAACAGGAAAAAAGGGCCCATCTGGCAAAGGCAGTGAGGAGGACCCCTCTCAGACAGAATTTAATTTTGATGAAATAAAATTACTAGAAGGGTGGAACTTGTGGGAATCCATGAAATTCTATGTGCTTTCCAAACCAAGTCGGACGTAAGCAGAGCAGAACAAATATATCAATCCATATAAGTGAAGTCGGAAGCTAAATAAATGTAATAATATTTATATAATTAGCACGCTGTCCAACATGATCTTTTCATCAACTGCTACTGAAAATAACGACGACAAAGCTCCTCAAGCAGATTCAGGATCAGACGAAGTCGAGTTGACCGAGAATTTAAACCTGTCTACTTCTAATAATGAGGATGACCCACCGTGCGGGAAATCGACTCCGGTTGCAGGAGAAATACGCCCTATCTATTCGCACGTAATTATTTATACATTATTACTCCATTTTAAAATTTAAATTTTCCTTACAATCATTAATCATTACAATTTTCCCCATCAACACAATACTATGATAACCCTGCGAAATCCAGAAAATATGTTTAATAAGGTGAAAAAAATTGTAGAGTTATGAATTAGTATATGTACTTTATAATTATAAAACACACTGCCCGCACTAATTGGACATTTGATTGCCACGTGCTTTCCATCAATAGCACCAATTGTATTAGGAAAATTCCATAATCCATTGTATTCATTTGAAATTTCTACCCATTCTTGTTTGGTCGGCGGCTGTATATATAAAAATTATGTTCAGCAACAGCTTTAATCCTAGTTTGGTTTTCTTTTCACAACACTTAATTTACAGTAGAAGCTAAATACCTTCATAAATGACGCCTTCAACTCTTCAAATATGGCACGACTAGTTTGTTCAATGATTGGACCAAGACGTTGTTTACTGATTCTATATGTTGATGCCACGTGACGCTGTAGAGACCCAGATGCCAAAAATCTAAATAACAAGCGATGAAAGATATACAAGGTATGATAAGTTACCTATTCATTTTCAATAAGCTTACTCAAGTGTTACTGATAGTTTCTCTTGTGGACTTATAGCATGATGTGGACGGGTTGAAACTTTAGGTTCCAGCCTGTGTTGAATAATATTCAGCAATTGATTGAAAACTTGTGGCGACATGTGATAGTTCTCTTGAAAAATGTGTGGAGTAGATCTCATGTCGTCAAACTATTAAAACAATTTAATTCAACTTTAAATTGAATTTTAAATCACAAATAACAAAAATTAAATTACTCACGTCTTTGAAAAACCGTCCTTTAGTGCTCCGAAGCTGAAGGTACGGGTTCACATGATAATTTTTACGTTGCTTGCGCTTACGTCGTTGCAACTGTAGTGCCAGGGTTGTACAAGTTATCACAGTAACTAATTCAATGTCCGAGTCAGACTCCATTGTTTAAATTAAATGTTTAATTTGTGGATTCACAATTCAAATATCTTAGTGGATTTTGAGCTGAGGTCGTGTGTACATAAAATATTTCTAGAGGTGAATACCGCCACTTTTTCAGGCTGAAATTATTCGGAAAAATATTTTGTTTTTCGCCCCAATCTCGATTTCCCCATCAAAAAATTTCGGGGTAAAAATTTCGACCGGAATTTTTTCGCCCGAAAAAAAATAGGTGAATACTTAGCTTTACAAAGAAATTACATACATATGTTATGTAAATTCGACCTTGAGATTGCCAAAAATAATAATCATTATTTAACCCACATGAGTCATTATTAATTAATTAAGAAGTGATAATTCCTAAGAAATTAATTAATCAATCATAAATCAAGCCGATCTATTTATGTACAACAAAAAATTGTTGTAACTTTGAAAATATGTTGTAACATTGAAAATATAAATAAAGCTTTATATTGAAAATTAAGTACTGCACAATTTTTCATAAAATTTCCACGCAATTACATTATTTCAGGAACATTGAATTACAAAAATAAACTGCATTTTGCATAAAGAAACATACGATTGAGACAGAATCAGCGGGTAGAAAAATCATACCGGTATATTCATCATCCATCATACGATTTGCAGTAATTTGCACATGGAAAACTTGCAAATTTTTATTCCCCACTTAATTAATATGTCATCAATTAGGAGTTTAATTGTAACAAGGACCACCTCATTTCGCCACGGTCAAAGAGGATACGCCCATAAAGTTCTGGTCAGTTTTTTATATTGTTTACATCGCTCAACAGTTTCTAAATTTTAAATTAGGATTAAATGACCTGTCAATTTAATTATTATAAATTAAATTGTAGTACAAAGACCTCCAAAAAAAGACAGCTTGTGACCGTGCGCTCGCCCATTTTGACGACTTTTACGCCTCATTCTTCGGAAAGAGGAAATGGCCCCAGTTGCGCCTCGGTTTGCTCTCCCCACAAAAATATGTCGCCATTCCGAACCCTTTAACGGGAAATTTGGACCAAGTCATGGCTCGGTTGGAAGGTCTCGGCGCCTATAATTTGCACCGCCTCTGGGACGAGGCAAGGTCACAGTTGGCACAAGAGAAGAAAGAGGTAAATAGAATAAAATGCGAAATATTTGTATAAATTTCTGCGATAATTCTAGAAAAGTTGGAACTTTTGATGCAAAATTCTAGCGAGGCAAAGATTTACATAATTTGTAATTAAATATCCTCAAAGTTTTTTCCTATTTTTGCAAATTGTGCACCATTTCTTGCCCACAAATATCTTGTTCACATAGACATCATTACAGGTCAAAGATCAGGCAGGAAAGTCAATGATTTCGACTCTTGACCTCTTTTTTTCCTTAGATCGACGTCAAAAAAGATCTTGGACGAATTCACTCTCTCGAAAAGACTTTGGAATCTATCGCCGTGACGAAACAGGCTGAAGAGATGGATGTTCTGTATCAAAACATGGGACAAAAGAGGGAAGGAATGGAAACTTTGTGGGGGTCGGCGGGCTTACCTTCCTCTGGGGGAGGAGTGACCGGCTTCGATACAGACAGTAGATTGATAAGCCATCCTAGTCAAGGTATGTATGCATCACGTTTTTACAGAATAATATTAAATCATAAAATTTTTCCTATTTTTGCACAATTCGCAAAAATATTACACCAAGTTTCACTTACTTTTGTATCTCGTAAAGTAATCAATTTGCAAATAATTGGTATAAAATTATTCAATTTCATTCGATTCATAAATACAGTAAAACAGTTTCTCAACTTTACAGAATATTTGACACCACTTTGCCAACTAGTTGCAAATTTGAGCTATTTTATGTCTTAAATTTGCGCATATAATTTGCTAATAATTGGCAAAATCATTCTACCAATTTTTTCATAAAATTAAGAAAAGTTCTGCCTGTATGCAACATCAAACTATCTCATTTTCTAAGAAAATAATTGCGAAATATCGTAACTTTCTAAATTATGCAATTTTTTCTAATTCTAACCTCTATTTTTTGCACAGCCGCCTTCGTCCCACCCACCCGACTCAAAGGGTTAGACGAGTTTGCCTTCGACTCGGAATATTATGCAGGTTTCCTACCACAAAATTTGCAAAAGGCTCTCGACCCTGATGACGACGACTCCTTTGTATACGCCCGTCCTGGAAAAATGACCATCAAATGGCCCCCCGTCTTTCTCCCCTACAGTTTCGAACTAGGGTCAGGTCAAGAATTTCCCAGTGCGAGGCGCGACCCAGCTTCAGGTCGGGTCACAATTTATTAAACCTACAGTGCAGACTCCATATAGCCCGAGTCAGGGACAGAGTCCCTGACTCCGTGAGTCCTAGCTGTTTCTAAATTTTTCTAAGAATTGACCGACATAATATTACCATTTTTAACTTCCGAAACTATATTTGCTATCAAGAAGTGGCAGCCTTCGTACCAAATTTCAGATGGAAAAAATTAAAATTAAAAAATGGTATGGGTCATCCTCGAGGGTCACTCTGGTTAAAATTTGCTCACTTTTAGCTTCATATCCTTTCGTGAGAAGCCATTAGGTATGACCGTGCCGGATTTAATGTTTTTTAAGTAATTTCTAAAAATCGGTATGGGTCACCCCATAGGGTCGCTCCAGATAAGAATTTTACCAATTTCATGTCATATTCTTCTATTAAGACCCATTAGCAACCTCTCTACCAAATTTCAGCTTGTTATGACGATTTTGAAAAATCAGTGTGGGTCACCCCATAGGGTCCCTTAAGATGAAAATTTTTCCAACTTGGAGTCATTTTTATCTATTAGGAGCCATTAGCAACCACTGTACCCAATTTTAGCCTTCTACGACAATTTTGAAATTTTGGTGCACAAGACCCCACCCACTCCGATGACCCCCACCGGTCAACCACTGGACCGATTTCGCCCATCTTCGAACTCGTTTCCTAACTTTGTCCAATATGCATATGGTAAAAATTTCAAGTCAATCGGTTCAGCCGTTTTGGCTCTATCGTGCCGGACAGACAGACAGACGGACGGACATGACGGTTCCATAAGCCCTGACTCGGGCTAAAAAAGATAAATTAGAAACTTAGTTGTTTCAGAAATCAATTTATTGGTTAATCATTTTTGAATTGGTTGATTATAATTAAGCCAATTAATTTATTGACCATGTTTCCTCCTCATAATTTAAGAAAAACGATTAATTGAGACTAGAAATTTATACAGCTTTTTAGAAATTAATTGATTAATTATCGTTTTTAAATTAACCAATTTATTAATTTACTAGGTCTCCGCGAATACATTTGCGTCAACGGAGCCTCCATCGTTCCCGTGTTGGCGTTAGATCTAAATCCGTCCGTGGACTTGTTGGATCTCTGTTCCGGTCCTGGGACGAAATCGCTTATGGCGCTGATGACCATGTCGCTCGGATCCTTGACCTGCAATGACGTCGATACGTACCGGTTGAACAGGGTGAAAAAAATATTTGAGGAATTCACGGGTACGAAATAATTTTCAAACCAAATATCTGGAAAGTATTTAATGAAATCTTCGCAAATTTTGCACATTCACCAGAAATTTGTATGCATTTCAAATCTAAATTTGCTTATAAATCAAAAATAAGTCTATGATTCTTCACATGGGGAAAAATCTGTCTAAATATTAAATATTTCGGAAACTTGGTTAACGAAAAAATTGCAAAATTATCCCCAAGTTTTTTTTTGCAAACTGTTATCATGTATTGTTATAATAATTTTTACGGTATGAAGTCTTCCAAATTTTTCATGAAAAATTCATAAATATCTTCCCAAATTTTTCATGAAAATCCTAAGCCTAAAATCCCCTCATTTTTTTCTCAGGAACGTCGACCCCTGATCTCGTTACATATACCAGATTTAATGGGAAAGATTACCCCACAGGGAAAAAGTATGATCGCGTCCTCGCCGACGTTCCTTGTCTCAATGACCGCGTCTCCATTGCCATCCAGGACAACAACATTTTCAAAGTTAGCCGCACCCGGGAGCGCCTCGAACTCGTCAACGTCCAAAAAGCCATCCTTCTCTCAGCCCTTAAAACAATGAAAAAATCAGACGGCGCCGTCACCGTGTATTCCACATGCACCCTCAGCCCGGTCGAAAACGATGGTGTAAGTGCATGCAAATTTGGCTCATTTTATTTCAGAAAGTAGGGATTTTTGTGGAAACAAATTTGAATGAAATTGAAATATTTTTAGTGTGAAAAAAATTTTATGCTTTTGAACATGTTTGTCCATAAAAAATTGTAGAATTGGGATTTTTTAGAACACGTGTTTTTTTACACCCGATAAATTAATGCTAAAAACCTGATTTTTTTAAGAACGTGTATTTTCAAACACGTATTTTTTCTTGCTCACGAAGAAAATGCTTAAAATCAGAACTTGATTTAACCCCCTGATTTCAAACGTGCTTGTCACACATGAAAAGACACTCATAAATTCCTATTTTAATTTGCACCATTTACTTTTCTTTCAGGTTATAATGCACGCCTTGAGGGAAACCGAAGTGGAAAACTTGGCCGTTGACATGTTCGGTTTACTCACACTGATAAAACCGCTCGAAATGAAGGGATTTTGTCGAGTGTCGCGGACCAGATTCGGTGCCCTTATCGAACCAAACATCATCTCCAACTTTGGACCCATGTACATTTCCAGGATTGTCGTAGAGAAGAAGCCGAGTACGGAAGAAATCGTCACCCCCACAAATCAAGAAGATGACCCCGAAAAATCTCATCATGATAACGATTCAAGTGACGAAAACGTGACCAAATCAAGCTTAACGTGACGATTTAATAAATAATGTATTGACTAAAACCAATCCCAAAAAATTCAACCCTGAAATCAAACTCGCTTACTCCAGACAAATCTGAAACTGATCAAGATTTCGTCACATCATCAATTTAACGGGGATTCCAGCCTCCAAAAAACTAGTCCCATTATTACCTAACTGGTTCATTATACTCGTAACTATTTAGTTTTTCTACTTATTTTACTTATTTATCAGTTAGTTAACTACCCTAAACAACGTGCCTTTTTCGTATTAAACTATCTAAATGAAGATAATCTCTGTCTGTTTTTTTTCTCTAGACTCGTAAAATTTTCCACATCTGGCTCTACATAAACCGTGGACTAAATTAGAATCATAATTAACGCAGTTCAATTCGGTTTCGGGATGCACTTTGGTCGATGCGCTGATCGTTTTTTGGTAGTGGACATGCCCTCGCCACGTTTTATGGTGACGGATAAAGATCATCATCATCACACTGCCAATAATATTTGCAAAAAAAGAACAGGCGCCCCCAGACAGTCATTTTCCAGAAGGAGCCATCCCCCTCCCTCCTATCGCTCTCAACAATGACACAACTAACCACCGACCATCCGTAGTAATCTCATCAACGAGCTAAAAATAGCTCACAAACAATTAGCACAAGAAGATCACAAGGAGAGGAATCATTACCTAGGTTGTCGTGCAGGTGGGATGTCTCACACCAATCTTGACCCTACGTCACCGCTCCCCTCGAACACACCCTTTCCGCACAGTCCCCCATTATTACCAGCCCCGTGTGTTGTAGTGCATCCTCCCTCCATAAATAAATTCTGCTTGCAACCAGTTGTATTTTTCGTCCGTATTATCATGCAAATTGGAAAAATGTGGGATGGGTTCTTTAGTCGAGAAGGAATTGATATTCTAATTAGACCACTAATTGCACTGCGAGCTATGCATAGGATTTTTTTGCATGGATGAGATCGAGCTATATTTAAAATCTGGTTCAGACAGATATTTAATAATACATACTGATATATTCCTCTCCAGCACGTTATATTGTATATGATAATGAGGGGGCATGCATCAATTTTAGGGGGTCGAGTAAGTCTAAAGGGGTCACACCCTTCGTAATTTCATTATAACACAGGTCACTGGAGGGAATGGAGGTCAAAATTCGGTGAAAATCCGTCACATTTTTGCTGGATGGGGTCGCTTAACTAAATATTTAACGGACTAATGATCACCTCATTGCATCAACGCTAAATCCGTGACGATATAGAAAAATTATGAAGCTACTTTGTTCTCATTTCGGTATAAAACTCTGCTGTCCCATTCTCAGCCACTTTTCAACCAGGAGTCAGTTTCATTTCAACATTTGAAGCAGAAAATAACGGACAATTTTAGGGATTTTTTTCACCCAGGAAATGACCACGCCGAATGAACCGACGCTGTTTATGGACCTCTTTTTCTACTGGTTGGCCGCTCTTCCGCTTCTCATCGCGCTACTTGTAAGTAATATCTTAATGGGTTACGTAATTAAGTAGTTAATTAAAGTAATTAATTAATTTTTCCCATTTCAGGTCTGGCTCTACTTCTGGAGACAGAAATACCTGGTCAAAATTATGCTAGCGAACGGAACCAATTGCAATATTTGTCCAAATTCGGACGAAAATAGTAATGGACGCCACGCTTCTTTCTCTGATAAACCGCCGTGTTATGATTTGTGTGAGTTGTTTGGAAATTTTCAAAATAATTTTAAAAATTTCTGTACAAAAATTTATACTAATTGTTAATTTCCTACAGATGAATCTTACCCTACTGTCGAGAAAATTGGGGATGAAAATCGTCACGTGGCCGTTACCGTTGAAGACGAAGAAGAAGATCCACCACCCACTTATTTAGATGCCATTGTCAAGATCAAGAGGAAGAATAAAGGTCATCATATGTCATGGGGTCAAAGGTTATCCATTTATGCGATACCACTACCGGAAGTGGGAGAACCAAAAAGCAGTGATCAAGCCCAATCCACTCCGAGCGTGAAGACGATACAAGCCAAGAATGGGAAGGAAGTGGAATCCAGTCAGACCAGAAATGGAGATGATAATAGTTAACAAAGAAAAATAGTTAGGAAATTTTCAGTAAATTTCCCATTTTTAATTTTTTTCAAAAATGCTCCACACGATCAAACAAGACTGAGATCAATTTTTAAATTAACAAAAGTTATAATTAATTTATGAAACCGTTAAAGGTCAAAAATCATAAATACGTGACATTTGACCTGTGTTATGCTCAGAAAATCTAGTCTGAACTATTTTACAAAACATATAAGCTACGAATAAAGCAAGAATTTGTATCCATTTTTTCAAATTGAATAAAAAAAAAACAAAGTAAAATTTTGAAATTTCTGATTTCTAACACCTCGTCAACTTCCTGTGAGTACGTTATTTTAAATATGCTCATAAAAACCTTACGATTTTTCAAAACAAGAATTTTTTATTCATTTATCCCCTCAAAAATTTAAAAATCAGTCATCCAAAATTTTGAAATATTCTCTCCCCAGCTATTTTGCTAGTTCTGGTGGTGCACCCCCCTTTCCAAATTTGGCCGGACTTGCATCCTCACTACTTCCCCCCTTCGCCAATCCCACCGTTCCGATTGAAATGGGAATCTCAGCCCTCAAATTGCTCGTACAACCGGAAATGATCAGCTCAAACTGGAGAAAAAAAGCGTTACTTTTACAATTAAACTTGACCTTAGTTGACCCCTCTTACCTGCAACGCATAATTCAGCACGATCAGACTGCTCCCGCCAAGCGTCGTGGGCGGCAGGTGGCGCGGAAGGTCGAGATATCCCGCCCAAAGTTCTTTACTCTTTCGTTCAACGCTTCCCGCGTTCACGGTCACGAGCGGTTTCGAATCCTCCTTGTTTTCTCCGGAAGCGTGAAACAGGGTTTTCTGAAGGAGCCGGGCGACAACCTGTTTGACCCGGGAGGTCGACTTGTTCTCTATTTCGGCCACGAAATTCACCTGTTCACCGAGGACGAAGCCACGTTGAGGAAGTTTTACCATGATTTCGATCTAAATTCAGGAAATTCAAGGAAAAAAAGGATTTTTTAATGACAAAAACGAGTAAAAAATGGGAACAAATTGTTATAAATTTTACAGGACAGACAGACAAACAGGACACATTTTCGATACATGGGGTAAAATTTGGAAGAACAAAGTTGTCAAAATTTGGATGTCACAAATTTCGCATTTTTGTAAAAAAAAAAATTTACGCCGAAGTTTGGCATTTCTTTGATTTAAGAAGATATCTTCAAAAGGTTTGTACTTACTGGGCCCACTGTAGCTGTACCTAGCTATTAACTTTAAAACCGCTGGAGATATTGAAAATCTGATAAGTGCGTTGGATTCCCCGTGCGATTTTGCATAAGTTTCTCAAATCCATTTTGGATTACTTGCAAAGCCTATCAGCAGGGAAAATTTTGAATGGACACAGGAGGCGAAAATTTTTCATTCAAAAAATGGGTAGAGAAATAGTAAATTTGAAAAGCATGGCAGGAATCGAACGTGCACTTTAATTTAGTCCAAAGGACTATAAAAACGTTCACGGGGACCGGGTCGACTAACAATGGAACCTTTTTTCAAGCTACACGAGATAAGCTTAGTGACTTATACTAAAAAATCAAGCTAAAAATTAGTAATGACGTGGTACTTATCTTTCCGTTGAATGGGCACTTGGAGGTCAAATATTTGAGGGCAAAGTTCAGAGTAGCGGCCTGTTTTTTTTCTCAAGCGGGCGAGCGGAGGAGTGAAAATTTTCTCCTTCGAGGTCACTCCGCTCCCTTCACTCTCGCGTTTCGGGTTTGCACTTTCATTCAATGCACATTGTTTTTGATAAAATTTCACAATCTCGTAAATTGGTGCATACATTCATATAATTTTATATTTACTTTTTAAATCGATCCTTACAAAAGTGACGATGGGTGCAGTAAATTATAAGTGCGTCGCTAAAACATTCACCCAAATAATACAATTTCGATGATGATGAATCAGACCCAGATGAAGAACATTTCTTAATTGCTGAAGTTTTACTAGTAAAGCTGCACGAGATAACTTACAATTACATACTTATCGAAGAAAATGAAAATCGGTGATAAATGAATAGTTATGTTGAATAGTCACTTATGTTAATTATTACGAATTTAGTCTTATTTTTATTAGGTGGTATAGTGCATGATGTAAATTTTATTGATTGCGAAAGCGGGGAAATAATTGATACTTTTTTATTACCGATCGGTGGATAGTAGGATCGATTTAAAAAGTAAATGTAAAATTATATGAATGTATGCACCAATTTACGAGATTGTGAAATTTTATCAAAAACAATGTGCATTGAATGAAAGTGCAAACTACTGCAAACCCGAAAACGCGAGAGTGAAGGGAGCGGAGTGACCTCGAAGGAGAAAATTTTCACTCCTCCGCTCGCCCGCTTGAGAATAAAACAGGCCGCTACTGTGAACTTTGCCCTCAAATATTTGACCTCCAAGTGCCCATTCAACGGAAAGATAAGTACCACGTCATTACTAATTTTTAGCTTGATTTTTTAGTATAAGTCACTAAGCTTATCTCGTGTAGCTTGAAAAAAGGTTCCATTGTAAGTACAGTCGAAGAAGAATTTTTTGAAATCCTATAAGGACCACACCCATCGTCAAGGCGCTGAAGCCTGGAATTAGAAGAATTTCACGAAATTTCAACGGAAACCAACCTTACAGCTGACAGTGTAAAGGCAGATTATCCAATGAGTGCTCAAATTGAACCCTAAACTTAGGACTTTGAAATGTGGTACTTGCCACATGCCGACTATCCCCCAAAGGGAAGCCAGATTAAAGAAACCCAGGAGTAACTTTAAGCGGTACGCTCAGAAAAAGTGAAGAGGATTCTATTTACAAATGAGGAGATTTTGACATCGGAAAAATCTTTTAACAAACAAGTTGAGCTAATCTGTGCAAAATTGGTCAAAGACATCCCCCGATATGGACAAAAGGTCAGAAAGTCAGATTATCCAGGTTTTGTGACGATTTTGGCAGGTGGGAGCTAATTGGGGTAATTTCTCTACATTTTGTTGAGAATGGGGGGAAGGTGGTGGGATAAAATTTCTTAAAATATGTCTTTGAGTCCGTGGTACATCCCCTAAGTGAGATCCAATTCAATGGAATCAAGTAGACCTCTCAATAAGGCTCAGAACCAGCTCATAGTGCAAAAAATGATCAAAGCGTGGTTAAAAAACCAAATTGCGGACTTTTTTCCTATTTGGAATGGTCATCCTACTTTCTGGATTTAGATTCCCGGATTATGAAAAATGGTCAAAGTGAGGGACATAGGTATGTTCTAAGCCTCGTAGAAGTGTGAAAGCTTAAAAAAAATTTTTGACCACCGAACGGTACAAACTATTCGCGAATTCAGTGCGTTCTGGAGTCAAGTACTCAAGACCGCGTCTTCAGCGCAGAATTAACGCAGGGGGCGGTAATTTGGATAACTAAAAATTGGTTTCTACTCAAAAATTAACTGGCTTTCCAATAAAATTTACTAGAAATTTGTAACACAAAAGATGTTGAAGCTATAGCGTCTTATTTAGCGTACAGTTTCAGTGGGCCACCTGGTATCTGCAATAATCTGCATCAAGATTTCCTAAAAATTCGGCCCACATTTCATAATTTTTTCCAAATTAAAATTTCCGTAATTTTTACTCCGAACAAAACGTGGGCATATTCGCCCAAAATTTGTCCCCCTCAACTCACCACCCCTCTTTTGATACAGCAGCAAGACACGACCCTTTTATGGTCATGGAGTTCCGCCTTGTGACCCAGAGCGGGGTCAGAGTTCAGGTCATACTCGCCATTCACGATGAAGGCTCCCATGCAGGTCAGCTCTGTATCCTGCGTCGTTCGTGCCGAGACCTTCATGACGTACGTGATGGAGCCGAACGCGTCGATAAAGGTGGACGGAAGTGGGGAGGGTGGCAGCGTGTAGGAAAAAGTGACCTCGGCCGTCATGTAAGGTTCCACTTTAGTAATCGGAGTGCCTCATAAAATAAAATAAATAAAATGTCATGACCTTTGACCCTGTGAAACCCTTCGTCCATTTGCATGTTTACAAATTATTCTAATCAGACTTTCCAAAATTTTGCAACTTCCTTTCCAAAATAAATTTTATAAAATGTTGGGAGATTACTTATTTAGATGTAGATATTATCAGAATTTTTTAAAAATTTACACATTTCTTGAAAAATATCGACCTTTGACCCTAATTAATTATTAGATGGCCCTAACACTCTAGATTTTACCTTGATGACCAGGGAATTTCAGAAATTTGCATATTCAAACTTTAAAATGGGACAAGACTTTTCCCGTATCTCTCACAGTTTGACCACGTTAAAATTTTGCTCAGGATTTTATAAAAATTGATGTACATTTCGTAAAAACTGTTAACCTTTGACCTCACAATTAACTAACTAATAATTACCCTTGTCCACCACGAAATTGGTGTCGATGTACACCTCCGTCGACGCGTGAGCCATGTCCAACTGCTTCTTTTGATTTTCCGTCAGCACCGCCCAACTCGTCCGCCCTGTCCCGAGCACGTTTATCTTGATTTCTGTCCGTACAAAAAAACTCGATAAGCCCAGCTCCTCCCACTTGACCTTATCTTATCTTACCTGTGACATCTACCCCGCCCACCATTCCGTCCAGCAAGATGCGACCCGTGATCGCTTCAGAGGGCGAGTACTCGAGCGAGTCCCGATCGAAGCGGATCTTGACTGGGCAGCTGGGATCTTCTTTGTACAATTCGACTACGGTAAACTTCCGGTTCGCCCCGTCGGGACAGATGTCACGTGTCGCGATCATGACGATGATAAGAACTTATCTTAAGTAAAATTTCGAAATTGTTGCGTATTCTATTGGGAAATTTGGATTTGTTCATAAAAGATATCATTTCCAGACATGGAAAATTATATTTTGTGTGCGTGGCGACAAAAAAAATCGTGCATGACGACGAGTCTGCAGTTCGAAAGTCACGAGCAAGTTTCAAAATTTTGCAAAATTTTGCAAAGATTATGCATCCAAACCAAATAAACTAGCATAGACAAATCTTGTTTTTCTTGTGAGTTGCTAATTCTGTTACTAAATTTGCATGCATTTTTTTGCACGAGAATGGATTAAAATTTTGCATGCATTTCTTCTGTACGGGAATGGATTTAAATTTTGCATGTATATTTTCAGCATGCGACACGATACAAATTCGTCACGAATTTTGCATCCATTTTCTGAAAGACCCAATTGAAATTTTGCATATATCTTTTAAATTCCTTGTGATAAATTTCCATGAAAAACTTTGCCTTCATTTGTCCTTCCATGCCATTAAATTTCCCATGAAATTTCTGAACCCACATCATAGAGTTGTATATAACAATGACCCACATTGATAACAAGATTTCAGAAATTTATGCAAACATTTTCATCATAAAATTATTGGTCACAAATTATCGCAAAATTTTACAAAAATATTGCAAAATTTCCATTTTCTCTCTCTCCACCCCATCTCAACACCGGGTCTTATTTTTATTTTGATCTCAACCTGCCAAACACTGGCCACGGGGGCATGTCGCACCCGCGTACACGCGGGCCATTCAAACCTCTCTCGTGCTACCGTGCTGCCCATGACTTTTCAGCAACCACATGCATTTCAATTTCCAGTCCACCATGCGTTCAGTCTCCACTCCACACTCCACAAAAGCCGCTTCTACTTATCAGACACCATTTTAAATAATTAAATATCCAATTTTAATTAATTAAACTTAAGAGGAAAGGTGGTCAAAGACTTTGACTCAAAGTTGTGCTGTTTTTTAAGATAAAAGACCAGCCAACTTTATCTATTCATGATGGAAATGGAAATTGCTGGTGAGTAAATTTTATATATTTATTTAATTGGATAGTTAAATAGTTAGTTAGTTAATTGAATAGTTCATTAACCCTTCCATAAAAGCACCGGTCTGCAGTTAATCGCAATCTTGGTCCGGTTGTCGAGTGAAGGCAAATTAAAATCAACTCTGGGTGTGATACGTTGCTAATTTTGATGCGATAAGTATCTCAATCTGAGTTGGTACAATTAGTTAATTGTAACTACTTAATTAGCTACTAGTTTTGGGGCTTATCTTAAACTTGGCTTATCTCATATCTGTTTCTTCTATTTTATAGGAGGGATCGGATTTGAGCAGACTTCCAGCAAGAAGAAGAAGAAGCGAAGCAAGTCAGAAAATGGGGGGGATGCAAACGGTGGGGAATTATTGCTCGCGGAGGTTCAGAGAGATAAGAAGTTCGTCCTCGCGTCGAGTGATAATCCGGCAAAAATGCGACCCAGTGAGTGGCCCTTACTTCTCAAGGTAAATTGAAAGAAAGGTTTTGTTTGGGTATAATAAAATTTCAAATTTTTGCATTTTGAATAGAAATTTTAAAATCAAAATCATGTTCCGTGATTCATGGCTAAATTAGTAAAATATGGAAATTGTTTTGAACACTTTCTAAGAATTGGGAAAAAATTCGTTAAAAAATGGTGATATCTTTCTGGACACTTGTTGCTGAAAAACTGTCAGTTTTCTGTCAACATTTAATTAAAAGTAGTCAAATTTCCACCAAAAATAAGTTTTCAGGCACTTTTTGTTGCCTAAACTGTATAACACTTTCCAATTAAACTTGGCCCTTTCAAAATCTTACTTTTACCCCTTATCCTTGTTCCTATTTTCTGACAAAATTGTATAAAAATGTGTGAAATTTCCATCCAAACGAAAGTTTCTCGACAGACTTGTTGCTCTCCAAATTGTACAAACAAAATACATTTTGATCTTCAATTGATCCAAATTTCACTCAAATTGTCCCCCATTTTTTTCAGAATTTCGACCAGCTCAACGTAAAATCGAACCATTTCACTCCCCTCCCTTTCGGAGCGTCCCCTCTCCAACGGGACATCAAGGACTATGTCCGTTCCGGTTTTATCAATTTGGACAAGCCCTCGAACCCCTCATCCCACGAGGTCGTCGCATGGATCAAGCGGATCCTCAAAGTCGACAAGACCGGACACTCGGGCACCCTTGACCCCAAAGTGACGGGCTGTCTCATCGTCTGCGTCGACAGGGCGACCCGGCTCGTGAAAAGTCAGCAAGGCGCAGGAAAAGAGTACGTCGCCGTGTTCAAGCTGCACTCCGCCGTGGCTGGAGAAGCCGTCGTGTTGCAGGGTCTAGAAAAACTCACGGGTGCCCTATTTCAACGACCCCCATTGATTTCCGCCGTCAAACGTCAACTCAGAGTGAGGACGATTTATAAAAGTAAATTGTTAGACTTTGATCCTGACAGGAATATGGGTAAGAAACGAAAGGAAGAAGAGATTATTTGTGAAGAGGTCAAGGGTTAATTCTTTTTTTTTTTGCTTAGGTGTTTATTGGGTCAGCTGTGAAGCTGGGACGTACGTGAGGACGCACTGTGTCCATTTAGGTCTAGTTTTAGGAGTCGGTGGTGTCATGCTCGAGTTGAGGAGGGTGCGCTCAGGTGAGAAAAAATGAGGATAATTTCAGGGAGATTTGTGGAAAAATGAAAATATTTTTGTAACGGGAATAGATTTTGCAAAAGTTAGAGTAAAATTGATTTGCGAATAAGTTGCAACGTTTACAAGATTTTAATTTTTGTTTTTCCCCTTTGACAGGAATTTCCTCCGAGTACGACAACCTTGTCACGATGCACGACGTTATGGATGCTCAATGGGTTTATGATAATCATAAGGATGAGACTTATCTGAGGAGGGTTATCAGTCCCTTGGAAGGTCTGCTCGTCTCCCACAAAAGGGTCATCATCAAGGATTCCAGTGTAAGAAGAACAACTTATCTGAACTTCCGATAACCTTCCATAAAAGCACGAGCCGCGTCACAATGTCCGGTTGGTTGTCACGTGAAGGATATTAAAAAATCAAGTCTGGGTGTGATACGTTGCTAATTTTGATGCGATAAGTATCTCAATCGGACTTGATACAGTATTTATTCAAAATTCTGGGAATTTTGGAAATTTAGATTTTTGGCGAAACTGATTTTTTTGTAATTATCAAGAAGAATTTTTACTAGTTATTTGTATGCCTGAAATTTGGTCAGGTTTTTATAAATCAAAATTTACATGTAAAAACAACAGTAAATTTTATATTAGAATTTGAAAATTTTGCGTTATTGATAAGTGTCACTTATCTTTATGCTTATCTCTTCCTTCCAGGTCAACGCTGTCTGTTATGGGGCGAAAGTAATGCTTCCTGGCGTCCTCCGATTCGAAGATGGGATTGAATTGAATCAGGAAATCGTAATTGTGACGACGAAAGGAGAAGCCGTCGCGTTGGGTGAGTCATCTTATCTTATCATGGCTTTATTTATCCAATTTTTTTTTGTAACCCAACTCATCTCAACATTTGTTTAGCCATCGCACTAATGACAACATCCACAATGGCGATGTGCGACCACGGCGTGGTCGCGAAGCTAAAGCGTGTCATCATGGAGAGAGACTTGTACCCGAGAAAGTGGGGTTTGGGGCCGAAGGTTAATTTTCATATTAATTCTTTCCTCACAAAAATCTCTCCTACATTATCATGCAAAATTTTGTGCAGAATTTCGATTGTTTTCCAACCAAGGGGCAGTTTCTTGATAAATTGTGAAACTGTCTCGTTTTTGGTTGAGAAATAAAATTTTCCAGTATGAATTTTGGAATTTTACCGTGAAGTTTTTGAAATTGGTTGAGTTTTAGGTAAATTTTTAGTCTTTTTAACAGCATTTTGATATTTTAAGGATTTTTAAATAGATTTATTGTTGGATTTTTATTTTTAGAAAATTTTAATACTTTCAGGATTTTTTAAGATTCATTTTTTAATCGAGTTATGATGTTTTTAAAATGATTTTCTCATTTTGTGAAAATTTTATTCTTAAGAATTTTGTCATAATTTGTTATATTCCACTTTTTTAGGCCAGCGTGAAAAAAGAGATGATAAAGCAAGGGCTTTTGGATAAGCATGGGAAGCCTAATGACAAAACGCCAGCGACTTATTTGGCCACCGCCGTGTCGCAGATGGCCGTCTCCTCGCCAAAGGTGAAAAAGGAACCGGAAGACTTTGTCATCCCCTCCGCCGGAGATGAACCAGCCCCCTTGAAAAGAAAGGTATGCAAATATATATTTTTTTAGATTTCTTCCCAATTTCTCCCCAAATTTGAATTTGGGGAGAAATTGAATCTAGAAATGTGCAGAGATTTTAATTTCCTCTGTCACCGAGTTGATATTAAGTGTATCGGGTGAAATTTATCTCGAGAGAACAATTTAATATAAAATAGGACGCAAAAAAGTTGAATTTTCCGTCCAATTTTTTACCAAGTTATTAATTGTTCTTGTTATTTTTAGCTGCCTGACGCCACCTCTCCCGCCACGACGGAGAAGAAGAAGAGCAAGAAAAAGTCGGTGGAACCGGAAGTTGCTGCCCCCGCTGAAGAGGAGACCGCGGAAGTAGAAGAAACTGAAACGAAGAAAAAGAAAAAGAAGAAGAAGAAATCCAAAACGGAAGAGGGCGAGGATGAATAAGAGTAGCTATAAATTAATTAAGACTTAAATATAAATTTTTAAATTTATATTATTGTTACGAAATATTGAAATATTTAAAATTATTTCATATAAAAAATCCTAATGTTTTGACAAATCTTGTTCACTTGACTAGACTTTTTTGTAAAGATTTAAAGATTTTGTTACAAAATATATATGTAAAGCTGCCTAAAAAGCCATGTAAAAGTTTTAGAGTAGATAAAATTCAGGAAAAAGACTGCGAAAAATTAATAAAGTGTTACATTTAATGTTAACACAAATATAATTCATGCACAATTTGTCATTTAAAATTTCAACAGAGTCCCACACATTAATTCCATTTAAAATCTTCATCGAGTCTCCTACAGCAAAAATGCATGCAAAATTCATGACAACTTTCCAAATTGTGCCCATGAAGAAAAACCTGCAAAATTTTCATACAAAATTTCAATGGCGAGCGTCAAATACAAAAAAAATCCATGTCAAATTTTCATCCAGCTTGCAAAAAAATGTCCGCAAAATTTCTAAAGATTCGACGTTTAAAAAAATCATGAGGAAAATTCCATGCAAAATTGCAATCACGTCACATAAACAATAGTAACTTTACTGTGTTGATTAGTATGTCCAATTTAAATCCTGATCCTGCTTCCGTAAGTTCAAGTCCAGTCCAAGGTCGTTATTTCAATTCCTACCAAAATGTCACCTCATCATTACCACCTCACTAAAACAGTTCTCTTTAATTGCCGAGATGAACTTGATCCCGTCCAACTTCCGGTTTTAACTTCCGGATCATTATTCTTTCCAAACCACTAGCACAATTTCATTCCTACTTCGTCACTCTGGACAAACGATACCGTTTCCAAATTTATAAATTTCCTAAAAGAAAAATCAAACCCATACATTTCTACCGACACAAGTTACAAACTTCCCCAATTTCCTTTGTAATTTGCAAAGTCCTGAAATTTTCTTAAAAAATCGAAACATGCCGACACCACATTCCCACTTCCGGTTAACCCCCCTTCTCGTGACCTTTATCCCTCTTATCAACCTCATAAATGGACAAGGTACGTCCTCTTTCGTGACCACGTGGCCATGATTTTAGTCGGGTCAATCTGACGCCCTGATCTTGGACCTTTACTAATTTTCCACATTAACTTGACTCAGGTAACATGTGTGGAGTAGCGGCTCCGGATCCAATGAAAACTTGCATCAGTGTCAGATTACCATGGCAGGTGTGACCTCAGAAATTCTAATTTTTAGCCCGAGTCAAGCCTTATGTACCCGAAATGGTTGTTTGTCTGACTGTCTATCTATCGATTACGCTCGTAAAACTTGTCCAATCGAGTTGAAGTTTTGCACACATGGTACATGCAAAATTAGGAATCAAGTTCGAAAGATAAGTAAAAAGGAATATGTTTCCCTTATATCTTTCCCTCTCAGGAAAAATAAAAAAAAGCTGAAATGGTGGTATTGCACCTCAATTTTAATAACAATCTGACTCGGGCTAAATAAGGCTGCGTTGTGGGTTTTTAAAATAAATCTAAATTTATATTTTTATATTTTTAGCCGGAACCACTCTACTTTTGCATGGGTAAAATATTTCATAATTTTTTTGTTGGCAATTTCGAGTATGTTGTAACTGGAAGGAAGGGAGATCTTCTGAACTAAATTAACATTTTATAATCTTTAAGAAACTAACTTTTGTCGTGATTGCTCCGCATTTTAAATATATATATTTTTAAATATATACATTTTATAAATATTTCAACGATGTAGAGCGATCTTTTTCGCTTAAAGAAATTGGACCACACGAAATCCAGAGTGTTATATTCAAAAATACAAATTTTGCGAAAATTCTTGTTTTTATGTTTTTTCGTACATACTTACCTATCTCGCAAATATGTACTCTGAGATGTTTCCCTAATACATGTTTCACAAATTTTTATCGTCTGTTCATTACGTTTATCCAGAAATTATCCGAAAATTCACGAAAAATTCGTCGACAAAATTGCCAACTTAATAATAAAGTTTCCTCATAAACTCCATAAATAAAAATCGGAACATTAAAATCTGTTTTTTTCATGTCCAAAAGTCTTTTTCATTGATATGATATATGATTTTATATTTTACAATTATAATCTCGAGATTATTTTAGAAATTCAGATTTTTCCCCAATCCTATCTAATAATATTTACAACTTACTAGAAATCTTACTAAAACCCACTTTCGTCGCTTTGATTTACACTAAAGAATGAAAGATCTGAAGATTCACATTTATATTTCTAAAATTCCAATTTTCTCGTAAATTCCGTAAAACAATAAAAATTCAATTGATTTTCTTTATATTTTCGTCACGATTTTGCTTTATAAATTTTTTTGTGCAAAAATATAAACATTTTCCCCAAAATTGTTCTAAATTTTCTAATTTCTCAAAACTTTTATAACCAAAAAAATAGAAATGCTATCATCCTAACTTGTCTTCACAATTTATTTTTATGAAAAAGTCCTAAGATTTTAGCCTTCAAATTTTCCTAAATTTCCTAAATTTTCAAAACCTCTATCCCCAGAAAAAGAGAAGTTCCGCTACCGTTCGCAATGTCGCCAGACTAAAGGGAACTGTGGTCTTGACCTGTTCCGAAATGACACCTTGGTCGTCTCGACGCCATGGGATTGCTGCCCTTTCGCATCTATGCCTGACCCTTGCATGACCTCGCACTGTCCCCCAGCCCCAATGGGACGAACTTGTACGGAAATCTCGATCGGCCAACCGGTCTGGGGAGGAGATTGCTGTCCGTCGTACTGGTACGAATAGTGTTGGTAGATCCGATCCGACAGCAGTCGATCCGAAAATCGGATCGGATTCTTTTTATCCGACCGTCTACTATAATATGGATTCGATCCGAAAACCGGGTCGGATCAGATTTTTTTATATTACTGTTTACATACATTACTATATGGATCTGATCCGATAATCGGATCAGATTTTTTTTATCCGACCGCTTACTCTGATATGGATCCGATTCGAAAATCGAATTCATGTCATAGTAAACGACCGGATAATCCGGTCTTATAGAATTATACCGGATTATCAACAATAGGTGCGAAGAGGGCGGTATTCAGCCCGACGGATGCAGGATGAAGAGATTGGATCCCATGTGTGTCAATCCGCCACAGGGAAAGACCAACTGTGTTGCGTTTCATGACCCGCACGGATGCTGTACGAAATTTCAGTGTGATGGAGGTCAGATTTTGAATAATTTTGAACATGATTTTTCAAGTTTTTAGAAAATTCCAGTTTTGGTCTTAGATACTCTGATAATTACAATTTACTTTTTTCTTAATTGATTTTTACGAATTTGGAAATTTTACCCCAAAAAATAAACCAATTTCCTCTTTGATTTCCACCCCCAGAGGGAAAACCCGGCCTGTGTCCTGCACAGCATCACGCTATGGAAATTCAGATGCGTCTCAACACCACGCACGCGCACATGATGAACATGTCCATGAAGGGCGTCACCACCAGAAATGCCGCCTCGTCGAGAACAGTTGCACATCTTAACGTCCTGGAACCCCACGCGGAGTCGGTTCATCATCACATGGTGACAAATATTTTGCCATTTTGCAAAAAATGTGTTACAAATTGTAACTTACAATTTTGGAATAATTTTAGCACAAAATATGAAAATTTCCTCAATTTGTTAGAAAATAGATCAAAAATATTTCAAATTTTGTAAAAAAAAATATTATTTTTCAGTCTTTTGTAAAATTTCCTGCAACTTTTTTTTACCAATTTCGACACGAATTTTTAACAATTTTTTTGATAAATTTAAATTCCAATGATTAATTTTCTAAAAATTTCCCCGATTATCCAAGAAATTTTTCAGGTCCTTAATATTTGCCATTGTTATATTGCCATTTGTTATATTTGCAGGATTTTTTTAAATTAATTATTTTTTTAAAATTTGTACCTTTATTTTCTGTACACAAACTTTGTGGATTAATTTGAACTACACTTTTTGAAAAAAATCTAAGATTTTTTAACCAATTTTTTTGCATTTTGACCCTAATTTTTTTCAGGAGAGGGGAATGCCGGTCGCTGCTGTCGCAGGGGTGGGAACTTCCTGCATAAGTGACGCAAATTGTCCCGATGCCTTGAAATGTTGTTCTCATGATATGTCATCCTACGGAGATGGGCGCTTCGTCATGTGATTAAAAAATTAATTAATTAATCAGTTGATTAATAATCCATACTAATTAATTAATCTAAAAAATACTCAATTCTACAGGCGAAACATGAACCCCACACACGGCCAGTGTCTCAACCCCGTCATGATGGCACCCATCCCAGCCACGTGATTAACTTGATCAACTCATTAATTAATAATTATAACTAGTTGATAATCATCAATAAATACATTTTGAAAAAATTGTTTCCATTTTTTTCGATTCAGCAAATACTTCATTATCGAGAATTCTGATCTTTTATCTATTAAATCAACTTAACATCCATTATATTCATTATTTTTCTAAACGACGTATCACCAATATATCAAAATTATTAAATGGTTAAAATGAAAGTGACCTATTTAGGATCATGCTAAAGTGAAAAGTATGTATGCAAATTTATAACTTTTCATTTTTTTGTATAGCATAAATAAATGGAGGAATTTATGAATATTCATAAATTTCTGAGAAGATGTCCCTCTTTGAAGAGGTTGAAAAAGCCGTTTTTTGTTCACTTTCTTAGCCAACAGAGTTGTATTGCATTTTTAAATAATGTTGATTAAAAAGTTGGCCACGAACGTTTTTTGTCCAGGTGTCGACGCCAACAAGTTTTTGGCAGCGACGACAATTTTGTTCATTTTTCGACAAGTTTTTCGGCAGCGACGGTAATTTTGTTCATTTTTCGACGGCATCTGCGCCGTCACAATGTTGAAGGAATAGGAAATCAAATTTGCGAAATTCTTAAATTTATAGCAATTGTGCCATGAATTGGAAACCATTTTATATTAACTGATATTATTTGACTTGACTTTACTTGACCGTAGCGTATTCGACTTACTTCTAGTACAGTCATTGTCATACTAAATATATCGCGATCGTCAAAATGTAAAAAAAAACGTAACGTTCGAATATTAAGAAATGTCAAATTACGAAATTGCACCGTTTTAACGCCAGGTTTATTTAAGTTTAATATTCAAATTATCATAATTTCGTCCAGATGTAATACTTTTGGTTCCTCAATTGGCCGTTTGTCGTGTCTATTTATAAATTCGTCTAAAATTTTGAAATATTTGGAAATAGTCCCATAAAAATTTTCACTTTATCCACCGACAATAAATTTGTTTATGTTATATTTATGCAAAAGGGGTAATTTTTGAGGTTCAACTTTTTTCACCTGCAAATCGGTTTAAAATACATCTTACCACATTCACAAACTTTCCATATAATACCAATTAAAATTCCTAATTTTGCCAAAATTTTGACAGATAGTCAAATTATCCTAAGTTCATTGTTTACTGTTAAATTTAGCCATTCAGCAATCTTGACAGCATGACATTTATCGTCGTGTATTTTGGTAAATAAACATTTAACCCTTTAATTGGACTTGATTAAATAATGCTTTAATTTTAAACTACATTTGTTCTGCTGCTGCTGCATGCATGCAGCTTAAAGAAAAAAATGAAACCAGACACGCGATAATGTAACACGCGTTCAATTAATAAATTTAAACTTCATCTTCAACTCGTGTAAATAAATATTTCTTATGAGACGCTGCAGAAAGGATGGTGTTTTTGCTATTTTTCCACAATTACACCTAAATTATAGCCTGATCGATTGCAAAAAAAATCGATCACTTCTTCCATTAAAATTTGGTATTTTCCCCAACTTTATACACTTTTTCATAACAATTTTCTCCTTAATTACACTAAAAACTCTGGTTGAACCCGCTCCAAAAAAAGTACGAGATCCTCCTGCACGTCCCCTGCAAAATTATTACTAACTGGCACAAATCTCACTCAATTGTGCGTTATAAACAAATTGGGATTACTGTCAAAAGAAGATGAGTCTTGATTTATTTCTGCAAAAATTGTCTAAATAAATACAATCGCATCTACACAGTTTTGTTTTTCGATATACCAAAACACGAAAAAGTAATAACTTTTAGTATAAATACTACTACATATTTAAGAATGACAAGAAAAACAAAATTTGCGAGATTTCGTAATCTTAGAACGAAACGTGGCACTCCACATGCAAAAAAAGATGAGAATCTATCTGCTGCATGACATACAAGCCCGAAAAATCTCATCTTCCCAATTTTGCTCAATCATCCATCCATCACCGCAAGCAATATTATGTGGGAATGTGAGACTCCAGACTCGGCTGTGAGACTCCTACAGCTTGCAAAACACACCAAAGATTCTCATCTTTTACCTGCCCATATTAAGTACTTTTGCTACACACACATGCAGTAGGCCGTCATTAAATCGCATGCAATTCTAACCACGGGATATTCCTCTCCAACCAAACTGCTCTCTGCTCTATAGATAATTGCACCTTTTAGTTTCTTTTTTTAAACCCCCTCCCTCAGATTAGGGAGGACCTGCGCAAACAATTTGCATAATATTTACCTGATTGATATGCTTTGTAGCCCATCAAATTCTTTATGCACGGACCTCCACTTTTACACACATATGGACCCTGTCGACTCATCCTCCTCTTCCAGTCACGAACGGATGGCCTTGCAGCTTATATTATAGTGCATGCAGACTCTATTTGGCAGCAGGAGATCGTAAAAAACATGAAGGTTATTATTTCATATCCAAACTATGCTGGACATTAAGAAAACGTTGAGCTGTTTTGCTGCTGCTAAATAAATATCTGTAGATATCGACCCGTCATTCGTAGCTTAGACAATAATACACGAAATTTTGCATACATATATGTGCAACAAGCGCCGGCCGTCTTTTTTGCACAACACATTAACCAAATTACCCGTCGTCATTTAACGTTTCTGCCTAATCTGCCACATAACCCGACGGCCGACCACCGGTGCATATCACAAGCCAAGCCAAGCCCCCAGTTTCCAGTATCTCTCGCAACGTCGTCCACATATGTACATAAATCTCCACGTGACGAGACTGCATACAAATTTACATATGTACAAAGTGTGTACTGAATTGTGTGTGTATTTATGTATCTGTCTTTTATTTACTTCTGGATTGGATAACACCTTATCACGAGAGTGAACCTTTTCCCACGACGAAACAGTACGCACTACGCAGCTACATAACTACCTTATCATTGTTTTTACAGTATTTAGTTTACCACGTGCAAACATAAATAGTTCAATTTTCACATGACTCTTCTTGAATACGAGGCAGTCACGACTTTTCTTAAAGAGATTTAAAATATTAAGTCACCACACGTGATGACAAAATTTTATAATAATTGTATTTTGACTCCAACTTCTCAGTATTAAAAGAACTCGGAGTTATTTAATAATAATTAAAATAACTATTTAATTGACAGCCAGTCTCAATTCGGTAATTAATTTCATCATACTTTAACAGGAATTCATTCACGTCAAATTAACGAGCTATTGAATTTTGTGTATGAAAACTATAATAAAAGTTTAATATCTTATCTACTTATGTATTGTGCTCGTTTTTGTTTCAGCCCACAAAAGGCCTTATCTGTCAGATCGATTTGCATAAAAAAGTTAATTATCAAGTTGAATAAACCATTCACAGACAGTTTTTAGTTGTGGGCTGGAATTTCATGGCGAGTTCACCTTTGTTTTAACGAGACGGCAAAAGATATCAAACTCCGCGTGACCCATTGTACACACTTATCAATTCGACTGGATAACCACAATTTTACGTAACTAATTCTTAATTACTCATATAAATTAGTGGTAGCCAGCCATCATATTCTACCCGGATTTATTTCTCTCTGAGCTCTTGCTCCCAAGTGAAACGTGATAAAATAAAACAGAAAACCCGGGTATTATTATTTGGTCCAGACTTTTCAAACCAAAACAAATCACCTGCTGAGCGTTACACATGCTGGAATTGCTCAGTTTTTAAATAATTCTCAGCAAATAATTTCAGAACGTGAAAAGTGAAGTGAAGTCGATTCGATATGACCCAATTTAGTTAGTTAATTAGTCCACCCACACCGGAAGTAATTGATTGACCTTATCATGGATTTACAAGGATTTTGCGGGTCCACATTCTGGGTAAGAAATTAAAAATCTCGTCATGTTCTGTTCATTGTTCTTAAAATTGTATTGTCCTTTTCAGGACACTGACCTCGCCTGGCACACCGAGACGCCCGACTTGACCCCGTGCTTTCGAAAAACTGTGCTGACCTGGTTTCCGGCCTTGTTTCTCTGGCTCTGCGCCGTGTTCGACCTCCGCGCCTCGTCGAATAATCCAAACGCCGCCTCCCCAATTCCATGGAATCCGTTGAACGTGGCGAAAATGGGGTTCGCCGTCCTCCTCGCGGGCGTAGATTTGACCTTTCTTCTCCTCGCGAGAGGGGCTGAGCCCTCTTTTAATGCTGATATTTATGGGCCGGCGATCAAAATTGCGACATATGTAGGTCAAGTCAAAGGAAAGGTGTTTCAATTTCTGAACGGATTTTTTATAGGATGTTTTTTTTTCGGTAGATCTTGTTCCTCGCGTTGCTCTTATACTCGAAGGGACGCGGCGTCCAGTCGTCCGGGGTCCAATCCGTGTGGTCACTTTTACTCGTCTTGGCGCAAGGAGTGCATTTCAGATCGGTGCTCTTAGCGGTGGGAGAGGTAATTTTTTGTAGGGACAGGGGTCAAATTTAGGGAATAATTATCAATTTTTTAATCAAAATTTTGAATTTTTGGGCGATAATTTCCAATTTGAAGGCAAAATTTCAGATCAAAAGTTAATATTTATTTCTGATTTTTACTGCGTAATTTTCCTATTTTAAAGGATAATTACTCATTCTTAAAGAGTTTCTCAGTTTGAAGTACAAATTTTTCACTTTAGGACCAATATTCCTCATTTTATGGCAAAATTTTATATATTTTAATGCAAAATTGCTACTCTTTTTTTCCAGGAACCTGATCAAGCTCCATCCTCCTCTGCGGTGGCGACATATATTTTAGAAATTGTGTACTTTCCTGTCGTCGCGGGGTTATTTTTACTGCATATTTTTCCCGATGCGCGACCCTCTTATGGACATCTTAACTTAAAAGGGGTACGAAAATTTCTCTAATTTTTACAAATTTCCGGTTTTTACACCTAATTTTTTTGATACAGAAACCATGTCCAGAAATGACATCGTCCTACTTTTCGCAACTCCTCTTCCATTGGTTTACTCCTCTGGCGTGGAAAGGGTTTCGAAAGCCGTTGGAATATGTGGACCTCTGGGATTTGAATGTCATCGACCGGTCGAAATATATCGTCAACCGGTTCGACACCTACTATCCGCACAACCTCAATAAAGCCTTCCTCAAACCGGAACAGGTCGCAAAGTGAGAAAAATATTATGATTTTTACGATTTAGTACAATATATCGATTCGATTTTGACTTTCACTCTTTTTACCTATTTTTTCAAAATTGTTTTAACAAAGTGTACATTTTTCCAAATTCTCAAATTGACAGACCTTTCTAAACTAGAGAAAATAAGTTTCTTCCAATTATAGAAACGATTCCAAAATAGTGTCACATTTCATGAAAAATTATGCAAAATTGCTGCTAATTTTTAAAAATAATCTCCTAAATCTTTCCCATATTTCGGTATAATTTCCCAAAGTTGTCGTAAAATTTTTACATTTCCACGCTTCCTTTTTCAGCGGGACGAAAAGCCACCCCGGCGAGACGGACATGCAAGTCAAGTTCGTCGATGGAACGTCCCCCTCCACAAAAAAGGAGGTCACCGTTCTGTATGCGCTCCTCAAGGCGTTCGGACTTCCCTATCTGCTCGGCGTTTTTATCAAATTCATCCCAGATTTGCTTGTTTTTGTGTCACCACAAATTTTGAAGTGAGTTAATGTTTATAAATTTATTAATTACAATTTTGACCCGTGTTTTTCCTCCAGTTTGTTAATTTCCTACGTGGAATCTGACCCGACAAAGGAGCCGACATGGAAAGGCGTCTTTTACGCATGTATCCTTTTCGGGAGCGCTTTTCTCGCCACGGTCGTCACTGCTCAAGCGACGCATCGTTTCTACATGGCGGGAATGAGGGGGAGGACCGCGCTCGTGTCGGCCATCTACAGGAAGGCGCTACTCTTGTCGAATTCGGCAAAACGGGGTAAATATTTCTGCGTTTTTATTCGCTAGGAATTTTAAATCTTTTAAAATCCTAAAAAAATATATAGATCGAAATAAGATTTTGATATTTCCGTTTTTTGAAAATTTTCCTCCCCCAATTTAAATTTCTTATTAGAAATTCCGGTAAGCAGTGTTCGCCCAAATAACCACGAATTTTAAATCACTACGCTATGCACACCTTCCAATTTAATATCCCCCAAAATTTCAAATCTTCCTGGCTCTTCTTTAAACTATTTTTCCCCTCGACAGAGTCCACCGTGGGCGAAATCGTCAACCTCATGTCTGTCGATGTCCAGCGGTGCACAGAATTCGCCCAATTCGCCTACTTCCTCTGGAGCGGTCCGTTCATCATCGGGCTTTCGGTCTACTTCCTGTGGGGAATTTTAGGCCCCGCCTCGCTCGCCGGGCTCTTTGTCATGGTCCTCATGCTTCCGGTGAACGCCATAATTGCGGGGAAAATTAGAAAATTACAAGTCACCCAAATGAAGAAAAAAGACGAGCGGGTCAAACTCATGAATGAAATGTTGTCTGGGATCAAAGTCCTCAAATTGTACGCGTGGGAACCCTGTTTTGAAAAACAGATTACGGAAATTCGCCACGTGGAGCTGGACGTGTTGAAAAAGACGGCGTTTCTCAACGCGTATTCCAACGTGTTGTGGACCTGTTCCCCGTTTCTCGTTGCGATCAGCACGTTCGGAACGTATGTGTTACTTAGTGAAGAAAATGTATTGGATGCGCATAAAATCTTCGTGTCGTTGTCACTTTTTAACGCGATGAGTGTTCCGTTGACGTTTTTGGTGAGTAGGAATTATTATTTTAGGAGCGCTGAACGGAAAAATTTAATTTTTTGTATTTGTTTATTTTCTAGCCCTTGATCATCGTTAATTTTGTTCAGGTGAGTTTTTTTTAAGAAATTTTGGTTATGTTTTGAAAAATGTATAAATGGATTTTTTGTGTGAATTAAAAAAATGTAAACTGTAGGCCGTCGTCGCGATCAAGAGGATAGATCGTTACATGAATTCGGAGGAGATTGACGTCACCGCAGTCAGTCATGAGGAAGATGAAGGTCAATATTTATCTATTAAGGCTCGATTAATTTAAAATTTTAATTGATTATCGAATTAATTTTCAATTTTAATCCCAATTACTTTATTACCAATTATTTAATTTCATTTTTAGCCGATCCAATCGTAATTGAGAAGGGGACATTTGCCTGGGAAGACGAATCCACCGTTAGTACGCCAGCACTGCGCGATATCACGATGCGCGTCCAGGATGGCGCAATGGTCGCTGTGGTGGGCGTCGTCGGTTCTGGAAAATCCACCCTGCTTTCCGCTCTTTTGGGAGAATTGACCAAAATTAGTGGAAAAGTTAATACGCGGGTAATAATTTGAGCCTAACTTGTGCCATAATTAAGCTATAATGTTGGCGCAACTTACAAGCACAAAGTGCCAAATTTACAATATTTTCTGTTTTTATCAGGGAACCATCGCCTACGTCGCGCAGCAAGCCTGGATCCAAAACGCGACCCTGCGAGATAACATCCTATTCGGAAAACCCTTCGATCCCGTCCGCTACGACAAAGTTATCGACGCCTGCGCACTGCGACCTGACTTGGAAATATTACCGGCCGGAGATAAAACCGAAATCGGAGAAAAGGTAAAGATTTCCTCGATGTTTTTTTAGTTATCCACAATTCGGAAATATTCCACTAATTCTTCCCTCAATTTTTAGGGAATTAATTTGAGCGGTGGACAGAAACAGCGCGTCGCACTCGCGCGAGCGGCGTATTCGAATGCAGACCTATACCTTTTCGATGATCCGCTCTCAGCTGTCGATGCGCACGTGGGAAAGCACATTTTCGAGAAATTGCTCGGACCGAAAGGAATTTTGAGGAGGAAAACACGTGTCCTCGTGACCCACGGGGTCGTCTATTTGCCCGCCATGAATAACATTTTTGTTCTCAAGGATGGTCAGATAAGTGAGAGTGGAACTTATCAAGAACTAGTGGATAAAAAGGTGAGGAATCTGTTCGTACTTGGGGAAAATTAAATTAAAATCAATAATTTTGAAAATAGGGCGCGTTTGCCGACTTTTTGAGCGTCCACATGACTTCAGAGGACGCCACAGAATTTGACGGGTCCGGATTGATCGCATCTCTCGAGTCGGCGGTGGGTGATAAGGCCTTATCCGTTATTCGGGAAAGGAAGCGACGACCAAGTGAAAGCGGTCAGAGCGACAGTGAATTTCTCACCAGTACGGAATCCAGCATAAGGAGACGGATTGGGTCAAGCGTTATCGATTTGGTGAGCAAATTTTCGACTAAATTTTAAACTTGTTGTGAAAAAGTGGAGTTTTCAATTTTTGCTAAAAATCAATGGTTCGAAATTTTGAGAATACACAAAAATTTTTTATTTACTCTTTTGGGCTAAGTTAAATATTTTGATTTAATTATTTAAAATTGGTTATCAATGTATTAATTTATTTTTCCCCGCCAGGCGAAAGAACGCGACGTGGATAACAAGCGCCGTCTCAGTCACGCTTCGATAACGGGCTCCATTGCGGCCGGAATGGATAAGTTGATTGAATCAGAGAAGTCAGAAACTGAGGGGGTCAAGGCATCCGTTTACCTCGATTATTTTCGAGCGGCCGGATGGGGAATTACAATTTCCACATTTTTCCTCTACCTTACTTTTCAAGGTTTCAAAATTTCAGAATTATTCTAAAAATCGTTCCTAGTTTTTTATTTATTTATTTAATTTTTAAGGATTTGCGGTGGGAGCTAATCTCTGGTTGTCGGAATGGTCTGCACAAAATGCGACACAAAATGGGACTCAAGACGCTGCCACGAGAGATTATTATTTAGGCGTTTACGGCGGTCTGGGCGTCATGCAAGGTGTGTACTCGCAAAAAATCATAGCAAAATTAAAGAACGTCCGGGAATGAATGGGAATGGTCTGAAAATGTGGTCATAAAATCACAATGAGTTATCGGAATTTTAAACTTTTTGCATATGTATAATACCAAATACGTACCTACATAATTTAATTAATAGCTAAGGCCGCCACACCCCCGTTGGCGACTAGTTCGATTTTCTTGCGAAGATTTTTCATTAAATTTTTTCCCGAAGTTTTTGCCACTTCCGAGGTGATTTTCTTCCATCGTCCTTTGAATTTTCGAAAGGTGTCAGGCACATCTTGAAGCCGGGAGTATACTGACTTAGAACGTGCCCAGAATTTTTCGATTGGGCGGAGTTGGGGTACATTAGGTGGGTTGATATCTTTTGGTACGAAATCAATATTTTTCTTTCTGAGGTACTCGGTCACTTTCTTTGCATAGTGACAAGTGGCGAGGTCAGGCCAAAACAAAACTTTATCATTTTTGTGAAACCTATTAATAAATGCTTCCAATCCAGCCTTGACGCAATTTTTCAGATAAATATCTTGATTGATATTCCCTTCGAGAACTACCGGGTCTGATACATGTCCGTGACTGGAGATGCATTGCCAAATGCAATATTTCTTTGGAAATTTGTCTTTTTTTTGTACTTTTTCTTCATAAGCCACTTCAGAGGGATCCGAGCTATGAAAAAAATGACGCCCTGGAAGATTTGAAGGGTCAACCGGAACATACGTTTCGTCATCCAGGATCACTACTTTTCCACGCATTTTCTTCAACAATTTTTGACAGCAATCCTTGATCCGACTTTCTTGTACGGGCTTGTAATTTGGTGCAGGTTTTTTGGTCCTTGCTTTGATTCCTAATTTATGGACCTTAATTTCCCCCAGGTAGCTTTTGGAAATTTTGACTTTCCTGGCAGCTACAGCTACTGACGTTGATGGCTTGGTTTTGAAAATTTTTTCAATTCTATTTTTCACTCGAGTGGTCGCTAGCTTCGCCGGACGACCAGCTGGCTTCTTGAATTGCACATTTTCGGAATCCTTGAACTTTTTTATGTAGGAATACACATTTGAACTTGGAATTCCTTCCTGCTTAAAAAAGTTCCAGGTCACCTTGGAGTCTCGGTTGGCTGTCGTGTTGTAGAACTCCATCACTCGTTTTGCTAACAGCTCCCTTTCAAACAAGCTTCTTCTACCCTTATCCATTTTTGAAATTTAAGAGTGATATACCAAATTGACCCTAATGAAGTGGGCTTTCAGAAATTTAAATTATTATAGTTCGCGGGTTTATTGATTTGTCAATATACTCGCTAGAGCGCGCATTCCCATTCATTCCCGGACGTTCTTTATTTCAGCAAACTTGAGCAAACGTCTTCAGTTTTTTCATTCGTCTTTTGCTACAAGTTGTACCATTTTTGAATTGTTTCCGATACAAATTTTGTAAATTTGAAAAAAGTACGGCAACTTTAGTATAGCTTCAAACTTGCAAAAATTGAGGATGGCATATAGTCCACGATTTGCAAAATTTGTCACATTTCGTAAAAGATTTTCCTGTGTGATTTTTGTGAGCAAATTTACTCACAATCAACTTTTTATTTTGCAAACAATTTGCTAAATTAGTTATTTTTCTCTTCCAGCCATCGCAATTCTGACTGGAACAGTGGTCATGGCGCTCGGAACGGTCAAATCCGCGGCGGGGTTGCATCTCAAAATGTTAAAGAGGATATTACAAGCGCCCATGCATTTCTTCGACACGACGCCGATTGGCCGCATTGTGAACCGCTTTGCGAAAGACGTCGACATTTTGGACTCAATTTTACCACTGTTTTTGAGATATTTGATGAACGGGATTTTCAACGTGAGAAAAAATTCAAAAATTTAGTCAGAATTTCCAAATTTTTGAAATTAATGTTCTAAATTTTTCTAATTTTGCAAATTTCCTTTTCAGGTATTCGCAACATTGGTCGTTATTTCATACAGCACGCCAATTTTTGCGGCTGTCGTGGTGCCAATAACGTTAATTTACTACTTTATTCAGGTACTTATATTGACAAAATTTGAACTTCCCTCTTCCGCGCTTATTAACTTTTTTTTATTAAAAATTCTGCAGAAATTCTACGTGGCGTCGTCCCGTCAATTGAAACGTCTCGAGTCTGTCACCCGCTCTCCGATTTATTCACATTTCGGTGAAACTATTTCGGGCGCTTCGACCATCCGCGCGTATCGACAACAAGAGCGCTTCGTGCTCGATTCTGAAGCTAAAGTGGATCACAATCAGATTTCGTTCTATTGTAGCGTCGTAGCGAATCGATGGCTCGCAGTGGTAAATAAATGCTTAATCTCAAAACCTATTTGGAATTTTTGATTATTTTGCAAATTTTTCCAAAATTTAGATTGTTTCCTAAATTTAGATTTTTTGATGTTCGATTAGTAGAAAAGTCTTAATTTTTCAAAATTTCATAGTAAAATGACATTCTTTTTAAGTCAAACACTTCTAAGCTTTAAATTTCGAAATCGTTTCCGAGTCAATTTTTCCCTAATTTGATAAAACTTCAACTTTAAAATTCGTTCCTACTTTGTAAACTGTGCTAATTTGGTATTCATAATTTGAATAAAATTTGCACAAATTTCCTAACCAGAAATTCACCCTACAAACTTGAAAAATTCTAAACTTACAAATTTCCACGCTTTTTCCAGCGACTTGAAACCATCGGGAATACGGTGGTCCTTTTCGCCGCGTTGTTTGCTGTTTTGGGCAGGGAAACGATATCGCCTGGACTTGTCGGCTTATCCGTATCCTACGCCCTGCAAATTACGGGCGGATTACTCATGCTCGTCCGATTCACGAGCGATGTCGGTGCGTTGCGTCAACTTTTTTGTAATGTTGTATTTTGTAATAATCAGTAATTGATTTCCTATTTTTTCCAGAAACGAATATTGTCGCTGTTGAAAGAATGGCAGAGTACTCGGAAGCTCCCCAAGTAAGTATTCGGGTATTGGCTCATGCTAAATTTTTAAACTGTGGAAATTTGTGTTTTAACAAACTTAGCTTTTCTGTTTTTCTCTTCAAATTTTGAATTTTTATGGTCAATTTTGATTTAAATTTAAATTGAACTCGTAAGCAGGCGTAAACATTTTGTAGAATAATGTTTAGAAATTTACACAATTTAAAAATTTCTTTTTTACGTAAATAACAAATTAATAGGAACTAATTAGCAATTTAATTTCCCCTAAAAATTAGGAAGCCCCGTGGGAAATTCCGTCCAAAAAACCGTCGCCATCCTGGCCCGACAAGGGAGCCATGATCTTTAACGCGTACAAAACTAGATATCGCCCCGGACTAGATCTCGTTTTAAGGAATGTTAGCTTTTCTATTCAACCCGGAGAAAAGGTTAGATTTGTTACAAGTCTATATTTAAAAAAATGAATCATCGAAACATTAGAAAAAATTTACCGACATATTTGCGAAATATATATTTTTCAAAACTCAATTTGTTTGAGATTTACACGTGCTTTGAGACACGTGGGTCATGAAATGAAGCCACAAAATATTCCTGCATGAAGATTATCAATTTCTACCTAATATAATATTTCTACTTTTTGATTCAGGTTGGAATTGTTGGTCGAACCGGGGCCGGCAAATCGTCCCTTACTTTGGCCCTTTTCAGAATTATTGAACCCGCCGGGGGATCAATTTCCATTGACGGTGAAGACATTGGACGCCTCGGCTTGCACGATGTCCGCGGTAGGATCACCATCATTCCACAGGTACGGGCAAAATTCAATCTGATTTTTTTCAAACGTTGCAAAAATTCGAATAATATTCATTTATCCTTTAATTTCCAGGACCCGGTTCTATTTTCGGGCACTCTTCGCATGAATTTGGACCCCTTCGAGTCATATTCTGACCAAGTTATTTGGCAAACTTTGGAGTTGGCTCATCTCAAGGATTTCGTCACCTCATTACCGGCCGGGTTAACGCATGAAATCGCGGAAGGGGGTGAAAATTTGAGGTATTTATGTAGATGCAAGGCAAAAAGTTGACTTTTTAGACAAAATTATGCAAAATTGGGTTTCACATATTTTGAATTGAAATTGCCGTTTTTGACAGTCTTGCAAACCTATTTTGCCTACTTTTTTTCATCAAAAATGGAATTTATTTCTCAAAACGTTTTTCATTTTTTACCAGGTGAATACTTAATTTTGATATTCTTTATTCCCTTTTTACAGCGTCGGTCAGAGACAGCTCGTATGTTTGGCTCGCGCTCTGCTGCGTAAAACTAAAATTCTTTGTTTAGAGTAAGTTAAAAAAAATTTGATTATTATTTTTTAGAATTTTATTAATTTGTTTCCTTTAATTCTAAAAACTAGCGAGGCCACCGCCGCGATTGACCTCGACACAGACGACCTCATCCAAGCCACGATACGCAAAGAGTTCAAGGACGCCACCGTTATCACGATTGCTCACAGACTCAACACAATTATGGATTCGACACGGTAATTGTTAAAATAATTCGCATAATACCCGGGTATTTATTACAGTATTATTTTCTCCAGCGTTATGGTGCTCGACAAGGGAGAAGTCGTCGAGTTTGACACCGTTCCGAATCTCTTGGCTCAACCGGACTCTATTTTCACTGGAATGGCGAGAGATGCCGGATTAACCAAGCAAAATGGAAATGGAAACGGCCATTAAGTGTTAAAAAAGTCCACTTTCGGGATCAGTTTCTCCGTAAAAATCGTGGTCTCCCAGAAACCATGACTTTTTGTGGCGTCAAGTATTCTACAAGTGTTCCAAATTGTGACAAATTTCCTACTTTTTCGATGCCCAAGATTTTCAAAATATGAAAAATTTCCTCTTTTTTTCTACATGAATTATTGACCTAGATAAATACTTATCATGTGATATCTTTGTATCCTCGTCCTGTTGATTCGTGATTATTAATTAAGTTTTGTTTTCTGCAGAAGTATACAAATTTCTAATTATGTTAATTAATGTGTATATATTTTCGTAAATCTCTTGGTACATGTATCGATTCCTAAAAAAATAACGGGATGAATAAACAATTGAAACATTTCATACTTTCCGGAAATTTTACTTTCTCCGGAATCGTTTTTCAGTTTATTGCAAGTTTTGCATTGCATTAACGCCAAATTTGTTCAACCTAAATATCTATTTGCTAAATAGTTTCATCCAGATTCATCTAGCCCTGGTTTTATTTTTAATACTAAATTTTTAAAAAATTCGTTCAAATTTCATTATTTTAAGGTACATTTTCAACTATACTAATTTTTCTCAAACATCAAAATCCCCCAAGTTTGGCAAGAATCAACGTCAAAGTGGTCACATTTCTAGTAAATTTATCTCATTTTTTTGGAGAATAGTTGATATTTTTGTTTTACTGAATTAATTAATCTTACTGTTTTACGCATTAAAAATTTAAATTTAAAAATTTAAGTTATCTTCCCAGAGAATTTGCTATTTGCTTTTCCTAAAACAAATCACAAATTTTTTTTTGTTGGCGTTTTAATCCGACAATTTAGTCAACTTTTAAAATTTAAAATATATTTGTACTCTCCTTAGCAAAAAATATTTGAATAAAAATTACTTTCAAAAATGTATATTTCCACAAGTTCCCAACTTTGAAAAAACATAATAATAAAAAAAGATTCGGCTTGTCCTCTCAAAAAATCTGGTAGTAATTTCCCCTAAAGAAAATCACAATTTTTTTTGTTGGCGTTTCAATCTAACAATTTAGTCAACTTTTAAAATTTGAAATACATTTATTTTAACAAAAAAAAATACTCTCTCAAAAATTTAAATTTCCACAACTTCCCAACTTTTTAAAACATAATTTCAATTCTTTCAGCTTCACTTATCTTGAATGAAACGCAGTATGGAAAAATTAACACTTTTTTTTTTACTTATTCATAAATTCCATGTCCATTTCGCAACTTTTACAAATTTCTTGTGCACACGTGCTAAACGACAAAGTGAGGCCGACCAAGGAGTAATGCTATGCATAAAGGATGCCACCGATTTTCATAGAATTTTTACCCATGCAATAATTAACATTTAGGTACCTGTATCGATGCCACCCAGGGTGCACGTTCCCTTAAAATAAATAAATCCGGCTGCACAAAAACATAATGAAATTACCATTTGCTTTTATCTACAAACACGAATCTACAAAGATTTACACCTTCACAAGAATACAAATACCTTGGCTCTCTGTACATCGGAATATAACAAATTACGAAATGCCACCAGAAATTAAATGCATATCCAAAACCAAACAAATCTATCTGAAAAATCGACACGCATACGTCGGCATGGACGATGGACGTAAAAAAATGGCGAAAATTACGATTCAAGAATCGTACGAAATCGTAAAAAAATCTAAAAAAAATAGTTCTTACAAAATACTGAAAAATTGTTTAGAAAATAAAACATCATCAAAAATCGTACAAAATCGTAAAAAATCATAAAACAAGACATACAAATTGCGAAAAGCGTAAAGCATGAAAATTTGCTTCAAAATTTTTCAAAAACAAATAATAATAAAAAATATGAAATTTAGTTACGGAAATTTAAAAAGAAAACGAGAAATATACGCAACATAAAAAATAAAAATCTGCATAGAAAAAACTTGACCCAGAAAATTGCCGATGGACGACAACTGTGCCGATCTATGTTGCCAGACGAGCCAAACTAATCTCTTAATCTCCCCTCATAAATGTAACCTGGTCATGGAGAAAGACACACAAAAGCGACGAGATTAGATACATATTTCGCTGTATCATCATCAGTAAGCTCCAACATTTTATCCGTGTCACTCATACAGAATAAATTGCTCGAGTTTCATTCACTTATCAGACAACAAAACAAAACAAGTTTCCAATTAATTCCACATTTTCGTCGAATTGCTTCAAAATTTTCGGAACTCATGTGTCAAAAATTTCTTAAAAAGGGACAAATTTACAAAATTACTTGCTACCAGAAATCGTGCCAATTTCAATATAAAAAAGTTTTTCTGAATTTTTTATCAATATTTTGCATGGTTTATAATTTGCAAAGTTTACATATGTAGATTTTTTTACCAACTTAAACAAGCGTGATAGGTGACATGAATTTGCAAACAATTTACATATCACATTTGGAAAATTATTTTTTTGCGAAAATACAAAACGTTTTACCACAGAAATAAATAAATTTGCTCGAAATACTCGTCTTAAAGCCTGAATTTACTCTCGGTTTGCTTACAAAGTTTACCAAGTTTGACGTGAATTCGCCCATTGTGCAGTGTGGTAATACATAGGTTATTACCGCGTGGTGATAAATAACTAACCACAATTTCTTCAAGTGTTTAATAATTAATTTACGAATTTAGTGTGCTAAACAACGCCGACTTAACTTCCAGGAAAAAATGGCCCAGACGAATTAATCCTTCTCAGGGGCAGTTTAGCTTTTATTATTTTGTGGGTCATAAAAAAGCACGGATTTCTCATCAAGATCAAAAGGTGAGGCTTAGCACACATTCTCGCACACTTTTGGGTCCAGATAACACCTCACCGACCGATTTATTGCCCTGGCTCATCACTCTCTTCTCAGTAATCTCGCTCTATTTACTCAACACCTTACTCATCACGATACAGTAAACATGACATCACTTAATAATTAGGCAAATAAATTTATCCTTTATTATCAGAGGGCGGATATGTAACTTATTTGCGAAAAATTTACGAAAAACGCCAAAATATTCACGAAATGGATATGTAAATATGTAGATAAAAAATATAAAACTAAGAATTTTCGCAAAATTTGCATTTCTGAAGCTCTGGATTTTTCGAGGACTAATTTCTTTGAACGAAAAAATGCGTCTCATATCGTCAAAATATTTATTAAATGTCTATATTTTATATTTTACTTTGATAACTGGAAATTTTCTGTTGGTAATAGCTTTTGCAATAGGTACAGATATGAAAAGTTATTTAGTAAGTTGTTACCGGTTTGGTAATAATTTTTACCAGAAAAATTGACTGATTTTTTGACAGATTCTCAATAATTTTTATACCGGATTGTAAATGAAAATTTGTCAATACTTTTTACCAACTGGTTTCCAAATGATAATCCCACCCATTTTTAAGAGTGTTTCCCAGCTCTCACTTATCAGTTTACGTGCATTTCCGCTATAATAAGTCGATACTCACACCAATCTGGTTTCAGTTAAGGAGAGACGTGACTTCTGAATTTGTGTCCATTTCATTCTTCGTTTCGAGAGTTACAATGGAAATCTAAATATAAATTTAGGTAATAATTTTTCAGAAAAAAAATTAACGGCGTCGAATCGATTATAATTTTGGTCATAAATAATAAATTTATTTCTATTCTGCTCCAATTTATTTTTACTCAAAGTAAAGTTTCACCAATTTTAGCAAGTTGTGAAATCCCTTTATAAGATCTTTATGTCCGTCCGTGTTTCGGTCTGTCTGGCTGTTGGTCCGATAAAACTCGTTAATGTAACGACATAGAGACTTGAAATTTGAAATCTAACTTATTCACAGCAAGGGTCAGCAGACCTAATTAGAAAACGGGCGATGTAGGTCACAAGGTCACAGCGCCAGGTCATAGGCCTTGATTTCTTTAAATTAAAACGACATCATGTGAGGACTCAAATCGATAATATTTTCAAGGAGATGTCCAACTAAGGAAGTTATTTCAACCTCCTCATTTTTGTGAGGAGGTCAAAGGTCACACATATCTAAAAACACGTTTAGCATACACTGAGCACATCCATTTTGACCTGCGACACCCCATTGACCGTGTAGATGAGGTCAAATGTCACAAATGATCAAGGCACTTTTGGTAACGGGGAATACTTCACAATATAATAGTCATATTTTATGTAAATTAAAATATGTAAATTGCACATATGTGTAATTTACCTCCCTTTGTTACACTCGTTTTTTTAACAGTTTATCTCTTGAATAAATAATAACGCTTGACATTTAGCTGCATATATAAACTTTGTCTTGCTGGACACCACTTTACACAAGTGAAGACGAGACGATGCATGCAATGTGAAGTAGTTGTGAACAAGTTTATGTATATGCTTTTTTGCAATATGTACATGTGTGGGCGTCTGGTCTGATATTATCCGTGTCCATCCTTCTCTAAAAAAACTAGCAATTTCTTAAGTACAATTATCCAAAAATAGTATGCAAATTCCAATCAGATTAATAGTTAGTTTGTCTACTTTGTAATCTTGTAAGTAAGTTTATATGAAATCAATTTACAAACTTTCACCATGAGATATTCAACGCACAGTTTGTGTGCTCTATAATATTTCCATAAATTTGCAAAATTGGGAAGAAAAATCAGGTAACAAAATTTATGTTAAACGTCTCTTTATTTTGCCAAAGTTTGCAAAATTTATAAAGTTGATTCTATTACATTCGCGTGAACTTACAGAAATTAAAAATATGTAACAAACAATTCGTTACGGGTCTTGATAAGTACGATTTCCATCAATATTACCAAGTTAATAACTTTCTAAAAGCAATATTGGCTAATAAAAATTTTAATATGGTCATGCAGATTTCTAAAGTTTTTATAAAATCTCACAAATTTTGCAACTCTAATTCAAGTAATACTTTGAATTCATTCGTTGCCACAAAATTTGCAAAACGATTTTACAAAAAAATTTAGTATGCATATGTATGAGCGAATTTCTGCAATTTTACAAAAGTTTGTACCTTATCATGTCTAAAGTGTTTAACTTTTTTCAAGGATACAATTTCTCTAAAATTTTGTAATCTTGCATAGACCGTGAATTATCTTGATAAGAAATTAAATTGGAGTTTTAAGCCGTGTGTAAAATAGTTTTTTTTATTGTTTTACCAGATAAAATATTCTGTCTGGGTTAACAAATTGGATAAAAAAAACTTGCGTCCAATAAATCAATTCAGTCGGATACCGACAAACAAACGATTTCGTCACAATTAGTTACGATCCATTTGATTTCAAAATTTGAAATCCAAAATTGGTCACAAACTGTGCTAAATTGTGCCAAACTGTACAGAAAAAAATTTGAACAAATTGATAGAAAAACACAAAACCTCATTGACATGAAACTTATGACAAAAGTGGTAGTGAAACCGGACAAGATTGGTCACATGAAGTTAACCTTTTTCCATAAAATATTTTACCAAACGACCGAAACCACAAAATCGAACAATTTTTATAACTAATAATTTCCCAAAAATTTCTAAAGGTGCTAATTTAGGGCATCCAAAAACCTGTTAAAAATTTTTGTTATAAAGAATCGATGACCGGACTTGGATTTTTTACAATGAAAATTGTTTTGTAACTACCATGTATTTACCATTTCTTGCTTGTCATATACGAATTAACTGTTCATTATTTTTCTTCAAAAATAATACCTAAATTTTCTCACACTTTTTAAATTTTACCAGACTATATTTACAAAATGTGGTGGTATTTCCTGTAAAATCCAAAAACCCGGAAATATTGAAAACCGTTTTTACGAAAGCCTTCTAGTTTTGCATGCCCTAAAACGGTGCAATAAAACCATAATAAATACGTAAATGCGCAAAAACTTGATCTCATGCATACGTCTTGTTTACTTTGATCTCTTCCTAACCAGGTGTTCCTCAGACGGATGCAGACATGCAAATCCAACTGGTGTAAACAACCCTGAAAACGAGAGGAAAAAGAACAAAGCAAAAAACATGTAAACACTCGTCACAAACCAGATTGCACAAAATTCCCAGAAGAAAAAATCCTCTCTCGTTTCATCAAGGTGAAAGTGCTCCAGTGAAAGTACAGAGTTCTTCGAGATTGCATAAACCTTACAATTTTACCCGTTTATCTTCCGTAGAAAAACCTTTGTAAAAAAATACATGACAATTTTTTTCATATTTCGTATTTCGTAAATCTTGCAATTTATACATACCCAATTGGCTAGATGAGATCTCAAACTTTACAATTTTCCACTAATCCTTTCCCTTCTATCTTATTTTGAAATTTTTTATAAAAAAAAATTCCCAAAAGTATTTATCGTCGTGAAATTTATCCACTTTTCAAAATTTCGTCCCCATTATAACCACTTTTCTCCACATAGCCGCATAATTAATTAAACTTTATCTTTCTCTGTTAGACGTCCGAATCTCATTTAAAATTTTTAAACTAACAATATTCCCAAAAATATCCATCGACGTTAAACACCTCAAAATTATTCAAATTTTCAAAAATTTCAAAAAATCACCATGACAACCAACTTTCTCCTCCTTCTCGCCCTCTTATTTCCCTCCATCCTTTCCCTTTCCTCCCAGCACCACTGCGAAACTGAAGCCGACTGTGCCGGCAACTTTATCACGTGTCTCGACAATCGCTGCGTCTGCGACGAGGATGAAGAACGTCGCCTCGAATCAATCGGATTTTCCGCGTCTGCGCCCTCGTCGTCATCTTCATGTCGCGGCGTCGCCCTGGTCGGCGACCACTGCGACAACGTGACCCACATCTGCACCGCGAACGCCACGTGCTCCCCCACCACGCGCGAGTGCACGTGCAACCCTGGCTTCGAAACTTACATCCACGCGAAAGAATGTAAACGAGTGTATGGTTCGAAATGCGATGCGAAATGGGAGCTATGTAACCCGGAAAAGTTTCTGACATGTGACACACCGGAAGTGGGCGAGAAGGGAAAATGTGCCTGCAGTCATGCCGACCTTGCCTGGGATTCCGTGCAGGACGCATGCGTACCCCCGATTGGCGGACAGTGCGATTTAAAGGTTTGGATGGGAATAAAACTTGGTTGTGGGGCGGGAGCGGAATGCATTTATAATATTGGTGACGGACATTTCGGGATGTGCGAGTGCCTACCCGGGTATTATTCGGAGGTAGCAGGAGAGGAAGAAGATGCACATCAATGTTATCCTATTTTCGGGCGGGTATGCAAAGAAGACGAAATTTGCGGGGGTGGCGACTATACCTGCCACGTGGAATCGGGCACGTGTCAATGCAAGGAAGGCCACGTTTATCAAAATGAAAGTACCACTTCCGGTTGTCGAATCGCGGTAGGTCAACCGTGTCAAGGTAACAATAATTCATGCGTCTCTAACGCTGCCTGCACTTCCGGATCCTCCACGTGCGAATGCCTCCCCGACTACGTCCCAACTTCCGGTGGGACTTGCCTACTCGGTTTTGGGGGGAGAAATTGCTCCCTAAAGAATCCTTGTCATACCGAATCCGGTCTGATTTGTGCTCCTTTCTCCACCACGTGCTCCTGCCGGGACGGATTTATTTACGATCTCGACACTGGAACTTGTCTAGGCACGCATGGAACCGACTGTGTCGTGCCTTTCACTTCCGTCGACATTCCTTCCGCGCTCACGTTACCATGCGTTCCCCACGCGACGTGCCACGTGCTCCACCACGTGTGCCTGTGTGAACACAAATTCGCCATTTCGCGGGATTCTGGCCTCTGCCACCACACAGTCGGGACACCCTGTCAAACCGGAAGTGGGGATGAATGCTTACCCGACCTCGGGATGACGTGTACAGAAAATTCGACTTGTTCCTGTTACCCGGGAGCGGGCACTATTTATGATGAATCACAGGGCGCCTGCCTTCTAAAAGTTGGGCAACCCTGTAACCTCTCGGCGGGCAAGAAGTGCATAAAACGGGCCTTTTGCGGGACCCGGGATCTCTGCCAGTGTTACCATGGTTACGCGGAAACCCCGCTGGGCGACTGTTTAGCATCCCATGGACTTTTTTGCAATACCGGAAGTGAGGAAGATGATTACGATGATGAAGAAATTTACATATCCTGCAATAATTATGCAGGGTTGGAATGCATTGACAAAAAATGTGCTTGCCCACGTGGTTCGTTTTGGGAGGAAAATGCTCAAAAGTGTGACAATTCTTCGAGGCCGGATTTTATCCGTTCGGATGCCACGATTTCGTCGCATTTGATGAGTCATGACCTTGACGACCTGGACCTGAACGCTGGTGACGACGACCTTGTCACGACCCCAGCCTCGTATTCACATCCTTTTCAAAATCAGGTGTATTTCGCGGGTGGTGTGATTATTATTCTGGTCATCATTTTATTACTGGCAAGTCTACTGATTTGGTATCTTGTGAGGAAGTGCAGGAACAAATCGGATCAACAAAAAGATCAGAAAGCTATGCAAAAGTTGAAGACGTTTAATGAAGAGAAATTTGCATAGAAAAAAAATCTTAAACATTTAGGGGGCATGGGTTAATTATAAAAATTTGTGAGATTTTGTTGCGAATTTAATTCGCAAATTTATTTGTTTTTAAAATTTATTTAGACACTTGAGGTGATAAGTTTTTTGTTACAAATTTTTTTATTTCGTAATCGTTTACAAAAATATAATCTCATAAAATTCTTGATTTCATGATAACTCACGGAATCTCAAAAATTCAAAAAAAACATGAACACACTTGCAAAAAAACAAGAGGGAAAAATCATGGAATACCAATCCAAAAAATTCTGCACAACTTTACCGCAAGAAATCATGCACTACACATGCAAATAAATTCCATGCAAAAATTACTACCATATGCAAAACCTCTGCCCGTTCAACAACCCTTTATTACAAGAAATGAATGGATCTCAAAACGTTCGCGATTCCATTCTTACCGTTTTTTGTGTACCATTAATTACTATATTTCCCATAACGTGCCGCATGCTAAAAACACAATTCAGAATTGCTTGTGCCAATAAAGCAACGATTTTTACCAACGTTCTCCCCACTTCACTATACGTACAAAATCGTCCAACGCCACCACCACCATCACGATCAAGCGGATCCTACCAGTTTTTCTACTATGAGCAGATTTGCAAACTGAACATGCGTGCAAAAAAAATTAAACATCACATTACATAACAAACTCGAATGGGATTCAACCTTGCAAAAAAAGAGTGAGCAGATAACAAAAATCAGCCGATTATATAAATTAATCTTCCCCACAGTGTCGCACTCTCAGTCGCGAATATACATTTGCAACTTCTCCATCCAATAATTTTTTCGCAAATTTGCAAAAATGAAGGTGCCAACGCAATCCTACATTTCCGGAAAATGGTTTGACTCCGAACTCGCGACCACGTTTCCCGTCATCAACCCGGCTTCGGGCGACATTATCGCCGAGGTGGCCGATTGTGGGGCGAAATTGACCAGTTTCGCCATCGAAGGGGCGGCCGACGCTTTTCCGGCGTGGAAACAAAAAACGGCGAAGGAACGGGGCGAAATTTTGCTCAAGATTAAAGAAGTTTTGCTCAAGAATGCCGACCACGTGGCGGAAATCATGACGAAAGAGTGTGTAAGTGTGTAACAAGAAATTGAGGCAATTCACGCAGATCTTGGTAACTTTGTAGATTCCATAAACTTAAAAACTTTTACATAATTTTGCAAATATTTCAGAGAAAAATTAGCTTGCAAACCTTTGTAAACTTACTCCGATCGTATGCGTCGCTTTATTTTGGAAAAGTTTGTAAAATTATTTTACCAAGCTTATCGATTTTATAAGTTACCAATGACTGTGTGAATTGCCTCAGAAATTCAGAAATACTTCATAATTTCAAAGCAGGTAGCAAATTAATTTTAATCCAAAATCAGATTTAGTAGTTTGATAAATTTTTAAACAGGCCTATGCATTTTGCTATAGTTTTTTTGCAAACTATTGCTTGCAATTTGTGAAAGGGTGCAAAACAATTTTGCAAAATTTATATATGTACGAGTTAAAAATATTGGCGTGAACTGATATCATATTTTTTAAATGATTAAACAAGCAATGGAAGAATGTTATTTTTTAAATGATTAAACAAGCAATGAAAGAATGTTTCCTAATCTAGAAACTTATTTGGGTCGTATAAACTTATAATTTTCTGAAATTGGCTTTCAAATTTTTCATGTCTAGCTTTGTAAAATTCAAAATCATTTTTTAAAGATTTCTTTTGCGAAACGTATTCTCGCCAACTTCTACCCTTTTCAAAATTCTGCTAACAAGTAAGATTTCCAATCTTAATTTGCAAAAAATAGCAAAATAAGCGATTTTTTTTTCGAACAAATATTGCTATATTTCTTCTTCATTGCCATTTTACAAAATCATTGAATTCTTCTTAACTATTCAAAAAAATTCAAATTATTAAAAAAGCATGCAAATCTTATCCATAAAATATTTGCAATTTTCAGGGAAAGCCATTGAAAGAATCGCGCGTTGAGGTGGCCTTTTCGGCGTCGTTTTTCGACTGGTTTTCTGCCGAGGGGCGTCGCGCTTATGGGGAAACTATTCCCCCCACCGGACCTGGAAAAGCGATGATCACTATTCGCAAACCCGTCGGTGTTGCCGCTTTCATCACTCCGGTAAAAATTAGGATAAATTTGCACTACACAATTTGCAATCATTATTAACTACAAAATTTGACTAAATTATCTACGAATTGTACAAATTTTGCATATTTTTGATTTGGAAAATTTGAAAACTTTACAAATATTAAAATCTTTCCTACCCCAAAATATTCACTTGATAACAAATTTCACAAACTTCATAATTTCATTAAATCTTCGAATATTTTAAAATCTTGCATCAATAAATTCCACAACCTTTTTTGTCACTAAATTTTCGTTTACCATTCTAATCCAAGTTTCAATTTATTTTAATTCTGTCAATATACTGGTCAAATTTACAAAATTTACAAAGTTTAACGACGAATTTGGAAATAATTATATATTAACAACTTTTTAAAATAATAGGTCATCATATTCATCGAAAGAAATCTTTAACATTGTATTACTAATATATTTTATTTATTTTTGAAATATTTTAAATTTCTTGAAAATTTTTAGTGGAACTTTCCCCTTGGCATGCTAGCTCGTAAGGTGAGCGCTTCTTTGGCTGCCGGATGCACGTGTGTCATAAAACCAGCCGAAGACACGCCGCTCACGGCATTAGCGTTTGCACAGGTAAAAATAATTCACTTCAACCATTGCAATTGGGTAAATTCTGCCATAATTTTCGCCCAGCTTTACATAAATTCCAAAAACATTAACAACATTTTTTCAGAAAAATTTCCAAAAAAAATCTTTCAATTCAAGCCAATCTTTGCAAACTTTATAAACTAATTCTACATGGTTTACAAACTTTATCTTAAAAAATTAGTTTTTTTGAATTTTACGTATAATTTGAATATCTGGTTATATAAAGGTTTTCCCCTTTTTTGTAAACTATGTAATTTTTAAAAATTTAGACAGTTTACAAATATAATTTCCACATCTTACAAAGTTTACAAAGTAAATTATTGTGCACAGATTTGTCACGATGCCGGGGTTCCTGCCGGGGTCGTGAATGTGGTGCCGTGCTCGAGAAAGAAGGTCGTCGACGTGGGCGACATGCTCTGCTCGCATAGAAAAGTCGCTTGTCTCTCATTCACGGGGTCAACCGCGGTCGGAAAGGTAATTTGTAATTAGCTTTACATAATTCACGTAGTTTTTCGTAATAGTTTTTGTAAAATTCAGAAATTTTACTAAAATTCACTAATTTAAGAAACACTCAACAATTTGCGTAAAGTTAGAATAAGCTTGCTAACAGATTTTCTTCGCATTTTTACAAAATTCGTCAGAGTTTCTCAAATTCTGAACTCAATTCTGAATTTCTCAAATTCAAAACAAATTACAAAAACGTTGCAAAACTAATTGCTTCGGTACTGCTTTGGACACATATCTATATTTATGAAACTTTCTAAATACTATTAGAATTTTCACAAAGTAAAAATAAATCCACAATTTTTAGGGATCCTCCTTCAGCTAAAATTATTTTACTGATCATAAATAAATTTGCAATTTATTCTAACATTTTTTTGCCAATTTGGCCAAGGAAAATTTTGCTGGTATTTTAGGAATTTTCTATTTTTTGAGTTTGTATTTATTTTGAAGTTTTTATTAATTTTGAAGTTTTTATTAGTTTTGAAGTTTTTATTAATTTTGAAGTTCAGTGTCAATGTTCAAAACCGAATAAGAGTTTTAGTTTAGTTTATTAGAATTGCAACAATACAATCAGATTCAGATCTGCAATCTAGATGACTAGCAACAAATTAATTTCAATAATTTTTTTTAAGTCAATCTCAACTCAAAAACTTTACCTATTTTCAAAATTCAACAAAATTTCAAAATATTACCAGGATAGATAAAATTTTAAATTTTATCACAATAATAACTTCGATCCTGAAGTTTACAACAATTCAAAAATAATTATTTCGAAATTTCAACCACTTCAGTTATTAGGGATCTTATTTCAACTAATTTTTTTAGGTATAATAATTTACCGTCCATAAGTAAATTTATATTTTTTTAAACTTTTTTGTCAAGGATGACTTTCCAGGAATTAGATTAGTTTGATGCAAGTGTTCAATACCGAATAATATTTTTACTACTATTTATATTGCTATTTGAAGTGCAAAGATGTGATGGTGTTGCTCGAAAATTAGGCAACTATTAAATAAAATTGCAATCAAATTTTTAAATCAATTTCAACTCAGAAACTTTACCTGTTTTCGAAATTCAATCAAATTTCAAAATATTATCAGGACAACAGATATTAAATTTTATCACGATAATAATTGAATTTTATAACAACTCAGAAATAAAGATTCCAAAATTTTAACCACTTCAAAAAACTTGTTGATAGACTAATTGCCAACTTTTGGTTTAATAGGGAATAAAAAATTAGCCAAAAAATCAATCTTTGTGTAATTGTGTTGGACATTATCAAAAAAATGTGAAAGATAGGATTCGATTTTGTACAAAAGTAAACGACCGATTAACCTGATTCCATTGCAATTATGAATTTAATTCAAAAATCAATTTCGGCATGAAACTTTACAAAAATTTTGCTGAAAACTTCACAAAATTTATGAAATTTGTTAAGAAAAATCTTTCACATTTTTGAAATTTCAATCAAAACCAAAAGCTAAAAACTCAAAGTTTTCAACGCAAACCTCATATTTTTATTCTGAATTTCTAGAATTACCCAATTTTTTAATAAATCTTTAACTTTTATATTTCCTAAATATTTAAAATTTTGATGTAGTCGTTGTACGCGAAATGTTCCTCTACAATGAAACGTGTCCACATGGAACTCGGAGGAAATGCACCGTTCATCGTTTTTAACGATGCCGACATCGACCTTGCTGTGAGTGGATTGATTGCATCCAAATATCGTAATTCTGGACAGGTCAGATTTCTAAAAAAATATAGTTATTTTCCTTCAAAATTTCAAATTTTATTAAATTTCCATGTAATTTTCTAGACGTGTATCACCGCCAACAAAATTTTAGTCCAGTCACAAATTTATGACAAATTTATGGACAAATTGCTCCAAGCCGTGACCAAGTTGAAAGTTGGGCCCGGTTTGGAACCCGATACGGATGTCGCCGCCATCATTAACGACGCGCAAATCGAGAGGGTAAAAAAATGAGGATAAAACTGTCTCCAAAATCATATCGTCTAAATTTTTATAAGCTCCCTAAATTTTGAAATAACGGTTTTCATATTTATGAAACCTTATAAATCATTGTCTTTTAGAAGTTTTTCTTAGGTGAGGCATAGTAACCATGAACACATGAAAAAATGCATGGTTACGGCGAAGCCTAAGTATGCGAACAGACCCCCCCTCCCAAAATTCCACTCAAGATTGTGGCAAAACGGCTAATCGTATCAAAATGGTGTAAAAGGCAATCGTGCAGACCTTGCTGGGTAGATGATGCCCGTCAATTCGAGGGAGATAGCAATCTTATTTTAACCCATTTTAAATCGATTTTAAACTTTCAAACGACTGGCAAATTCACTTTTGCCATGCAAAGGTTGTGACTCGTCTGTGTTTTAATGTGCGGAAATCTATAACGCGTCATTTAGAACAAACCCGAGCGAAATCGGATAAGAAATGAAAAAGTTTTCTTGGTAGCATCTGCAGCCAGTTACGTTACTTGTAATATTTCTTCATTACTTATAAGAAACACTCGTTTCTATTAGCAACCAGCACAATAGAAACATGTAAGCTCTGCACTTACATATGCAAATATCTAAACATGTAAATATTTATGTACATGTATGCACTTTTAGAAATCCAGTATTAAAATAGTACCAAGCGGTATTCAGAAATGACTACAAAAATGGTACTCACAACTAATGCTCTGACGTAATCATGTTTCGTTTTCTCCCATGTGAGAAAAATTTCACGGTGAAAATGCAAATTTTCTTTCACGTTTTCCATCATAACTTTGTTTAAACTGAGCATTACGAAAAATCCTGAAACACGTGTTTAATCATTTATCTAAGCATACATAATTATCGTGTTTTCGTCAAAATCGGAGCTAGACCGGGCGTCATCGTCAAGCAATAGGTACCACTGAGAATTCAATTATACCAGATTTCTAAGTGTGTGATATACATACATATATGTATGATGTTGATACATTTCTTGCCTATTAGTCCACGGGTGACAGGGGAATTTAATTTGGTGTTCCACGCATCCACACCCACTGGAGAATTAATGCATATGCAACGCACCCAGACTAATGAGGATTTAATTTGGTATCTATTATTGATGACAAATTAAAGAGACTTAAAAACAAAAAATAAACTAATTCTTTTAAAAAAACTTAGGTGAGGCTTGCTTAAAAGGGGGAAACAAGAGGTTATCATCGTGTAGTAAAGTAAAATAATATGCTACATCAATGTTCATCTCATGATTTATAATTTTATGTGAATACAATAACAAATTATATGCGTTTCGGACCATTTGCCTCGCCGTGGGCCATTTTATGATTCAAGTAATTAAAATAACTTGAAAATTTATTAACGCTTAGTGCATTTGATACAGATAAGCAGTAATAATTCATATGAAACGATACAGGATTTAGTTAGATAATTTCGTTATCCATAATCTATTGGTGATGTAATGTACGAAGCTTGAGCTAGTTTGTAATAAGAAATATTATATTTCAGAACACTAAATTTTAAAAACTTCGACCTATCTTTGAAATATATTCATGTAGGCCATCAGTATAAGCAGAATCGAATGGTAACGAAGATTGCAACTTATGTATATTTAGGTACAACCATCAATATGGCGCACATACATATATATACACATATATATACATAATATATGTATTTGTATGGAACAATTAATCAGGCCCACGGCGAGGCAAATGGTCCGAAACGCATATATTTTGTTATTGTATTCACATAAAATTATAAATCATGACATGAACATTGATGTAGCATATTATTTCACTACACGATGATAACCTCTTGTTTCCCCCTTTTAAGCAAGCCTCACCTAAGTTTTTTTTTAAGAATTAGTTTATAGAGAATGCAATCTCCATAACTAAATTTGATAAAATTTATTCTGAAACTTTTTGCGCAAATGAAAAAAATCGATACTCGAGAAAATCGTGACTAGAAAAGTATTGCCTTCATTTAGTCCTTGATAGATTTTTGATAGATTATTTGAAACATTTTTCATAGTATGTACTTCGTAGAATGTTTCCGAGTTTTTCGCATAATTTTTCATAGAATTTTAAGGAGTTTTTCCTAGCCTTCTTCCGTCGTTTCCGATCCTGTGAATTTTATTTTCCCCACATTTCCCAACTTTATCGTAATTTTTCCCCAATTTTTCCCAAAAATTTACCTCGTTCCATTTTTTCTTGGCAGATTGAGCGCATCGTGACCGAGTCGATCGAACAAGGCGCCACTTTGTTGCACGGTGGCGTCCGCGTGTCCACCCTCGGACCTCGTTTCTTCCAACCCACCATCCTCACCAACGTGAAGCCCAACGTGGCCGCGTACGAAGAAGAAATTTTCGGCCCTGTCGCCGCAATTTGCAAATTTGAAAGTGAAGACGACGCCATCAAATTTGCCAACGACACGGACAAAGGTCTCGCCGCGTATGCGTACACGAACAATCTCCGCCTTTCGTGGAAACTTGCGGATTCCTTGGAATTTGGAATGGTCGGGATTAATGAGCCTATAGTGTCCACGTGCGAAGCGCCGTTTGGTAAGAGGGACATTAATATTGTTCGCATAAAGAGTAAAGCTTAATAACGGAATTTGCAAAAAATTGGCAACAGTTCTATTTATAAATAATTTTATAAACATCTTTTTTGACCATTTATATTGTAAGTTTTCCCTGAAAATTTAATTTCGCAAAACAGTTGCTTACGTTTACTGAAAGGAAATAGTTGTGTGATCTTATTTGCAACAATTTTTTTTGCCAACTTTTGCTAATTTAAAATATAAGTCACCGGCTTATATATATCTATATTTTACAATCGTTTGCATTACTATTTGCACAATTTTTGCGATGTGGCGATTAAGTCTTACATTTTAAAATAATTTTGGCTCGGATGACATTCTCTCAAAAACTCAGATAAAAATTTTGCACATCAATTTTGCACATCTAAACGTAGAGCCTGAAAATAGAATATATGTAAATAATTTGTGAACAATTAAATTTTAGTTGAAAAAAATACGTTGTTTTGACCAAGTAGATTGAAAATTTTTCCTGAAAAATTTATTTTCACAAAATATTTGCGAAACACATATACTGCTTTCTCCAAAAAATTAAGACTTGTGCGGATTGTTACAACTTCAAAATTTGCATATAAATTGAATACATAAATTTTTGCAATGGATAATTAAAATTTCAATTTTCCTCTTATTTCAGGTGGGATTAAAAACAGCGGATTTGGTAAAGAAGGTTCGAAACACGGTCTGGATGAGTACACGTACCTCAAATATGTCGCCTACGGAAATCAGATCCCTTCTTGATACCAAAATTTCGAAACAAAATTCAGAAATGTAAGACTGTCCCTGCAAATTTTTGGAAATCAAAAAATAAATCTTAACTTATTCATTTTTAAATTGTATATAAATTTGAAACGTGTTTTTGAAATAAATTGGCAAATAATTGGCAAAACAAGTTGTTAACCATAATTTGGCACAAATTTGTTTCTAAAATTACATGATTTTTCATGAAAATTAATTTTTCGTGGACCGTTTTTGAAGGAATTTCCTTCTGCATTTTTTAATTTGATTTGTTTAACTAAATTTACAAATTCGCTTCTACAACTTTACAAAAATAAAACGGCAAAGTTTACAAAGTTTGTTAAATAATTATACAGGAATTACCACGTTTACAAATATACACGTGAACTGTTCTTCATTAAGACAAAAGTTGATAAAAACCTTCAATTTTTCACAAATAGCCTTGTCTTGCCTACTTCGCAAAACTGGGCAATGATTAATTTGTAACCGGCTCGCAAACCTTGTTAAATTTGCGAGCTATGAGTACGTCGTACGACTGTGGTAAAAATTGAAGAAGCGTGAAAATTTGCAAAATATGATGTGATTTGAAGTCGAATATAGTTTGTAAGTAAATGTAGGCAATCAGTTTTTATTGAAAATAGATTTGTTGTCACTCGTAATAAAATGAGATTCCATTTCAACAAAAGTTTATCGTGGTAACCCCCTTTTTATTTTGTTATGTTAAAAAAATAAACAAAATAAAATTTCCAAATTTAAATTGGAAATTTTATTTACTTGTTGGCAATATTTTGAAAACTGAAAAAGTTGGGGAGAATACCTATTCGATAAAAAATTTAAAAAAAAAGATTTTGCAAACACTTTACGAAGATGGACATAAAAAATATTTATGGATGACGGTGAAGCCAATTTCAGAAAATTATAAATTTATACGAGTCAAATAAATAAGTTACTAGATCGGAAAAATTGCCCTGAACATTCGAATTTTCGAAAATAAATTTCGCCAATATTTTTATGTAAAACAAAGATTTCTTGTGACTGATAATTAAAGAAATAAAAATGTTTCCCCAAATCAACTAAACTGTATAGGAAACGTTACAAAGTGTTACAAAGTTACAAAGTAGATAAGGCAATTCTGGCAGTCATTGGTAACTTTGTAAAACCCGCAAATTTAGTAGCATAATTTTACAAACTTGTACAAAATAAAAAGACGACCTGATAAGAGTAATTTAAAACAAATCTGTAAGCTAATTTTCCTTGAAAACATTTGTCAAATTTTCTGAGTTTACATAGTTTATGAATTCTACAATAAAGCTTTCGCAAGTTCGTAACCACGTAAGTTTACGAAAATGTGCTTGAGTTACGAACCAAAACGATTGACGGTCAGTTTGGCGAAAGCCAGTTTGGCGAAAATTTTTTTTTCGCCAATGTGGTAAAAAAAACTGTCATGAAAGTACTAAATGGCAAAATTATTGTTACATTTGGCGAAAGTTGAAAACTCGTAAAAATACATTTGGCGAAATTTAAATTTCGCATTTATTTATGTCAAACCGCTCAAAATATTACAATTAATTCATATATTGTAAGATAAAATAAAATTAAAACTTGTAGTCTGGAGTGCTTCCAACTAGCTTCTCTGTTGCGATTAATCATTCTTCATTCTTCGGATAACATTGTCGGCCAAACAAATAGATTGAGCCAATAATGATACGGTTGTTATGGTCTTATCCAAAATGTCTTGGGCAGATAAGGAAGGTTCCTATCGAGCCAACTGCTTTGCTTGACACACTAATATTTCCGCCTCAGTTCTATGTCAAATATTGTTCCTTATGCATAAATGTGTGTTACAATACTATAAAAGAATTATGTACATCGGAAAATCTGGTGGTGTGAACAGTGTTTTTCATCTTCGGTCCAAGCATTTTTGCATAAATAGAGATATTAGAGATATCATAGTATGCGCATACTATCTTCATGAGTTACGATTTTCACAAAATCCTCGTTTTCGCCAAATGCGACATTATTTTCGCCAAATGGTACTTTAAATAAAATAAAACTAACGTACGGTGAAATGCATGAAATTTGTTTTTCGCCAAATGGGATTATTTTTTGGCGAAAGTTTTTCGCCAAAAGTGTTTTCGCCAAACTGACCGACTACCACCAAAACATGCCTTTCATCTTCGTAAGGATTTGTAACTTCGTAGGCACAAATTGTCTTCGAGATGCCACAAATTTACCAAAAACTTATTCTTAGAAAGCTTCGCAAGTTTACGTGGTTATGGAGTTATGGAGGCTGACGTAAAATGTCTTTACTCTACAACTGCTTGTATTGAATCTGAATAATTAACACGTGCAAGATTTTATAGTAAGTACAGATTCGACGTTTAAATCTGACAGAGTTGTGTGAAATTCGTTTGTTTTGCTTGATAGTTTAAAATTAGGTAAATTGAATTGAACTAAATTCCATGAGATTACGGAATTACCAAATAATTAGTTAATTATTACTAATCTGTTTTATACCGAGTGGTAATAGGGTGACGTGAAATGCCTCAATGTCACCCTTGACTTGCCTAATGATCTTAGCGATTTGCACATAAGATTTTCCGCCCACAGTTTGCAATGTACCATGGTCCACCGCACGAAAATGGTCCATGCTGGACCATGGACCATTTTTCAGATGGTCCAATGGACCATGGATCAATTTATTGCGGGCTATGTTTCCGCCTAGCAAAAATGCCATCTTGGTAAAAAGTGTCACATACAGAAGTAGGATTTTTTGTAAGTACAGGACGCCGTTTAAAGTATCGCAACGTTTCGAACTGTTGAACAAGATTTTAGATAAGGTGATTGCGCATGATAATTATTAAAGGACGGATATTTATGTATTTGTAGAAAATCATCAAGATATTATCATCGATAATCATCGATCATTAATCATCGACATTTTTAAAAACGCCAAAAGAACACAAAAGTAGGAATTTTCAAGAAATTTGTCATTTTGAGAGGAAATTATTCAGATTTTTTTGTAATCAGATTTCTTTGAACACAAAATTTCGTCTCATCATTGAAATATTGACAAAATATATACAGTTAGCAAAATTATTGATGGCACCTTTAGCAGTCACGACAAAAATCTTACAAGGGAAGGCTCCTGACTGCTTGTTGTGTCCAGGGTACCCACCGTGTTTTTTTAGAACCCACCAGGAGACCAGGACCCTAAATGTAGGATTCATTCATATTAACGTGTACAAGGCATATTTGGCGCCGTGGCGTGCACCACTTTCTTAATTTAAGAAAAATTTAATTACAAAATTAATCAATTCACTTTAAATAGGGAAAATTTTTTTTTAATAATGCAAATTGTGTTATTATAAAATAATTTGCAATTTTTCAGGGAAAGCCTTCGAAAGAATTGCCCGTCGAGGTGGCCTTTTCGGCGTCCTTTTTCGACTGGTTTTCTGTCAAGGGGAGCCGCGCTTATGGGGAAACTATTCCCCCACCGGACCTGGAAACGCGATGATTACTATTCACAGCCCCGTCGGTGTTGCCGCTTCATCACTCCGGTAAAAATTTGTATAAAATTTGCAGTTTCAGCGATCATCACGTATGCAATCATCACTTATGCAATCATCATCCTACAATAGTTACAATTATTATTAACATAAATTTGCAAGAATTTGACTAAGTTATCCACGGATTATAGATATTTTGCATACGATATTTTACGATTTTAAAAATTTAAAGTAAAAATTAATAAGTTTATTAATTCCATGCAAGTGTTCAATACCGAATAATAATATGTTTAGTAATTTATAAGTAGTTTTAACTCTTTTTTAGTGAGGAATTTCCTATATTTTGTAAAATTTCACAATTGAATTTGATAAAATTTATGCTTTAAATTTTTTGCAGCAAGAAAATATTTCGAAAACCCCGATACTCCTGAGAAATCCGTGACTTGCTTCGCATTTGTTTTTGTAAAATTCTGACAAATCGTACAATCATTTGCTTTGCTATTGATTTGCATACATTAATTTTTGAAAATTGCCTAACACAAAATTATTATTTTCCTAACGTAAAAAAAATCCACAATTTTTACGGATCCCACATCAGTTAAAATTATTTTTCTGATATTTCAACTTCCAGAAATAAATATGTAATTTACCAAACTTTAATTTCGTTGGTGAAAATTTTTATAAAATATTTGTGAATTTGATCAAGCTGTTAGTGCTTATATTTGCAAGTATCTTACAGTGCCTTATTTTTGCACTACAAATAGATAAAATATTTAATCCACTGCAGTAAAAATAAATTAAAATTTGATACGAGTTGAAGCCAGAAATAAATTTTTTCGGAAATTTTATTATCGACCAATTATTTTACTCAGATTTTACGTCCTTCCAGGAAACAAATTTTGGACGAACTCAAAATTTATATATTTACAATTCACAGCTTGATCAAATTCCGAAATATCTTACAAAAATGGGATTTTTGTCACTTTACGATAACCTGATTTTCCTTAACTGAAACTTTTGGAAACCATTTTTTCGAAATTCGTTTATATTCACTGACTCGGGCTATATAAACACTACACACTAGGTTTTTTTAATCAATTTCACCTCAAAAACTTCATCTACTTTTCGAAATTCAGCCAAATTTCATAACATTAGTATGTAGATAACATAAATTAGTAGATATTATTATACTATTAGCAGATAAACGTTAAAATTTAATCAAAATATTAATTTCTGTACTGAATTTTACAATAATTCCAAAATAATTACTTCATGATTTCAACCACTTCAATTTTTAGGGCTCCTCCTTCAAGTAACATTTTTTTTAGTAATAATTTAACTTCCAGAACTAACAATGCAAGTCTTTTACGTGTACAACTCAGATCTGGTTGGGACCAATTTTATTTTGTTCACCACAAAAAATAAGCATACCCATATTTTTTCATTTTTCATAATGCGCTAATTTGAGCCCGGGGCGCGAATTTGAAAACATTTTTCAGCCAAAACCTCGTTTTTTAAAAATTCTGTAAATTTTCGAATTTTTGCCCGAATCCAACAATTCGAAAACATGTGTCTTCAGAATGACTCACCTGACTTATGAAAAATCAAATTGTCTCGAAATTAGATTTTCAATTTTTTTGCCAGTTTTTGAAATTCATTAAAATTTTAAACTCGTTCAAATTTTTAATTCTTCAAAAAATAATGCATACGGATTTTTCATAAGTCAGGTAAGTCATTCTGAAGACACATGTTTTCGAATTTTTGGATTCGCGCTAAAATTCGATAATTTACAGAATTTTTAAAAAACGAGGTTTTGGCTGAAAAATGTTTTCAAATTCGCGCCCCGCACTCAAATTAGCGCATTATGAAAAATGAAAAAATATGGGTATGCTTATTTTTTGTGCTGAACAAAATAAAATTGGTCCCAACCAGATCTGAGTTGTACACGTAAAAGACTTGCATTGTAAGTTGTTGTTTTTTTTTACTTTTTTTTCCCAAGAAAAATTTTCCAGGAATTTCTTATATTTTAAAGTGTGTACTTATTAGTTTGATGTAAGTGTTCAATACCGGATTAAATTTAAATAATTTATTAGTATTTTATGAACATTCAGATTAATTCTGGCATAAGCGAATGTAAAAATAATTAAATTTGGATTAAATCTTTTAATCAATTTCAACTCTGAAAATTACGTTTTCAAAATTCAACAAAGTTTCAAAATATTATCAGCAGGATAAGCAAATTTTATCACAAGAATAATTTCAGTCCTGAATTTAACAACAATTCAGAAGTAACGATTCAGAAGTTTTAACCACTTCAAAAAACTTATTGATAGACTAACTGAAAACTAATTCAATATTATTAAGATATACAAATTAAGAAATTTAACAAATAAATTTGTGTTTTGAACTTATCAAAAAACCTAAAAACATTAATCAGTTTTTTATTTAAATTTGAAAAAAATACTTTACAAATTTATGGAAATGCAGATCAATCTAATCAATAGGAATTAACCTTTTTATGTAATTTTACTCCAAAAATTTAATTACAAAATTAATTTCAGCACTGAACCTACAATCAATTTCATTATTTACAAAAAATAAATCCAGAATTTTTAGAGATCCTCCTTCACAAATAGTTTTTTTTACAAATAATTAAATTTTCAGAAATTAATTTTAAATTAATTTTAACTATTTTTTGGCGAACTTGGTCAAAACAAATTTTGCAAGAATTTTTTTATATTTTAAAAGTTTTTACTTATTAATTCGATGACAATGTTAAATACCGATTAAGGTTTTTGCAATTAATGGGCATTGAATCAGCATAAATATTTTAACAGGTGTGTATGGGTAGTGACAAACTAGTTTCAACTTTCAATGACATTTTGTAAATTTTTGAAATTCATCAACATTCCAAAAGACAGATGACAAAATTTGACCATAATAAAGATTGAATTTCACAATAATTCGGCAAAATTTTCTTGAAGGACTGATCGAAAACTTTTAAATTAATAGGAAACATAAATTTTGTCACAAAATCAATGTTTTATGTGGGACACTATCAAAAAATGTAAAAGACACTATCCGATTTTTATCTAAATTTGAAAAAATAATACTTTAGGGAAAAAATAAAAATTTACAAATTTACGAAAACACCCAAAGATATATTCTGTAAGCCTTTGAATGGCATTTTCGTGCTAAATTTAATTCTAAACTCGATTTCGGCATTAAATGATTTAATTACTTACAAAAATGGAAGAAAAAAGTTTACAAAATTTAGAAAATTTGTTTCTCAAAAAATGTTTCTTGAAATCAAAATCAAAATCAAAAGTTTGAAGTAAGTGATTCATCGCAAAAACCACATTCTGATTTCTGAATTTCCGAATCTGCATACATGACTAACTTCATAATAAATTTCCAATATTTCCTAAGTACTTTCTAACTCGAATGCATATTATTTATGTGATATTGATGACCACTTTTGCCCCTGATACTTTTATATACTTTGTAAAAAATGACACGATGTTTACAGTGGATGCCCATATAAGAGACCGGAATAATACACATTGCACCGATTCCCCAGGGAAATTGTTTTAAGAAAAATATGGCTTATGAGTAGGGTGACACATGTTGTCAGTCTCAGATTTTGATGTCCTTTGGATATGTTGTAGTACTATATGAGTGTGCAAAAAGTGAAGGAGGATTAGACTCCATGAGCCCATTTACGCCCGCCACACCCCCTCAAAAGTGCCAAAACCCCCAGAGTTGCCGCACTAAAATCATCCCCAAAAATCGTGTTTTGCTCAGATTTGGATGAAATTTATATTTTTGTGATCCCAGATAGTTGCTCTATCATATCCAATAGCAAACTCAACTTTTTTGAAATTTTTAATATTTTTGAAGATTTTCTGACCAAGGGTACTATGTATTGAAAAAATTCGAATTGTCGTTCTGGTATGCTCGCTCACTTCATAAAAATATGTATATCAACATGCGTAGAAATATATAAAAGTATCAGGGGCAAAAGTGGTCATCAATATCACATAAATAATATGCATTCGAGTTGCAGTCACGTGACATGCCACGAAAAGTTTTTCTTTTAATTTCTGAGGTCAGTAAATGTGAAGAGAGTAACAATAAAGTCTCTTCGCATACTATCACGCGCCTTAAATAAATTTAATAATATGTATTTACTTAATAGTGAACCACTTTTATCTAAAATTCATTATGCGGCGTATTTTTAAATTTTTACTTGACAATCTTGGGTCTGGTTTGCATATATGTACCACTCTTCCAAATTTCAGTAAACATTAATAGAACTCTCATTATTCTTTCAGAAATAAAGTGTATGCAGTTGTCCTTAAGATGTCATGAATGTTAAATTACTTTGTATACTTACTCATTAGTATTAAATAATTCTTTCGATAATTTTAAAATTTAATTTAACTGGATTTAAAAATAAAACTACATTTAAAAAACAGCATTCTTCGGTGAGGGTGCGACTAAAAACTTTTAAACAAGAGCATTGAACAAATTTTGAAATTTAATATTGACCAACTTTTGCCTCACCGTGGGTCCAAAATGATTCTGCATAAATGCCCACGGTGAGGCAAGTTGGTAATATTAAATTTTAAAATTTGTTCAATGCTCTTGTTTAAAAGTTTTTAGTCGCACCCTCACCGAAGAATGCTGTTTTTTAAATGTAGTTTTATTTTCTGGTTTTTGAGTTGGAATTTTTTTGTTCGTTACCAACAGCAATAAGATAGGTAAGGTGCAATTATCATATGCGATTAAGCAGCTTAAACGGCTGCAGATACCTCCATCAAAAGTTTCTCATTTTTCAACCGATTTTGCTCGAACGTATCTTAAATGGTGCGTAATCAGTGCCCGCACAATAAAATCAATAGCCGGCATGATCATTGTATGGTAAAATTGAATTTCCGGTTCATTTTAAAATTTCAAAGGTCCTAAAATTCTTGTAATACTAGAGTTTTGCAAAAAGAAAATTGAAAAGACACTAAATTTTGTAATTGTCTGATTTTTTTGTTTCAAAATTTTTTCAGTAAATTCAACCGTCCGAGCTGTAGCGTTGACAGAAGTTTTAGGACCCTGTCTTGAAAGCATACCTTGGCTTCGCCGTAACCATGCGCTTTTCTGTCGTGAGGGTAGCCCTTGGTTACTTTCCTCACCTCAGAAAAACACAGGAATATTATTATTGGATTAATTTGTGCTATGGGTTGTCATGTCGGAAATAGGTCAGTTTAGCGAAAAAACTTTTTGCGAAAAAAAATCCGCCACAAAAAATCACACTTGGCGAAAAATAGGTTTCATGCGTTTTACAGTAAGTTAGGTTTAATGTGTAACCTGTCACGTGACCACGGGGGGGGGGGGGGGGTAATGGATTTATCACCATTGGTCACCAAGGGGGGGGAGGGGGTCAAAATTGTCCAAAAATCGATCACGTGATTTATGGACGCTCCCAAATACGAAAATAGTCAACCAATATTCTGTTAACCTTTTAATAGAAATTTTATGCAAAATTTAATCATATAATCGATTTCGGCGTTGAACGATTAACAATTTACAAAAATTTAATAAAATTTAAGAATAAAGTTTGCAAAATTTACCAAATGTGTTTCTCAAAAATTCTTTCCTGAAATCCAATCCAACCAAAGTCAAAAGTTATAGTAGAAATATAAGTGTCTCATCGCAAAAACCCCCATTTTAGTTTCTAAATATCCGAATCTGCATACATAACTTCCTAATAAGTTTCCAATATTTCTTAAATACTTAAAATTTTGATCTAGTCGTTGTACGCGAAATGTTCCTCGACGATGAAACGTGTCCACGTGGAACTCGGAGGAAATGTGCCGTTCACCGTTTTTAACGATGCCGACATCGACCTAGCCGTGAGTGGATTGATTTCATCCAATTTCGAAATTTTGTACAGGTCAGATTTCTAAAAAAATAGTTATTTTGCTTCAAAATTTCAAATTTTATTAAATTTCCATGTAATTTTCTAGACGTGTATCAACGCTAACAAAATTTTAGCCCAGTCACAAATTTACGACAAGTTTATGAACAAATTTCTCCAAGCTGTGACCAAGTTGGAAGTCGGGCCCGGTTTGGAACCCGATACCGATGTCGCCACCATCATTAACGACATGCAAATCGAGAGGGTAAAAAATAAGGTTAAAATTTTTTCAGAAATACGATTTCTAAATTTTAAATTTTGAAATAATTTCCAGTTTTATTAAATCTTACTTTATAGTCTGTTAAAAAATGAAATTAATTGCTTTAAAAAATTCACAGTTGAATTTGATAAAGTTTATTCTTCAAACTTTTTGCAGCAAGAAAATATTTCGCAAAAAACAGATACTCCTGAGAAATCCGTGACTTGCTTCACATTTGTTTTTTTTTAATTCTGACAAATCGTACAATCATTTGCTTTGCTATTGATTTGCATATATTAATTTGTAATTAATGGGCATTCTAATAACATAAAGATTTTAACAGGTGTGTATGGATAGTGACAAAATAGTTTCATCTTTCAATCACATTTTATAAATTTTATAAATTCAACCAAATTTCAAAAATTCTCAGGAGATAGCTGATAAAATTTGACCATAACAATGATTGAATTTCACAATAATTCGGGAACAATTTCTTGAAAGACTGATTGAAAATTTTTAACCTAACAGGAAACACAAATTTTGTCACAGAATCAATGTTTTGGGTTAGGACGAAAATACCGGTGAACCTTTTAATGGCATTTTCATGTTAAATTTAATTATAAAATCGATTTTGGCATTGAACGATTTAATTATTTACAAAAATTTAACAAAAATGTAATAAAAAAGTTTACAAAATTCAGGAAATTTGTTTCTCAAAATTTTTTTTCCTGAAATCCAACCAAAATCAAAAGTTAGAAAGAAAAGTGTTTCATCGCAAAACCCCATTTTTATTATTAGAACTGGGCGATAGTTAATTTCCAACCAGCTCGCAAACATTGCTAAATTTTCGAGCTATGAGAACGTCGTGCGACTGAGAAAATTAAAGAAGTGCGAAAATTTGCAAAATTTGACGTTGTTAGAAGTCGAATCTGTTTTTCACCAACTTTAGGCAATATTTTTTTGTGAAAATTAGACTTGTTGTGAATGATAATTTAAGAAATAAAAATTTTACCCAATTTCAACAAAAGTTTATAAAGTTACGAAGTGCATGAGGCAATTCTCGCACTCTTACTTATTTTGTTACAGTTTTTTAAAAATTAAAATTGGAAATCTTACTTGTTGGCAGAACTTTTAAAACTAAAAAAGTTGGGGAGAATACGTTGCGTAGGAAAATCCATAAAAAATGATTTTGTAAGCACTTTACGAAGCTGGACATGAAAAATTGGTACATGATGAAGCCAATTTCAGAAAATTATAAATTTAGACTCTAATAAATAAGTTTCTAGATATTAGAAGTTGACCCTAGTTTATTTAATTATTAAAAAATATGATACCAGTTCACACGAATATTTGTAACCCATACATAAATGTGATAAATTTTGCAACTTGATTTTGTAACCTTTTACAAAATGCATGTAAAATTTTACAAAAACTATTACAAAGTTTTGATGAACCTCTCTGATTTGTCTACAAAGATAAGTACCGTACAAGGAGGTGATAATGCTACCTTTGTCAGGCTGAAACTAAAAAGCGAGCATTACGTTTCTGACATAGTCAAGTTATCTGATTTTCTTTCTAAATTTACAAAATTTTATGAATGTACAAAGCATAGAAAAATCTTAATTTCTGAGGCAACCCACTCAGTCATTGATAACTTGTAAAATGCGCAAATTTTGTGAAATAATTTTACAAACTTTAAAAAAATAAGAGGAAGCATTATCTGAGCAAGTGTACAAAAATTTGTAATCTAATTTACTTCGAAATATTCGTAAAAATTTGCAAAAGTTTGTAAGTTTACAGATTTTACGAACTTTAAAATGCTTTTAAATGCCTGCGTAAATTACTTCATTATTTTAACGATTCATACTATACATGATTTGCAAGATTTTCCGCATATGGATTTTTTTTGTATCTGCACGCCGTTAAAGTATTGCAATGTTTTTGAACTGATGAACATGATTTTAGATCTGGTTCAAGTTAGGATTAGGTGCAATCATTATGGCAGATATTTGTATTTACGAAAAATCTATGAAATATGTATTCAATATTTATGAAAAAACTTCAAAATATTTTTTAGCTTATTACGGTAGCCACGTAATATATAAGTTTTAAAAAACAGGTAAGTTTAAAAAATAGATTAGTTTAAAAAATAGGTGAGTTTAAGAAATGGGTAAGTTTAAAAACGTCACATATGGCAGTCCAGCCAACATTTTTATGATGGTTTTTGCCTAATTCCTGTATGGAAGACATAGGTGGCCATATTTTCTTGGTCTCACATGTCTATCTCACGGAGAATAGAAAAAAAACGAAAGCAAATTTGTTGGCTGTACTGGGATACGTTACCTGGCGAGCGTAATAATTTGACATTTGATAAATAATTCTTGAAGTTTTCCGAAAAGAAAAAATGCCACCTTGGTAAAAAGTCTCGTGCATAGAAGTAGGATTTTTTTTCAAGAAATGTGCACCTACAGGACGCCGTTCAAAGTATCACAGAGTACTATTTCAAAATAATTTTAGATATGGTCAGATTTAGGTGAAATTATTGGAGGATATGTGTGTATTTACAGATGGTCGAGAGATATTTATATTTAAAAAAACGACAAAATATTTTCGAAAAGAACATAAAAATAAGAATTTTCTCAAAATTTGTAATTTTGAGCCAGAATTGTTGGATATTTTTTTGCAATCCAATTTCATTTTCCTCTCAAATATTGAAATATTGACAAAAAATATATTTTTGAAAATATATATATAAAAGATTTACGTATTTTTCAAATAATAGTGGAAATGTCTATAAACATAAATTACGAAGTTTACAAAAATGCAGTTCTTACTTCGTTGACAAAAAAGTCGAAAACAAAATCCTTCAATTTTTCAGAAAAATATTGCCTACTTCGCAAAACTGGGCAATATTAATTTATATGTAACCAGCTCGCAAAACTTGCTAAATTTGCTAACGTCGCACGACAGTGGTAAAATTTAAGAAATGTAAAAATTTGCAAAGATTGGTGGTATTTGTCAAAATTTGACGTTATTTGAAGTCGAATCTATTTTTAAATAAATTTAGGTAATTCCTCATGTAAAATACAGATTTGGAGCGAGTGATAATTTAAAAATAAAATAAAATTTTGTCACACTGCAACAAAAGTTTATAAAGTTACGAAATTGATGAAACAGTCAAAGGTAACTCTACTCCAAAATTACTCTTATTTTCATATTTTATTACACTTTTTAAAAAATTAAAATTGGAGATTTGGAAACTTATTTACTTGTTATCAAAATTTTGAAAACTAAAAAAGTTGGGGAGAATATGTTTCGATGAAAAAATTGAAAAAATGATTTTACAAACACTGTACCCATTTTTCAAACACTGTATGAACGCTTAGTGGAGTGGATACGAAAAGTATTTGTGTGACAGTGACGCCAACTTCAGAAAATTATAAATTTATACGACTCAAAAAAATAAGTTTCTAGATAAAAAAATGGTAACCTTTAACAAATATGATAGCAGTCCGCGCGAATATTTGTAATTCATACATAAACAGGATGACGTTTGCAAAATGATTTTGCGACCTTCTACGAAAAAATTTAAAATTTGCTAAAACTATTACAAAATTAATAAGCCCCTCCGATCTGTCTACACATTTTTCAAATTATAAACACGGATTTTCTATTCAAATTTACAAACTTTTATGATTCTACAAAGTATAAAAAAATTTTAAATTCTGAGGCAACTCACTCAGTCATTGATAGCTTGTAGTGTTGGTTCTGCCGATAGAGTTAGAATTCATCGCCGATTTACATTAGCCGAATGAGCCGACCGGCAGAAGGTGTTCTAAATTATTGAATACCAGTTTATTTATTTTTACGTGAAAATCATTCAATTTTCTGTCTGGAATTTGGAAATTGGAAGACATTCACGTCAAAATAAAATAAACTGGGATTCAATAATCATGCAGTTCGGCTGATTCGGGTAACGTAAATCGGCGATGGATTCCAACTCTCTCGGCATAACCAACAGAAAATTGCATGAATTTAGTGAAATAATTTTACAAACTTTTACAAAATTTAAGAGCAAGTTTACACAAATTTATATGCTAATTTTCTATCGAAATATTTGTAAAAATTTGTGAGGTAACGGATTTTGCAGACTTTAAAATGCCACCAAAGCCTTTGTAAATTACTTCATTATTTTAGCAATTCATACTGTACATAATTTGCAAGGTTTTCCGCTTAGAAAAATACCATCTTCGTAGAAAGTCTCATACATAGAAGTAGGATTTTTTTTGCCACAAATGTGCAACTGCAGGACGCTATTCAAAGTATCGCAGAGGGTTTGAACTATTGGACATGATTTTAGATCTGGTCAGACTTAGGTGTACTTGTTGGAGGATATTTATCTACTTACAGAAGATCGTCGAGATACTTATATTTAAAAAACGCCAAAACATTTACGAAAATAAGAATTTTCTAAAAAAAATTTAATTTTGAGCTTAAATTTTTGGATATTTTTTTCTAATCCAATTTCTTTGAGCAAAAATATTTCGTCTCACATTGTTGAAATATTGACAAAAAAGATATATACCTATTTTTTTAATATTCTATAAAAGATTTACGTATTTTTCAAATACTAGTAGAAATATTTATAAATATATTTATATGCTTGAAAACCTAGGAATATATCATGTAAAAATATTTTATTGCTATTTTGACACGCGTTTTTTGCACAACCTTTTTTAATCGATTCGCTCAACTAAAATCAAATCTAGTACAAGTTAAATGCCACAATTGTAAATAATTATTCCTGAAAATATTTAATGATTACAAAGATAGGATTCATTAACGCAGGAAAATTCGTTAAAGTCCAAAATAAAGAAAACCAAACAACTTAAATAATTTAAAAATACGCAAAAAATGAATAAAAATGAATTTTTCTTCAAAAAATAACTGCACAAACTACCGCTTAATTTCAAAATTTAGAAAACCAAATTAACGAATCGTTTCAAATTAACGAAATTAACACAAAGCGTGTGCAAATATTCAAAAATGCTTAAAATAATAAATGATTTTTTAAAAATTCAAGTCAAAATTTACAACCTGCAAAGATCGCTAAGGTTCAAAATCCAGAAAACCAGTTGTATACAATAAATTCAAAAAATGAACACAAAACATGTGTAAATATTCAAAAATGCGTCAAATAAAAAATGATTTTTTAATTCAGTTTAAAATCCAAAAACCTGCAAAAACCGCTATATTTCCAAATCCAGTAAGGGAGCGTCCATAAATCACGTGATCGATTTTTGGACAATTTTGACCCCCTCCCCCCCTTGGTGACCGATGGTGATAAATTCATTACCCCCCCCCACGGTCACGTGACAGGATACACATTAAACCAACTTTTCGCCAGGTGTGATTTTTTGTGGCGGATTTTTTTTTCGCAAAAAGTTTTTTCGCCAAACTGACCTATTTCCGACAGGAAAACACATGGCACAAATTAACCCAAAAATAATATTCCTGGGCCATTTCAAATCCGCAGTTAAATTAAATTTTAAAATTATTGAAAGAACTATGTAACACTAATCAGTAAGTATATTAAGTAATTTAACATTCATGACATCTTAAGGACAACTGTGTAAACTTATTATCTGAAAGAATAATGAGAGTTCTATGAATGTGCACTGCAATTTGGAAGAGTGGTATATATACGCAAACCAGACCTACGTAAGATTGTCAAGTAAAAATTTAAAAAGCCGGCGTATTCGGATTTAAGATAAAAGAGGTTAATGATGTAAGTAAATACATATTATCAAATTTACTATTTACATCCGAAGTTAAAAGAAAATTTTTTCGTGGCATGTCACGTGACTGCCGGCCATTACCCCCCCCCCTTGGTGATAATAGGTGACAAATTTCAGACCCCTCCCCCCCCTCTTGTCGATCACGTGATTTATGGACACTCCCTAAACCCCCTCAAACAAATTTAAAAATTTTAAAAACAAAACATATGTAAATATGCTGGTTTTAGAATAATCGAATACAATTTACAAATAAATAAATTCAACCTAACCTAATTCGTGGAACTTTTTGAACAAATTTCCTTCTGCATTTTTTGAATTCGATTTGTTAAAAAAAATTACAAATATACTTTTACAACTTCACAAAAGTAAAACTGCAAAGTTAAAAAAGCGCTGTAAAAGCTTGTTAAATAATTTTATAAAAATTACCAAGTTTACAAATATCCACGCTTCAATAAAAAAAGTTGATAAAATCCTTCAATTTTTCAGAAATATCTTGTCTACTTCGCAAAGCTGGGCAATAATTAATATGTAACCATCTCGCAAAACTCGCCAAATTTGCGAACTGCGAGAACGTCGTACCACTGTGCTAAAGTTAAGAAGTGCGAAAATTTGCAAAATTTTATGTTATCTAAAGTCGAAAATCTTTTTTTACTAAATTAAGGCAGGACACAGGCAATTTTTTTACGTATAACGTATGTAGATTAGTTATGACTCATTCAAAACATGAAATTTCAGGTGGAAAACATTTTTTATGTGCATATCTTATAGATTTTACGTACATATTACATACATATTTTGAGGAATTTAAGTACATACTTAACCCATGACGTTAAATTAACCTAAGTCATAAGTATAACGATTAAATTCGTAAAAATTACATTTCCGACTTCAAGTCGTATCAAATTTGTATTTATTTATTTTTACATTTTTATTCTATCCAAGTCTGTGGACGTAAGTACTTCAGATATTATTTGCATGACATAATTCGACTCTACATATTATTCCCGAATATAATAATAATAATAATAATAATATTTATTCTGAAATTCGTATGGCCCATAGAATTACAAGTTATTACAGGTGTTCGAGTAGTAAATCGAGTCCGTAAATACATCATCTCATCATAAAATTTTAATTGGAATACAATTTATTATACTTATTTAATATTTGCATTAGTTGTGTTAGTTCGGTTAATGGATAGATTATCTTCCTCCAGCATCAATATCCGCATTCTTAAGACCTCATTTAAATATTTGTAAATAGAGTCAGCATGGCCAATTTTATTGCAGAGTAGACCCATTGTTTTATCCTTTTTCCCTTCTAGTTCTCGTATCCACATTCTACTACCACCGTAAACCCTACAGTTCCATAGCACATGAAAGATAGATTCCTCTTCCTTGCAGTTACATATATTGCAGATTTCATCAACATTTAGTTTATGAACATATTTCTCATGGTAGAAGGATGTTAAATTTAGTCTCGCTTGTGCTATTAGAGTCAATTTTTTAAAAGGCAAATTGAACTCAAGATAAGGGGCTGGACCTGGTGTCAAGTTAATGAGTTCTTTGTAGTGGCTGTATCTTGTGGAACAGTTCACTTTACTTATGTCCTCTTGACGCGAAATATCAATGACTCGCTCCAGCATTGCTGGGATCAGAGATGCATCTAAAGAGTGCATAAAGTTTCCATAACCCATTTCTTCCAGTAGCTTATTTACTTGTCCAACCCAGTTCAGTGGGCCATACTCTCCGCTCCTCACCTCCTTATGTAAAGCAATAAAGCATCTCTTAGTATAGCGATGCTCTTCCATATTACAAATCCTCATCATATAGTGCAGGCATTGCTTGATTATGTGCATCTTCATATGGGGAACTCTAAACGAGCAACATATCTAGGAACGCATCTATTTATAATACCTTACCTTATACCTTACCTTACCTAATACCATTATCTTTGTCTTGCTTAAGTTAACCTTTAGTCCCAGCTCCTCGAAGTATTCCTTCAAGATGTTTATTTTGTGTTGCAGATTTATGGGGGTAGAAGCAAGCACTACGGTGTCATCAGCGTAACATAATAAGTGCAAGAAAAAATCACGTTCGATTTTAACTCCAGGAATATTAGAATTAATGAGCAATTTTTCCATTTCGGAGACATACAAACTATATAGAAAAGGGGATACAATTTCTCCTTGCATGACCCCCTCTGTTATATCAATGGGTTGCGTGAGTCCATGTTCCATTCTCACTCTAGTAGATGCATTTTCATATAAGCTTTTTAATATGCGAATGATTTTTCCAGACATTCCTAGTGAGAACAGTTTGTTCCACATTTTATTGTGAGGCAGTGTGTTAAAACATCGCTCAAAGTCTACGAAAAGTGCATTTCCCTTCTCCTGCTTTAATTTAGCATGTATTGCTGTCTGCAGGCATAGAATTTGATCTTCGCAACTTCGCCCACTTCTAAAACCTCCTTGGCATTCAGGAATTAACTTGTTCTTCTCTGCCCAAATAACTAGTCTCCCATACAGTACTTGTGTAAACAACTTTAGCATAGTATTGAGCAAGGAAATGGGACGGTAGTTCGCTGGATTTGATTCATCCCCTTCTTTAAATATCATGCAAGTAACTGATTCAGTCCATTCGAGCGGTACTTCTTCCTTTTTCATTATTCTATTTAAAAGATTTAATACCATATCAACTCCAGAATCAGGCAGATTTTTTAGCAACTCATTAACAATGCAATCTGGCCCCGGCGATTTGTTATTTTTTAGCTTATTCATCGCTCTTACTAATTCATCTCTGCCAATGTCACAGTCGAGTTCCTCAACCATGTTACCTAAATACTCGTTGGTGTCAAATTCTCTACTAGGCATTAAATTTTTATGGAATGAGATCCAGTCCTTCTCCTGAATTAGATTTGGTGTAGGCACAGTATGTCTTAATCTTTTAACTGCTCTCCAGAATTCCGAGCTCCCTTTACAACTACCTAGCTTCATCCTCCATGCATCATCGTAATCTTTCTTTTTTGCTCGACACAAATATTTGAATTTTGCCCTTTGTTCTCTATAGTTATTTGATATCTCATAGTTCCATCCATGCTTTTTAGCTTGATGCAAAATAGAGTTTAAGTCCTTTCTACTTTCTTTACAGTCAGTGTCAAACCACGGCTTGCTTTGGATCTTGCCATAGCAAGAAGTCTTAATCATACCAGCTGCGTTCGCCGCTTCTAAAATTGTGTCAGAAATTGCTGAGTATGACATTTCTGAATCAGTTTGAAGTTTAGTTAAGGAATTTATTGCTTCGACATATTTCTCCTTTTTGTTGTTATCCCACCTCACTCTTCTTAAAAGTATCGCCTGATTTGTGAGGTTCGCATTGAGTGAAAGTTTACATGGTAAATGACTTGAGTATGGAAGATTATTTACGCTCATGTGCTGCGTTAAGTCCGCCGCTTTTGGGTTAACAAATACTAAATCAATTGTGCTACTCCCTTGGCCCCCAATAAATGTGATTTCATCTCCTTTCGCTCTGCCATTTAAGAGAGGCATGGATGAGGCTGTCATGTCAAGTAATAACTCCCTTCCTCTGCGACTAATTATTTTATCCTCTGAGTGTCTTTGACCTTTGATTCTATTGCTGACCATCAGTTCGTCTGACTCATGGCACAATTCGCCAACTCTTGCATTGAAATCTCCACCCACAATTAAACTATCTGCTGAGTAATTTCTATGGATTTCTTCCAAATGCTCAATAAATTCTTGTTGGATGTGATCATGCATCACGCCCGGTGGAATATATAAGCATGCTACAATCAAATATTCATTACCAACTTAAATCTTACAATAACAAAATTTTGATGTGTAGTGATAATCTCATTTACGACTAATAGGTCTCGTCTGAATAATAAAATTAACCCACCCTTTGCTCTTCCCTTGGGGCTACTTCTTATTGCTTTAACTTCAATTTGTGAAAAACGTGAGAAAGCAGCAAAATTAACTCTCTTTTCGTGCCAAGTCTCATATAAGCAAATTATTTCACAGTTCGTCAATTTTTCTATATCTCTACTTTCCATATTTGCTATTTGATTTATACCTTCTATATTCCAAAAAATTATGTTTAAGCTGCCTAAACTATTGTAGTTAGTTGTGTTAATTTGGTTACCGGTATGAGTTATAAGTTCCATGAGCCGTCCAGGTCACTGTTGTTGAATTGTATCCATCGTAGAATCGTAGGTGAAGGTTTTGATGATTGTTTTGTTCTTCTTTATCGTCATCTTTCCTTTGTAGATATCCATCCGTATGTCCTTGTCCGCTGCCCTTAATTCCTTGAATTTTTCCATGAATTTTTTCTCGACCGCTCTCTCCGCTTGTGTTTTGTCTCTTTCCACTATCGGGTCCCCTTTGCCAAGCTTCTTCTTCCCACTTTGCAAGATGAATTTCTTATCAATGGATCGCACCATTTTCACAAGTAAAGGTCGAGGCTTGCCTGTCGGGGTTTTCTTCCCCATTCGAAAGATATCGTCGATAATCGGGTTATTTAATCCCATTTTTTGTAGCAGTTTCTCCACTTCCGCAATTTGAGTCTCGAGTGTCTCAGTCCCAGTTTCAGGAAAACCATAAAAAACAATGGATTTCTCCCGTTTTAGCTCTTCGATTGCTGCAAAAGCCTTTTGCGAATTAATGTCGCATTTTCCTTCGATTTTATTAAGTCGATCAAATACTTCAGTGTGCTTTGTCAAAACTTCCTTGTGCTGTGCGTCCATTTTCTCCATAATTTTGTTAACGTCCATGATGAAGTCGTCTTCCAAATTAGTCCTCTTTTTGGAGCCCTGCTCCTCAGGGGAATTGGATTGCTGCCGTTGCCTTTTATCCTGTTTTTTATTCCCCCCACCTCCCCACAGATGCATTCGTGCGTGTACTCAATCCGCACCTACTGTTAATAAGCCGGCCGATTCTGAGTAATCACTACACAAATAACCCAACTCAAGTATTTGCAGAGCGAAGATGAGAGACAACCTCCTCTGACCACTGCTAAACTCGGACTCCTATTCCCGAATAAAATCATAATTAAAATAAATTTAGAACAAATTTTTATACAAGAGAGATTGCCAGTTATGAGAAACTGATTTTCCTTCTGAAATTTGACAAACCTTTTTTTCCCAAGTTATTACCCAGCTTAAACATAGAATTTGCAGCGATGAATTACGAAATTATGGAAATTCCAATAAAAAATATTGCACCTAAGGGGTAAATACAATCACAAAATGTATCCAAAATTACACTCTCAACTTTGAACGGTATCAAATTTAAATTTATTTTTGCATAGTTCATCCAAGTCTCTGAAGACTTTTTTATGCAAATTACTTAGGATAAAATCTATTTTGATTAACAAATTTGGCACATATTTTATAAAAACGAGTTTGTCAGTTTATGAGAATCTTATTTTAGTCCTGAAATCTTACAAATTTTTGGAAACCATTTTTCTCAATTGATTTTCCAGTTTACACACTTACGAAGATTCATTGAGAAATGAGGAAAAGTAACAAATGAACAAACTTGAACCTATGTAAGTTGTAATCGTTATATAATTTATTCAAATTACATTTTCGACGACAACTCGTATAAAATTTTATTTTATTTTTTTCATATAATCCATCCAAGTCTTTTAAAACTTTTTTGTTACATATATGCTGACGCAAGTCTGAATTTCCTTCTGAAGTTTTGAAAACTGTTGGAAACCTCAAAAAATTGGAAAAAAGGTTTCCAACAGTTTCAAATTTTCATAAGGAAATTCAGACTTAATTTCGACTCAATTTCTTGCCGAATTTGCTTACAAAGATCCGTTGCGAAATTTGGGATAAACATTACCTAAGTTATAACATTATTATAAAACTCATCACAGTTACATTTTTGACTTTAAATCGTATGAAATTTTAATTTATTTTTACATTTTTATTTCTTTTAAGATTCTTAGCCCTTTTTAAGCAAATTATTTACCAATAAAATCATTAGCAGGTATTTTGATCAAATTCGAAATTGGGCACGTGTCCATGAAAAATGAGATTTTTATAAGTTTACGAGTTAAATTCCTTAATTTTACACTATAGTGCTGGCTTTTCCGCTTTTCCTCATTTTATTACCTAACCATTCTTAACCTCTAAAATTACTCTTATTTATTTTGCAAATTTTGGAAATTGGGAACTTATTTGTAAAAGTTGATATAATCGTTTGAATAAAAAAATAACTTATGATTGGCATGTGTCGGAGGGTTGCATTTCGAAATTTTTATAGGAGTGACCTCCACTGGTTATGGGAAGTAGTCACGCGGAAGGGATAGCAATATTTTAATTAAAAATATTATTTTTAGAATTTGAGCCAATACGAGGAATTGATACTACTGTTCATTCAAAATTAATATGCAATACAAAATCTCAAAGATTATCTGGCGAAATATTTTTTTCCATGACTTGACTTGAAGTGTAAAATTCAGAAATTTTACAAAAATTCACTAAATTAAAAAAACACCTATAATCTACGCAAAGTTAGGATAAGCGAATTTTCTTCGCATTAGTTTTCACCATCATTTGCTTCGTTATTTCATTGTGTACATAAATTTATGAAAATTTCTAAATGCAAAATTATTGTTTTCCCAAGGTAACAAATAAATCCACAATTTTTAGGGATTTTATTTACCTAGAATTATTTTATAAATAATTTAGCTTTCGGAAATAGAATTCAATTTATTTTAACTTTTTTTTTGCGAATTAGGGATAAGGAAAGTTTCATAGGAATTTCTTATGTTTTTGTTAAGAGTCCGTTGTCAATATTCAAAACCGAAAGACACTTTTAGTAATTTATTATTATTAGTTTATAATAACCAAGCAGAGATATAAATCGGCTCCCCTTTAAAATGTGAGAACAATTTCATTTCAATCAATTTCAACTCAGAAACTTACCCAGTTTTCGAAATTGGGCAAAAATTTTAAACTCTCAATACATAAAAGTTAAAATTTGGGCACAATGATAATTTATGTACTGGATTTTGCAGCAATTCTAAAATAATTACTCCAAAATTTCAACCACTTTAATTTTTAGGGATTAATTTCCCTGAAACTTTTTAGTTAATAATTTAACTTCCAGAACTAAATTTGTTTTTTTTTTTAGCTTTTTTGGCCAACAAAAATTTTGCAGGAATTTCTTAAATTTTTATAAGGAAAAATTAATAAGTTTCTTAATTTGATGCAAGTGTTCAATACCGAATAATAATATATTTAGTAATTTATTAGTATTTTATGAACATGCAGATTAAACATGCGGGAAAGAAGATGTGGAAATAATTAAATTTCAATTAAATTTTTTAATCAATTTCAAACCAGAAAATTTACATTTTTTCAAAAGATAAATTTTGCAAGAATTTTTTGTTTTAGAAGTTTTTGCTTATTTGTTCGATGCCAAAGTTCATTACCGAATAATGTTTTTGCAATTAATGGGCATTCTAATAGCATAAGTACTTTAACAGGTGCGTATGGATAGTGACAAAATAGTTTCAACTTTCAATCACATTTTATAAATTTTTCAAATTCAACTGAATTTGAAAAAAAATCTGAGGATTTTAAAATTTTACCATAACAATGATTGAATTTCATAATAATTCGGGAACAATTTCTTGAAAGACTGATTAAAAACTTTTAAATTAACAGGCAACATAAATTTTGCCACAAAATCAATGTTTTGTGTTGGACAGTATCAAAAATATAAAAGACACGATCCGATTTTTATTTAAAGGAAAGTACTCTCCAAGGCTGGTTTTTCGGCCTGGCTCAAGAATTTTATTTTAAATTGATAAAATATACGTCATTGGCAACTATTTTGTGATATGGTTCAGAAATGAATGAACTTATTTCCCGAGGGTGGGCTTATGTAACCATGTAAGTCCATCTGTCTGTAAATTAATTGTAAGTCCCGTAAACCTTAACCGATTGACTTGAAACTTTTTGCACTATGCTTAAAATTAGAAATCGAGTTAGAATATGGCTCAAGTCTGTTATCAGGGAGACCCGTGGCTCTATTCAGGCCTTGTAGACCATCATTGAAACTTAATTTAGATTTAAAACTGTCAAATTGGTTTCGTACTTTATACACGTGAATTTGATTGGCTCATCGGCGAAGTATTAACATCGGGTAAGGTTGTTGGTACAGAATATTTGAAATGGTCATAGACGTTGTGTACTAACGTAATGTCATCGACCAAATTGGCGACCCCCACATATTTTCGAAAATGGACACAGAAGGCTTAAATTTGCATTAACTGCTGGGACAGATCAGATAACAAATAAGAAATTAGTAAATTGAAAGATTTTTATGCCAGGGGACCCAACAAGGTGACCCCCACTGGCTTTGGAAATTACTGGCATTTTGCATAGGAACATTTCTGACGATTATGAATAGTAGTTTGTACGATTTTCTGCGAATATTAATAGTCCAAATTCCTTAGAAAACTTTATGAAAGGTTATTTTGTTTTTGGGAAATCATACAAAATAAACCCAAAATAAGAAGTGTCGGTTCGAGTTTTTTCCCAGTCTCAACTTCCCTCTCGCTTTGCAAAATACATTGTTGGCCTATCTCGAAATTTCGCATCGACTTTGTGGGGGGAGAGGGCGAAATCGCTTCTGAATTCTTTATTTGAGATATATTAAGTGCATACAAAATTACAAGTCAATCAGGTAAGTTTTGCAAGACTTACTTATCAATTTGCCGAAGGACAGACGGACTTAGTTACATAGGCTCGGGCTATTTGAAGTAGTCTAAGAAGAGGGATAGAACTTCAGTGAAAATTGGTTGTTCACGACAACGAAACACTTGTAAAATTTATTTTTTAATTATTTTCTACCCCAAAAAGTCAAAATCCGACCTGACTTTGTGCCGTCGTAGCGGTCCTTGCCAAAATCACCTTTCTTAGCTTTTTCGCTCAGAGCTAGTTAACATTATAAACCAAATTTAGAGTAAAAATCTAAGAAAGGTGATTTTGGCAAGACTTGCTACAGCCGTTTCAATTTAGCCGGAAATCATGGCTTGGATAGTACTTATCTTTGAAAAATAATACTTTACGGGAGAAATAAAAATTTACAAATTTACGAAAATACCCGAATCAATATTCTGTTATCCCTGTAATGACATTTTCATGCTAAATTTAATTATAAAATCGATTTCGGCATTAAATGATTTAATTATTTACAAAAATGTAAGAAAAAAGTTTACAAAATTTAGGAAATCTGTTTCTCAAAAATGTTTTCTTTAAAGCCAAATCAAAACCAAAAGTTAGAAATAAGTGTTTCAGCGCAAAAAACCACATTCTTATTTCTGAATTTCCGAATCTACGTACATAACTTCATAATAAATTTCCAACATTTCCTAAGTAATTAAAATTTTGTTATAGTTGTACGCCAAGTGTTCTTGGTTGACAAAGAAAGTTCATTAAATCCTTCAATTTTCCAGAAAATCTTGCCTAATTCGCAAAACTGGGAAATGATTAGCTCCAGCTCGCAAACATTGCTAATTTTGCGCTGTGAGAACGTCGAACGACTGTGCATAAATTGAAGAAGTGCGAAAATTTTCAAAATATTATGTGATTTGACGTCGAATATGGTCTCATAATTCAAAAAATTAAAATTTTCCCTACTTCAACAAAATTTTATAAAGATGGGAAATGGATGGAGCAAATCACACTCATTGGTAACTTAACCCCAAATTTACTCTTATTTATTTTGTTATGGTAAAAAAAAATAAAAATTTATATTTAGAAATATAAATTGGAAATCTTATTTACTTGCTATCAGCATTTTTCAAAGTAAAAAAGTTGGGTAGAATACGTTTCTATATAAAATTTGTAAAAATGATTTTGCATTA